AACTACGACTACTTTAACTTCGTATTCTCTTGGGAAGCAACACATTATAGGCTATAGAGATCAGCATCATATTTTGCGGCAGTCAGCCGACTAATCTGAACTTACAACCGGGTTGGCATAGTCATTGGGTAATAGAACTCTAGATGCTATTTTGAGAATGCCTTGTCTCGGAGACTACAATATGATTCCTTCTTTGCGAGCACAAATCGGCCTGTTAGTTATGCCGTCTGCTGCGTCTCGAGAAAGATAAATACCGTCGTCCCTCCCCTCGATTCAACAACATCCTCACTCACTCCAACACACAAACAACTCAGACAACAAACAAACACTTCTACAACACTCCTCACCATCTTCCAAAACCTTAATCAACATGTACGCTTCCAAGATCGTCGCTTCTCTCGGCCTCTTCCTTGGCCTGGCCACCGCCACTGTCAACGTCGGCAAGGACTCTGCCGGTGACACTGGTAAACAATTTTCCTCTTCATTACATTCCCACATCTTCTTACTTACTATCAAATAGTTGCCTGGATTGGCGGCGAGTCCGAGTGCACCAACGTCTTCATTGCTGGCAACGGCGCCAACCCTTGCGGAATCAACTTCACTCTTAACAACGGAGTCACCTTCCAGCTCGTTGGCTGCGGTGGTGCCGGCCTGAGCTTGGACAACGGCGACGGCTCTTTCAACAGCAACTGCCAGTTTGGCGAGCAGAACCTCCAGTGCGGTATCCAGCAGCAGTGGTCTTGCTTCTAAGCGACTTCCACCAGCTTTTGTACAAGATGGCGGAAATCTGGGGGGAAGGGGGGCTGTAGCTTCAGGGTTGCATGACTGTTGGTTTGGATTAGGGTAGCCACATCAGCCAATTGTGTTCCGAACTGGTGGACGCTTGTAGTTGATTATACTTTTCTACCGGTGCTTTCAATAAACGAGTTCACTCATATTTTTGGTCTACCTTTCCGTGACAAACATTCTTATAAAGCAATGCGATTATGCCTGAAGTGCTACCTACTATCTGATTTGCTAATATTTCTAAACTACCTAAAACATCCTCTAGATAAAGTTCGAAAGCTCAGCGCTAGATGTCGTTAAAAATATCCTGTAGATAAACTTTAATAGCTCAGCATTATTTCAGACCGACTTACAAACTAGTTGATGTGAATGACAGGCACGTCATATTTTTTATTCCGCAGCTTTCCACACTTCAGGAGCATCAAATTTTATGGGCATGTATGTGTATTGCTGTTTGATTCGTGTAATTATGAACTATCTAATACTTCAAAACATATTCAGTCTATAATGGATTACTATGTCTATCTCATTGCCCGGTGCAACCTTTTAGTGGTCATTACCAGAGAAGAATGATATGCATGCTTTTTGCATACTTAATAGGACGCAACTGAAGCTATCTGATCGAGAGATGTACCAGTATTACTCCTTGGATCCACAAAGCATCATTGGGGTCGTCATTTAGCCTGTTAATGGGACTGATGAGCTGGCAAAATTGGAGTTGTATGATTTCAGTGGAGATGGGCAACTTTTCAATAGCCTAGGACGAGCGGCTTTTCGGCGCTTAATTCAAAACTAGAGATACTCTTAACGTGATTAGGTTGGATCATCTGCTGTATTGAAGTTTATAGAAAAGTGTCGCCAGGCACAGATGTCGTGCCTTAGCCGATTGCAGTAGGTAACCCATGCTTTGTGGTGGCCAAGCTTCTAAAGCCATCCTGAGTAACCTGCACAATGCGAAAGTATACTGTCCACGATAAGGCAGTATTATGAAGCAAATGTCATATAGAGTCAGACACAAATTTGTTACCCCAGGCGCCTCCAGTGTGATGAGCCGACATGCTACAAAAGGGCAAATTGTAGTAGATCTTGCTGAAAGCATAGAGGCCATCGTAATACCAGGCAAGCAAACTAGTGAGACAATTTTGAACGTGTCTCTTTATAACTACGCAGCCATGAGCAGTTCTACTGCTCAACCGGGCTTGGTGGAAATGCATTTACTAAATCTCGTCAAAGCGCAGGTGCAAAACACTGTGCTTAGTCAAGCATTGTTAACAACAAAATAGTGGTGCCTCAGAAGCACTATTATTCGAATCAATACTGGTTACCTGACATGTATCTCCTTTTCGATAGATTCTGGTGTCCGGAATCACATACATTTCTTTGGCTGCTAGCTATTCAAAGCGACGGCGTAGCTAATTACGCCACAATGCTCCTCAGCAGTAAGCATGCAATTTGATAAATAAACGGACAGTAACCGGCTTTGAGCCAAAATTGGAAACATATATCTATTCTCACATATTAATAACCCTAAAGTTTATGTTTCTCTAGCAAAGCGCTCGCGCTTCAATGGCGAAATTGCACAATGACCATGATTTTATCTATTCTTCTTCTAGTAGATGTCAGTGCCCATAGATAATATCTTTCCACTGGCTGTTTAACCCATGCACCATGATCTAAATTATTCTATAACAATCTCCAAATTTGAAAGGAAATTGTACTTTTTTCACAAATCCGCTAATCGAAAGCCTCTAAACTTGCAAATGGAGCCAAGCAACTACCAAAATAAGACGAGCTAGCAAATACCTGAATAAGACCAACTAGCAACTGAGCTTCGGCATGAAAAACAAGCCTCAAAAGTCCTCTAGTTTAAACATCGTTTTCTTCCTTTTTCTCTTTCTGAAAACAGATATATACGTTGCAAACAGTGCAAATCCGGAATAACCCTTGATATATGCCAATAGCAAGCCGATTCCGTTGGCCGTCGAATACACACACAATTATTCAGCTGATTATTAATCTCGGCTAAGAGAGCGAAATAATTCCAGCTTGTAGATCAAAGGCAGCGCTGTCTCACCTCAACGCCTTGCCGTTTCTGTAGCTGACGTAGTTGAAACCCTGCAGCACAAATTTATAGATTGTAAAAGTCTTCCTCAATGGGATAATGGTGGAGACTTGCTGTTACTAATTCTTATCGTAGGGACGTCTCTAAATTGTTAGTGACATCTATCTATTTGGCTTATTTTCATATCTACTAAGAATGTCCTCATTCGGAGTTCTTTTCGGACATACATAGCAATACATGATTTTCGATGCAAAGATCCCTTTTTACTAATGGATACGGAAGATTTGCGGAAGTTTCCAGGCGGAACTTTCCTCCATATGGAAGAATCCGTACATGGAGCGGCTCTATCTACATATAACGGGTCCAAGATCTATGATCCCGAGGTTGTTTGTTCGTCGACACTGTCATCACACGCGGTTCGAATTCTATCAACAAGCTGAATAAGAAACGTCGATTCATGTTTTGAAGATATCGTTATAGATTCAATTCATTATGGTTTCCTACACTCCCATTGCGCATACTGCGAGCATCCAGGCGTACACATATTGGGATTCTCCAAACTCAGTTTCCTTCCCTGGACAAAATAGCACAGAGCCATGGATTTTTAATCCAACTACGTTTACCTTGATCACTACACCAAACGAAGCAGTGTTGGTTGATACTCCAACGGTGAAATCCCGAGTCGAGCCAGTTGCAGCGTGGATAGCTGAGACTATTGAGCACCGAACTCTGAGCACTATTTACATCACTCATGGGCACGGTGATCACTTTTTCGCTGCTGGATCCATCCAAGAACGGTTCCCCAACGCTGTTATCCGTGCTACTAACGGCACTTACACTCATATGCTGGAACAGCTTGCTCCAGAGATCTGGAACGGTCTCTGGGTCCCAACGTTTCCTGAGCTGGCACAAGATGGTCCTCCAGACTTGCAGGTGGAAGTCTTGCCCGCGGGCGCAGAACACTTTAAGGTGGACGGTCACGAATTCCGTGCTGTCGAAGTTGCCGGAGGCGATACTGCGTCTTCAACGGTACTCCATGTGCCGGACTTGCATCTTGTTGTTGGAGGAGACGTTGTTTACGGCAACATTTACCAGTACCTTGCCGAAAACACGACGCCGCAGCTCCGCCAAGGCTGGATCGAGGCTCTAGACCAGATTGCCGCTCTCAAGCCCAAACATGTGGTGCCAAGTCACCGTCAAGCTACAGACGGCTTTGGACTGGAACACTTGAGTGCCACGCAGGAATATATTCGCACTTGGTCAAAGTTGGACGCAGCGACGAAGACTTGGCAGGAACTGGAAGCGGCTGTTACAAAAGCTTACCCAAAGAGAATTGGGAACTTCATCCTTCGCCTCTCTGAGCTGGTGGCCAAGGGTGATTTGCAACTCCCATAAGCTGTAGTGAGCTATTGACGCATATGCTGCGTGCAGCAACCATAGCCCTTTATATTGAAGCTAAGTAAGCGAAGCTAGAGAGTTTAGATCAAGATGTTGGATGAATTGGAGAGCATTTGTATTCATAGAATATTTCAGTGGTAGACTATGAAATCGAGCAATTTCCTTATCCAGTATCGCTCGGCTCTAATGCACAGTTGGATGTAACCGAGTCATTGTACTATACCAGATCTCTACACTAGATAGTCGCAAATGCAAACGATTCGTCTGTTAGGAGTATACACACAAGCTGACCATCGTCCCCCCCCTCTGAGAATTAATCATCTGTAACCTGACCATTGCACAGGTTATCGTTTTTAGCCTAAAAAGACAAGGCGACCATTACTCTAGGTCAGGTTACAGGAGGGGGACGATGGTCAGCTTGTCATGACACTGGTCTGTTAGAAGCTCAAGTCGTATGGGCGCAGATCAAAAATATACAATTAAATCTCAGAGTAAGCATTATTATCAAGCAGCGGTCCACATAAGCATGCGCTCGTTGGACGGCACTAAGGGCATAGTCAAGCTTTAGATGCTCAACGGAGCTCATCTCAGACTTTAGTTAGAACTAACTTGGATTTTTAGAGTTGCCATGAAATTAAGTTATATAGTTCCTAGTCCTCCCAAGGAGCGACTCACTTCAACTCAACTCTTGTTTCTCACGCAAACAACGGCTTCACATATCCAATCGAAGCTTCACAATACATCTACCGCCAACATGATCTCTACCAAGGAAGATTTCGCCTCTGCGATTGAAGCCGTCTTCACCTGCCCCGAAGCGGAGCTCGAATCTAAAATCCTCAACATATACACCAAAGAATCCGTCATCACCGTGAACGAGAAGCGGATGACGTGGGAAGACTTCTTCCCTTATTTCAAGGGCATCAACAACTCGATGGCGGCTGTGCAGATCAAATCAGATAAACTCGTGCAGAATGGCAACATGTTTGCGGAGAGGCACACGGCTTATGGGACGGGCAAGGACGGCACAAAGACGCAAGCGAGGGCAATCTGCATGTTTGAGGTGAATGAAGATAAGAAGGTGATCTGGCTGGAGGAGGTTTTGCATTTTTCTGCGGGCACGGATACAACTACCATCAATTACGAATAAACTGTCACATATGGGAGCGGAGATTGTTCATGCTGTAGAGAAAGCTTATTTTTATGCTTCACAGTGCTAAAGTTTCTGAGCTCTTACTTACATCGCCACATCAGACTGGCAACTACACAGAACATCTAATTGAAGTAGTACTATTGACCTGTATCGAACAGGTAATGTAAATGTATCCTACTAAATGCTTACCAATGTGAAACTCGGCATTTCTGCTACTGTTGACATCTAGCGTTGTAATCTCAGGCCGTTCATAGTCAGGTAATAACAGCCCACAATCCCCAGAGTTGACTGCATTGTATCTTCCAACCAGCCTCAGTATCAAAGGTTTATTGTAGATGCCTAGATGAGGTATGCGGTATTGCATAGCGGCTAGATCCATAAATGATCGACAGCTTAGTTCGCATCCAAGTCTGTAACCATCCAACAGACAACTCTATACCGTGGATAGAACTTAATCAGGCATGGTTGACCATCCTTATCACTAGATACTGTTTCTATCTCACTCCAGGCATATTGTTTGGAGCTATGTCATATCCAGGCACGTTGTTGCGTAGAAGAGGTTGTCATATGAATATGTCACGCTATATGACGAGCCTGTAGTCGAGCCCACTTCCGATTAGAACCCCAAGAGAAAATATGTAACACTACAAGTAGTCAATTACTTTTCTGTGAAAGAGTATTATAGGATTCAGTGGAAGACGACGCGTTAAAGTAGAGACGCTACCCATCTCGAATTATTCAGGCAAGTTGACTCAGGAGAGCTGTTGTGGCTGAATGAATGCGCTTAAGGATATCCTGAATTAGTCCTATAATCGCACCTATGAGCAGCGTAAAGCCCCTCTTTTTGAGTCTCTACCTATTTGTTTAGTTATGCCTATTTGTTTAGTTATCGCGGGCGCTACTATGGTTGAAGTGGGAATCTCGGTTCCAATTATGACCATCTAAGGGTCAGAAACGGACCATGCTTGGCTCTAAACAGAAGCTGTGTCAACGCAGAATAAGCCGTAAACTTATTTGTTTATTCTATAGGATTGCGCAGAACTCCATCAATTGAAACAGTCTGAAATCCCTGCATTTTGGCCTTGTTGCAGTTTAAGCAACTCCTACACAACAAGTAGTATATCCGACGGAAAGCGCAGTAAAATATCCGCTCGGCACGTTGTATCCGATGTATAGGTCAACGGCACGTTACAAACATACAGTTGGCTTTGAGATAGTCCGATGATATCGCAGGCATCACGCAAATCGGCGATGCCGACATCCCTCCGAGATAGTCCATCAGGCATATCCTTTTCCCCTATTGCACAGAATACTAGCTGCCTAGAGGTATTTGAGTAGTAGCATCGGGCCTTTTCGATTTGTATGGGGTGCATGATGCGCTATCCCAAGAGAGCTCTCTGAACGGTTTCCTCACCGGCACTTGCAGCGTCTGATTACTGATAGCCTATTCCAGAGCGCTGTATGTAAGAGAATGGCACAAGGCATTATCATGGATTGAGTATATATAAAGAGAGAGACGCCTTTGAAGCAAACGCCAGAATTTTGACAATCTATTCTGTTGTCTATATTCCATTGACATCTGTACATATTTGTGTCAGTCATAATGCGTGTAACTTTGTCCAGTTTGTTACTAGTTGCCACAGCCTCAGTGGCAGCAACTCACGGTAACCATGAGAATCATGCGAGAGCTGCCACTGTTGACGTTTCAACATTAAAGGGCAAATGGCTTTACGGTTACCAGGGCTGGTTTCGTAAGCCAGCCGCTGGTGTCAACAACCACTGGTCCCCTAACGGTGGTACTCCGGGACCTGGCAATGGTAAACTTCTTCGACTCTTGCATTCGAGCTGTGATAAGAGTATTCATTCTAACCGAGTTCTTTAGTTGAGGTTGACTTTCTCCCTGATGTTAGCCAGTACCCATCGAGTTGTTTGTTCCCCTCTACTCTTACTGCGCCAAATGGCCAACCGGTGCAGCTGTACGACAACACTTGCGAAGGCGTGGTGGACTTGCACTTTAAGTGGATGCAACAGTATGGAATTGATGGTGTTGTTGTGCAGCGTTTCCTGAGCCACCTTAGCGACGCGTCTTTCATCACGGTTAGTCTACATTCAGATCTTAAAACGCCGATAGCCATGTTAAACCATCTAGGTCCTCAACCAAGTTGAAGCCGCAGCTGTAAAGTACGGCCGAGGCTTCATCGTCGAATATGATGCTTCCGGCGGCAACTCCTCTGCCAGCAGCGTCGCAAACGCGATCCTGGCCGACTACAACTCTGTCGTCAAGTCTTACACAACTTCATCGGCCTACATCCACCAGAACGGAAAGCCGGCGGTCATGGTGTTTGGCGTGGGATTTTCTACCGTGGCCATCAGCGTCAGCGACGGAGCCAACATTGCCACTCAGCTCAAGAACGCGGGAGCCTACGTTGGCTTTGGAGTGCCGTCGACCTTTGGCTCAGATGTGCGGGCAAACACTGGCTTTGCGTCTGCGTACAAGGCGGCCAACTTGATCAGCCCGTGGACTGTCGGCAGCTACAGCGAGGGCGGATACATGGCGGGCTACCACACGACGACGCAGATTCCAGACAGCCAGTGAGTTGCTCAAGCTCATCTCTCTCTGGCTCTTAACTAACTCAACATGCTATTAGAACTCTGCAGTCGCTTGGAATTGACCACGCTCCTCTCGTCTGGCCCGGCACATCAGCCTACCATCTCAACGGCGTCACCACCCCATCTGCCTTTGACTACTTCCCCCGCTTCAACGGCTCTTTCTACTCGATGCAGGCAGATGCCGTTACTTCTCTGGCCGTCAAGCCCCTGTTTGTCTTCAACGCCATGTTTGACGAGATGAACGAAGGTGAGTCCTCATGTGTGTTAATAACGACGGCTACAAACCAATGCTTATACGCGTGTGCTCGCAGGAACCGGAAACCTGCCCTCTCTGAAGACGAATCAGCTTCCCACTAATGAAAAGTTTGTGGGATACGACAACACTTTTGCCAACACGTCGTTTTATCTGGCGCTTGGTGGACAGAAGGCGGCTGCGTTTGCCAAGGCGGTAAACTAGACTGCGCCGACGTGTGATATGAGATTGTCAAACGATTCTATTGTATATATAGATGCAAAGAAACTTATAGGAGGTTAAGACGGCTACTAAACGTAGTAATGAGGATGATGAAATACTTAGACTCAACTCTTTGTAGGCCAATTTCTGTAATTCAAATACCCTCCTTTCCGCTAATCTTTTCCCAAGCTAAACCTCCATATGTCCCTCCTCTTTGGAAACATGCATATCATACCAACAAAAATGTCACAGACATCACAGCCAATATCCATATCATCCCAAGCCATTAGAGCATAAAGCTGTATATAATTAATTTTCCTATAACAGAAACTCGCTCATGCTTTCCAGAGAAGCGATATGCTCATGCTGCTCTAAAAAAGAAAAAAAAAAAAAAGAAAAAAAGGCCGATAATGCTCTTCCCCGTACACATAAAAAACAAAAAGGTATGCTTTAAAACCATGATCAAATGAAAACAAATGAAAAGTCCCTCCCCTCACACTTGGCGCTCCTGGCCGTTTCCAAGGAGTCACCTGTGCTCCACACTCTCCGCGGGAAGCTCATAGCTGTAGTTTTCCGGGGGCAGCTCGTGAATCATCGGCGGCTGCTCCAGCTCGACCGGCGGAGGCGGCGTCGCCAACATGTGCACCGGCGTCATCTGGGCCATCTTGGCGGGATCGTGGGCGTCGTATGGCCTCTGAGGCGAGTAAGGAGGCGCCATGGAGCCGTCGGCCATGTAGTGAGCCTGGTCGGGAGGCGTTTGATATTCGCCCAGGTTGATGGGCTGCTCCTTGTTGGCGGCGGCAGCAGCAGCGGCAGCTTGTTGGCGGCGTCGTCGGTGGAAGAAGAAGAAGAAGGCAAGGCCGGCAATGGCAATGACTCCGAGGCTGACACCGACACCGACGCCGGCCTTTGCTCCGTTGGACAGGCCCGTGGACTTCTTGCCGGTGGCGTTGCTGGCGGTTTCGTCGTCGACCGAGTTGACGGAGATGACGGCGGCGTTGCTCCAGTCGCCGCTGGTTCCGCGGTATGCCTGGACCAGGCTGCCGCCGGAGACGTAGTAGATCCAGGCCTCACTGGTCTGGAAGTTGAACGTCGCGGCCATGGTGGCGTTTGGCTCATCGGCCTCGGGCCAGGCCTCGCTGGACTGGTTGGGGAACAGCTTCCACGCAAAGTTGATGTTGGCGGCCTCGTGCAGCAGCCTGTCGGTTCCGATGTAGAAGACGCTACGGGTAAAGGTGCTGTCGATGGCCACGCCCATGCCGCCGGGGGCGCCGTTCCAGGCCGGGAGGGAGAAGTTGGCCTCGACACTGGAGTCGACTGCGATCTTGGAGGTGTCTGTTTTGTTGGTGGGGGAGTTTTCGAGGGTATCAGGGAAAGTAGCTGCGTCGAGAGTCAGTTATCAAGAGACAATGAAGATGAAGTATAGCCACTGATAGATACTTACAGATGTGCCAGCTCTTGTCCGAGTTGAAGCGCGAAACCTCAATGTCCTTGTCGCTCTTGGGGAACACGACGGTGATGTTGTCCGTCGACGAATGGCCCGTGCCCAGCGCAAACGACGAGACCGGGTCCTGCGACACGATGCCGCCGTAGTTCCAGTTGGTCTTTGTAGTGTAGAACAGCTCCTGGACCTGGCTGTTGTTGTCGTGGTAAAAGACGCGGTAGCCGGCGGTGCTGCCCAGGAGCTCGACGGCCAGACCCGTGTTTTCGTGGATGGACGAGTTCTTGACGTTTGCGGTTTCGGAGATGACATATTCGGGGCCTTGGCGGACGAATGTACCTGACTCGTTGTCGCAGTTGTAGATGGCGTTGACGATGGTGCCGTTTACTGAGTGCCAGAAGACGGATGTCTATAGCAGCCATGTATTAGTAATTCGTTCGAGATATCCAGCATATTCATCTCTTTTCCCTCTTCTATTCCCTCCTCTTCCTTTCTCATTCCCATCTCACACCCACGTCTTGGCAATCTACATGCCAACTTCAACTTACAATTACTTTCTGTGAATCCCACCAGCCCGTTGCTGCTATACCTCCTCCCATCTTCACCGGCGTCGAAACCGGCAGCACAAGGGGTGTCTCCGTCGGAAACAGCGGGTTTCCATTATTCATTTTTGCGCAGTCATTGACCCAGATATCACCACTCTTGGGATCCTGCATGCCAATCTGAACGCCCGCATCCGTACCCGTATAGAAGGCATATAAAGAGGCGGCGCTGGCTGAGCCGATGACGCTGCTGGCAGCCAACGCCGCAGCGCCGACACTCAGAATTCTCGTCATGCTGGTCGATAATCCCAATGCAAAGCAGAGCAAAGCAAAAGCGATATGAGCTTGGCGTTTCCACTTGGCTTCAACAGAGAGGCCTGTGCAACAAGCAAAGCAACAACCTCGACCAAAAACGGAAAACGGAAAAAAGACGAAAAGAGAAAGATCAGAGAAACAAACGAGTGGATGAAGAAAGAGATCCCAAGAAAAAATGAAGAAACGAGAAAAGGCGAGGAAAATGGATATTCTATCATCGCACCCCCCCTGGGAATAAGAGCAACACCTCGAGAGAAAGCCGGTGCCACTAAGTAAGCCGGGGGGGCCACGAAGTTGAGCCCAGCAACCTACTGTAGGTAGTAATAGTAGCTCAAGAAGAAAAAACGGGCAAATGGGGAAATGATTCCTAAATTGGGACGCTCCAGCAGCAAGACCTCGTATGGAATCTCGCTGGAGCTACTTCGCTCTCGGCCTAGCAACAGAGAGAAAAGGTACAGATCCCACTAGTGCTACCCCATCATAACAGCCGGCCTCTTTGCACCTTTGCAGGCATTGGCGGGCTTGAAAGATATGACCCAAAGCATCCGTCGAGCTTTGCCGGGCTCTTGCAAGAAATTAAGGCTTACTGGGGGCTGCTATCGGCGTCAGCCCTGTGCCAATGGCAGGCCAGAGTTGCGGCGTGATCAATCTATAGCCGGGGTCCACTGTGGGCAGTGATCCCTGCGAGCGAGAGAAACGGCTTCAGACAGGGGGGAAGAACCAAAGCGATGGGTTCAGCAGCTAGCAGATTACGAGCCCGAAGGGCCTGTGCATGGGGAATATCACAAGGCCTATAACGCTGTGGTTTGTCGCAGCTTCTCCATGATTCCCAAGCCCCGGCTGGCCTTACAAGGCGCTTATTAATTATACAAGCAGACGAGACAGGCGAGCAGTTTGCGCCCAAGAGAGCAGGGGATCGCAAGGAAAGAATACCCAGTGCCTAGTAGATGGTAAATGCAACACTACTAAAGAAGCGCAATTTCGCGGGCAGAGAGCTACCTATATGTGCGTATAGTTCACCCGAGTGTGTTCGGGAGTTCACCTATTCCCGGTTTTCCTCGCATATCGCCCGGGCAGGGTGTCGAGACAGCAGACGAACTGCTGGGCCATTGGGCCTCACCGGCCGGATAGGTACAGGGCCATATAAGAGGAGGCGGGTGAAGAGACGGTCTAGCCGAGAACCAGGAACAGCATTTTGTACAGGCAGGTATGTGCCTTTTTTGCCCAAGCCAAGGCTGACTGTGACTGGTGATTGTTGCTACAAGCGGCAGATGTGATGACTTAATCCTTCGACCCCTTTTTTGATAGCCAAGGCTGTTGCGGCTCTGCTGTTTATGTTTACAATTCCTGCGGACTCACCGTTTCCACCACAGCCAGCTTCATTCTTCCCTTTTGTCGATTTCTCGTTTCCTGTACTCTCGTCGTTTGTCAACAAATTCGAGAGAGAAAAAGCAACAGCCCCATCCGAGCTCGACCACTTCTCCACCGCCCAGCAACGTGTATCTCCCAATTACTCGCGTCCTCTTCACTCCCGCCCTCCCCTTCCGTCGCTTCTTACGCGCATCAACGTTGTTCCAGCGGATCGGCGGCAGCCCAGTGAGATTTTGGTGCGGTTGTGGCGGGCGTGCTAATCCCAACCGAAGCTGGCCTCTGCTAAATTAGAACCAAAGCACACCAAGCCAGTAAGCCGATCCGAGCCTAGCAGGACTTGGCGGGATGCGCTGTAGGTCCTCGAGTCGCTCCACCAGTGTTCAGTTGATTCGTTTGAATCGTGGTAGAACAGGGGCGGAAACAGGGCTGAGTTGCGTGGACATTGCTCATTGCTAGCGTAAGCCCGAAAGCCGCCGCGATAGTCGAGCATGAGAAAATGGAACAAGATTTGCTGGGCCGAGTTTACACGTGGAGGCTGGTGGCGCCGCAGCAATTTTAAAAATAAAGATAGAGAGGCTGCTACTAATAGCAGGTGATCGCCGACCCTTTGGTTTCAGCTCCTTCTCGTCTTCGCGCTGGATCGGACTTAGGGATGGGGTGGGAGTCATTTAACTTGTAATTAAAGATTTGGGCGGCTCGGGCCTGCGAAAGAAAGATGATTCCTGAATCAGGTGGGAAGCTAGGATGGAGAAGAATAGATTCAGCATCTTTTTGTTAGCTAATACGCTCGAGCGAGTGATGCCTGCTTTGCCTAACCTATACTCAACTAACCGAGCGTGTAATTGAGCTTTTCTTCCGCTGTCGAGTCAGAAGTGATGGCTGCTAACTTGATAATGAATCAGTGGCTATCTACTTGTTAGAGCCGGCGGATGACAAGATTTCCACAGTGGTTGGAGTTGGTGCTAAGTCAATCAGTATGAAGCTTACGATAGAAGCCAAATCCAGTACTCTAATTCTTGAGATCTCACAACGCAGACTGAACGCCTATTACCACACAAAATATTAAACTTATTTTAAACTAAGAATAGTAAATATCTTATACGATGGAGCCCAAAGCAGTATCTGTCTGACATACACTTCGTATACACCTAAACGCAAACAGCAAGCCATTACTGAGTCAAACACCATCACCAAACATATTCCACCATCGTCTTCCTCGCACCCCAGTAAACTCCAAACAAACTTCCGCAAATCAATAGACATCCAATTACAAACACGGCAAAATAAAACGTTTCCAGCGGCCGGCCCAAAGGCGAAGTCACAAACGATCCCAAGGCCGCCCTCCCATTGTCCTCCCGCTTCGTCGTCTTTCCCAGCTGCGGAACATACTTAAACTCCATCTTAGATCCGCCTTGAAGACCTCCCTTGCTATTGAAAACTCCATAGTTCAACGTCTTCCGCCAGTACGCCACCATGGCTTCATCCACAGCCGGGATCCATTGCTGTACCAAGGCCAGAGCTCCCACGAACCAGCAGTGGCCTCTCCAGCAAGCGTACGCCAGCGGTCCAGGCCGTCCAAAGCCCAGTCCATCACAGACTTCATGGCCGTTGAGCATCCGACTGCCAGCCTCGATGAAGCCCGCCGAGATCATCACCGGCGGTAAATCCTTGACGCACTTGACAAAGTTGTGGCCGACAATCAACGACGTTGGCGTGAGCTTCAGCTCGTGCAGCACCATGCTCTCCATTGTGGCTTTTGCCTGGGCCACGCTGCTGAAATAACCATCAGGGACGCCCTGGAGGTAGCCGAGATATCGCCACAATGCAACATAATCGGCTGCTTCTTGCTGGGTGGGATAGACGCCCATCTGTGGCAGCTGGAACCACAAGTGGCCGCAGCAAAACGCCGCAGTCGAGTGTATCGAGTCCAGCATGTTGACGGGAATGCCCAAGTTCTTGACATCAAAATAGCCTCGCTGCTTCTCGGTCAACTTGAGGATGCGTTCCCTCACAGCAGAGTGCAGCAGCCGCACTCGAACGGCCGTCGTGTGGCCATGACCACCAGGCTGGATCGCCTCGACGCTCTCCGTGGCCTCGAGGATGAACTGCGTCGTTTCCAATAGTCGACGTAGCAGCACTCTTGTGGAGAAGCTCCTAGTTCGCGCCAGTACTTCGACTGCAGAAGGTGTCGATGAGTTCTGGCCGATGAACCCCTGAAGAGCAAATCCCACCAAGTTGGCGGCGGCGTAGCGGTAGAAGAAGCGCTGGCCACGCTTGAGTTGCTCCCAGTCCACCCATTCGGGCACCGTGTAAAGCTCCTCCCAGAGCTGGTTGAGCTTCTCGTCTTCGGCGTAGTGGTCCCGAAGTGTGGCATACACATCAAAGGGGCCGTGGCAGAGACTCACTTCGGCTGCTGCTGCATCTCCCTTTTGTTCTCGAGAGATTTGCTGCAGCTTGTTAACTGCGTAGCTGCCCAGTTGATCATGTTGATGGCGCAGTGGATTGAGCTTTTCTGGAGACATGTGAAGGTCTGTCCACTGGAAGCTGTAGTTTCCCACTTTGTGGTATGCCATGGTGATGGTGATGCAAGGTCAACAGGTTATGTGGAATGGAAAGGTGAATCTGTTCATCTGTCAGCTTCATCCAACGAAAGCACCCATTTGAGGCAAAACTTACTGAAACACAAAGTTTGCCTGAGATGAGTGTATCTGTTCATTCTTGCCTCCTTCTACTGCATACTATATACTCAACGACACACGCCGTAGACTCGGACAAAAGGGCGAACATTGAGTCAAAGCGCTCTCATCCTCAATCTAGAGGGGAGCAAAGTTCCGCATCCCTGGGAAGCCCATCGTATTTCGTAATATGCCCTGCTCAGCTTGACTTGTTGTTGGCGGAGAAGCCAAAAGCGGACTCAAACTCCTCATTCCTGTTCTCGACCCTCTCCATCACCACATCTGTCGGCCAACAGCTGTTCCAGATGTTGTGATTACCAATAAATCCTGTAGATCATGCATGCGTCAATGATTCTACCATCTCCCTGGATGCCATACCGAGTACCAATACCTTGGGTCATAGGTACCAACAGAGCTTGTAGAACTTGCATCTTCAACTCCAGATATACATGTATAATCGACTCTGGATCGTCAGAATTTTCTGTTCACTCCGTCGTCTGTGTATACCATCTCTAGACAAGTCAAATTTGCTTCATCCTATCAGCTTGCTTAGCCCGCCTCGTAATTGGAGCAACTCAATCATCGCCAAGTTATTGTTTGCTATATTTCGAAAGCAGCTGAACTCTCAGCTTCTGGGATAGACCTTGAAGCTGTTATGAACCGGCGATTTGCTTTCGGCCCGGAAATCGGACGGATTCGGCCTGATGGGATTGAAATACGACGAATCATAAAGCCACCAACGTTGGAAACGTGTTGTCCTCACCAGATGCATTCAGCACCACCTGAGACAGAATTTTGAGCGACAAGACAGCCCATCTCTCCGCACAAGATCGACTTTCTCAGTGGTTATAAGTGAATTGTGTCATATCTCAACTGAGACACCTACGACCGGTAATGAGGAGAGACAGCTCCAAAAGGCCGAGGCCATAGTGACCCCACAGCCAACAAGGTTCACAAGCACATGCAAACGTGAACAGAGATGGCTCCATTACCGATGTTACCGAAATAAGGAACAGCTGTCAATAGCTCAATGCTAGAGCCAACTTCAATTCTACGGTGACAATGGTCCAAGACTTCTTTAGCGCAACCACCGTTCTCACGGTATTACTAAGAGGACACTATCGAGGGGTGGCTTCAAACCAACAGCCAACCAAAAATACGGGTACCTTCATGTTCAGCTCAAGAAACACCGACAATGGCTATCCCTCCCTTGATCGTCTATTCATCATGCATAGTGATAGTTTCAAGATTTTGTTACATAATGTCTGAAACCACATTCGCCCTTTTCGGTCTTTGTGAACGGCGAGATGTACAGAAGCTCAAACAGGCCATGGAATCTACATATAAAGCCGCCACGGCGATTTCTCCGCAATAATATTTGAATGGACAAGAAAGATTTTGGGTAGAAAAACATTTATTTCATTGATCAGTATTTCTTCTTCTTGCTGTACCCATGGATCCTGAACTGCTTAGTGTTACCGTCCTTCTGCCGGACATGTTCCAAACATTTCTGAAGCAAGAAGCTCTGGTGAATCCATATTATGAGAAAGTCAAGAGGGAGTCAGAAGAGTGGCTGAGCGAGTAAGTTGTCCCATCATTGCTTATCGATCTACTTCTGCGCCAACGTTGACTCGCTCTGCTAGCTTTTGTTCATTCGGGCCCAAGATGAAGAAGAAGATTAACAAGTGTGACTTTTCCTACTTTTGCGCAATTGCAGCGCCGTTTGCTCCCCGATCAAATTTTCGTACGATTTGTGATTGGGGCAATTGGGTGAGAGAGCCATTATCTACTCACGTTGGTCTAGAACGTATCACTAATGAATCTATTGGACAATGAACAGGTGTTCCCGTATGATGACAGTAAGTCCATATATCTGTGTATAACGTAACGCCATATGCTGAGCGAATCCAGTGTTTGACAATGGATGTCTCCGAGACAAGCCTGAAGAATCTCAACGAGTCATGGAGAGTTTGATGATGCCCATGATGGATGATTCCTCTTGCTCGAGCAACAAAGAGAGGCTGCGTATTGTGCAAGCTCACGACACAGTCTTTCAACGAATTGCCGCGGTATAGTACTTTTAATTATTTTGATAGATGGCTATTTTGAGCTAACTGAAAGCTTGACAGGAAGCGCCTACAGGTACGATCTCATAAGAGCACACTAAAACAACTACTAACAAGCCTCATGTAAAAGGCGTTCAAAAGAGATTTGCACTGGCCATGCAAGGCTACTGCCAAGGAGCGTTGATCCAGATCGACAACCACTTTGCAAGCAAGACGCCCTCTCTGGAAGAAATCGTTCTCATCAGGCAAAGGTCAGCAGGATGCAAGCCTCTGTACCATCTTGTCGAGTATGCGCACGGCCTTTTAATCCCAGACGAGGTATTTGACAATCCCATCATCCAAGAACTGGAGTGCCTTGGCATGGATATGGTGGCCATGTAAGAAGCCTTGGGAAATATCTAGAACGCAGAAGCTGATGTTTATAGATCAAACGACATCTTATCGTACCGCAAGGAACAGGTAAGGCCCTTTTAATCACCCCCATACCTTTGTATAGCCAACGTACTTGCTCTTAACACATTATATCTAGGCTGAAGGCGTGCCGCACAATATGGTCACAGTCTGTTGCTCAAATGGAATGTCGCAGCAAAAAGCCTTCAATACAGTAGGCAAACTCCTTGAGCAGCGGTACAAGCATTGGGACGAAGCTGAAGCAAGCGTGCCGAGCTGGGGTGAAGAGACTGATGCGCAAGTCCGAAGATACATTGAGGGCATCAAATGCGTAGTCAAGGCAAATCTTAACTGGAGGTGAACATTCTTGCTATTAGCTTAAGAAGCTATTCTCCTTTTCTAAAGACTAATAGGCGGATACAGCTTCAAATCAGAGCGCTACCTTGGATCCAATCCCGCCCACGTTCGAGTCACTCGAGTGCTTCGTATCTTGGCAGAGTCACAGAGTTCACAAGAGAGAATGGTTGTTGCGACGAAATACCATTCAGAATTGCAGTATGGCACGTTGAAGATTGTCCGGAGCTTGATAGTATGGATATTTTATTTGATCCAATCTCTGTTATCTCTTTCAATGCCTCGAGATTAATGTCATTACCATTCTACTTTTCTGCTAAGTAGCTGATCAGTTCAAATGGTATCTAGTCAAATTAATAACATTGCGACATAGTCTACATAGAGCATAAGATAAAACACCACGGCATATAACTAATGTCTCATCCATTCAAGAATGACAGCTCGCACGTACCAGGCACAGATCCGAGCAATGGTCCCGCCGCACTGACTGTTTATCTTCATCAGGGTCCTTACCGGAGATCTTTGGAGACGTTTTCGCCCTTTTCACGTGGGACGCAGGCCCATGCTACTGGAATGCTGCACGAACTCGGAAATGGACGTGCTCATTGTGTTGGGCGTACACCACTCGAAGCTTCCCACCAGCATGAACTCTCGCCTGTCGTGATACTTCAAGTTGTATAGTGACTAGGGCAAGCTTGCTGACCCATTTTTTGTTCACCAAACTGGTGATCATCCGACAACAGGAGAAATGCACAATAAAAGACTCTGTATTTCATTCTTCAGTTATTCCGAGAGCGTGTTTAGATCTCCTATACCAGTGCTAGCTTCATCACTTCAGCTCGGCCCTTCTCGGGATCTCAGACCAACTGTTGGCTGGTGTTGGTGTTGGCGTTGGCGTTGGGAATGGGGTGATCACATATGGAGTCTTTAATCTTACCCACTACGCTTTGCACCAAAGTCGGTGTCTTGGGTACTAGTAGGTACGAAGTTGCCATGCCGTTATCCCTGTATTGCGTCCCTGATGTTGTTAGTAGTTAACGGTGTCCAGGTGGAGCTTCCGCTCTTGGTGGTCAAGGATAGGGATTTGGAGTCTAGAATTGTCATCGACTGAAGGAGTCGATGCTAATTGCCCATTGTAGGTGATTAAGTGTTAAAGCTCTTCGAGGATAGCCCGCAAGATATGGCGTACAAGTTACATTGAGAATCGGGATCAAATACTAGGCTGTGTATCAGAAGGCTTGTCTCGGCTCGCATTTTCTGAAGCTGTTTAGATGCCTTGACCCTCGAAGCCATTTTAGAGGATTCGGCCACATAGAAGTCTGTTTACTATATTTGGGCTGTTAGTTCTTGGTTCTGTCCATTCGCTGAGAACAATAACTGCGACACCTTATGAGCCACTTGGCGTTGCGATCTTGCAACGAGTCAGGAGACTACCATCTCTACGTACAACGTCCGATATGGTGTAGTGGCTAACATCGCTCGCTCTCAACTTCTGTTGAAGCACCGAGCAGCCCTGGGTTCGATTCCCAGTATCGGAGATCTTACTTTTTGCAGTGTTCTTTGGTCATTGGTATTTTTTAGTGTCTCAGTTTCTATCTAGGTTTGCCGAAGAAACTGTCGTAGTTTCTTTGTATTTTGCCAGATTAAATACAGGTCGGTTTTTTTTTTACCATACATATGCTCGAAGCGGGTAAGGAAATCTCCAGCAGCTTATGTTATGCGCGTTATTCTCGCACATGGCTCAAATAGTTGTATCAGCATGCACTATACGAACTATCTCTCCTAAGAGCCTTGATGATGAGGGATTTGAACACACCGGTGATGGATTTGAACACACCGGTGATCACGATGTAAGCTGTCCATGGTTTCAGCAGCGCTGTACTAATTGGCGATGATGTGCGAAGCGATTAGTTAAGCTGGTATCGGCGATAGGAGTTTACAGCTGTTATTACTTCAGCAACTCACAAGCTACATGTTCTTGGGCACATACCTATTCAAGACTCGATATATCTACATTAACAAAATTAATAAGCGTATCATTCACGAAGAAATCATCAATGTCACTTCTGCGTATTTTGACTGAGGAGAGGTGGGGAATGCCAAGACAAACTCTTTCCCAATCGGTACAAGTCAGTGCGAAGGCCGTATGACTAAAGGAGAAGACAGTTTGATGGACGAAGATTCTTTGTAATCGCAGCTGAGACTATTCAGTTGCTGATGTTGATTTGCAAGGAGATACAAGTTGATCAAGTAGATATAATTAGAGTATAAAGATAGTTGAAAAAAATCTGCCGAGGAGAAGAAGAGTTAACAAGTCTACAAGGGTCTGTAAACAGATAGTTGAAAGTCATCAGCTAATATTATTTGTACTTACACGTCTGCTTCATTGTTTAAATTTCCAATCACCCATCATCTTAACCAAGTGCATCAAAATGGCCAATCTACCTATTTCAATGAAAGCGTTGATCCTCAAAAGCCCTGGAAATGGCGCCATCGAGAACACTCCAGTTCCGCAAGCCCTACCTGGCAGCGTCATCGTTCAAGTCCTGCATGTCCTTGTCTACCAGATAACGCCAGACGTGTTTCATGGCACCACTCCGAATCCCAACATGACTTTGCCCTATCCGCTGGTATTTGGCAGCCCTGCTATTGGCCGTGTTGCCGCTATTGGGCCCGACACCACGGCATTCAAGCCGGGACAGCTTGTGCTCGTCGACAGCAACTTGCGGGCCCGTGACGACCCCAATGTTTCCGCCGTCTGGGGTGCCTTTGACGGTTTCGATGAGACAACTAAACGCTTTGTTAAGGAGACTTGGCGGGATGGTGCTTGGGCTGAATATGTCCGCGCGCCATTGGAGAGCACCTGGGCACTGAACGAGGACAAACTTGTTGGAAAGTTGGGACTCAAGACTGAGGATCTTCTGCACCTTGGACTTCTTCCCGTCTTGTATAGCGGACTCCGCAAGATTGACATCAAGGCTGGTGAAACAGTGCTGATTGCGCCAGCGACTGGAGTTTTCAGCGGTGGCGCTGTTGCCGTGGCTCGGGCGATGGGCGCGAATGTCATTGCCGGTGGCCGTAGTGAAGAGAGTCTAAATGCCCTGAAGGCTCGTTTCCCTGGGATCCAAACAATCAAGTTGACTGGAGAGCCCAGTGACGTGGCTGCAATTCAATCCTTTGGCAAAATTGATGCCTTTGTGGACGTGGGACCCAGTGCTTCTACCTCGGCGACTTATCTAAACACAGCGATGCTTTCTGTTCGTAAAGGTGGCCGGATATGCCTCCTTGGAGCCCGTGGAGATACCGCTCTGCCAATTCCGTATCTTGCAATGATGTTCAATGACATCACAATTCGGGGATCGTGCATGTTTGAGGCAGACCATGTTCGTGGACTGATCAAGATGGTTGAGGCAGGCGTTTTGAGGCTGGATGCAGAAGGTGGCTTTGAGGTGTTGGCGTCGTATCCGTTTGAGAAATATGCAGAGGCGTTGGAGCGAGGCCGAGAAATCTCGGCTGGAAAGATTGTTGTTGTAAATATCTGATGGAACGGAAATTGAGCAGAAAGTAAAGAAGGCTTTCTTTTTGAGATGCTAGTTTTAGAATCACCATATTTGACGAAAGATCAATTCACTAGAATGATGTTCTTGAACAAACGCTGAGTGGATACTGTTCCAACACACTAAAAATACAATACAATAACTCCCAATGCACACCCCCTTCATACTAGATATCAGAACTAGTTATTCGGGTTATCGTAGAGTTCTTGATGACCCTTAGACCGCTATCCATCGTTACTATATCGGGATCTGCTCGCAACTGTGTCTCATACTTCCCCAAGGCCATTCCAACCAAGAACCGCCCCATTGGCTCTGTTGGACAATGTAGCCACTTTGCAGCTACTTCAATCGGTTTCCGAAGCAGCATTTTGCTGTTGTCGATAAGAAAGCCCTGTTGCTGAAGATACGGCTGAATCGCGGTGTGGCCCTTTCCATCGACAAATCCAGGCCCCACAGCCTCAGCCAGAAGCCGTGGATTCGCAGAGCGCATCTCTGAAAGCGCGATTTCCGTCTCGCCTTTGGTACGGCCGTATAGATTGGTGAATTTGCCAGGTGCCTGAGTTGAGCCTTGGCCTGACACGAATATGAAACGGAATGGATCGTCGTTGGGCGCAAGCTTGGAGAATGCCTCTGCACCTGCAAGTGTGTAGTCTTTTGTAATCTTTATAAACTCACTGGAGCGCGTGTAGAGTTAGTTCTTACGTTTTCATTCCGTGGATCTAAGGTGCATCAAACATACTCTTTCGATACCTTAGTCTGGCTTACTCCAAGAGCCCATACTGCTCCACTAGCACCTTGTAGTTTACTGAGAACTTCTGAATCGTAATGGAGGAAATCTTTGTGAATAATGACATTGACTCTAGGATCTTTGGCGTTCTCAGCCATTGCGACTGGTCGACGGCTTAGAACGGATATTTTGGTGACTTCAGCTGTCTTAAGCATGGCGTCAAGAACGCTTGAGCCAATCAGCCCGGTGGCGCCAGTGAGGATAAGGTGCATTGTAAGAAGTTTCTGGTCGTGAATCTTCTCTTAAAGAAATTGTGTTTAAAGGGCCAATGGAGTCGTAAACCAATCGTGGGTATGAGATGAAAATCGTCGAGTTGTTCAGCTGCTGGTGCAGGTTATCCAAATTTCGGGATTAAGAAGATAGAAGCACACGCGGGAGCAGCTATGTAGACAATTCATTGACGAAAACGATATATCAGAAGTAGCTAACAATTGAGATTCTCAAGTTTATATAAAAGTCTACCCGAGGTTTATCGCATTTCAACGCTTCAAGACTAAGGGAGTGGCTGACGGTTTATTTCCTAATCCGGAAGCGCGAGACTCCGCTGACCTCCATATCTACGTTTTACGCGTAGTGTATGTTGGTTGATTAGTTTGTGTGCAATTTCCAGAAGAGGCGTTGGTCTGTCAGCCATGTTTCGAGAGAGTTGTTATTATCGCTAGAGAAAAATGTATCGATTAATATTCTATTGTAACTGTGTGTTTCTATAAACTTCCATGTGCTAAAAATAACGCCAAAAGCTCTATTGCAGATAGTCAAAGGTATACTGGATTCCCTCCGCCGTTATTCGCGAATGCCGATCCTCGTCGAGCATTTGAAATGTAACGTATTCTGTAGGATTTGCTTTATCTAATTCATTTCTGGCGTTTCCAATAATATTAAGCCAGGTTTTCATTTGTTTTGACGCCTTACTGGCCCTTTGTCTGAGCTCGTAAATATTCCAACTCGCCACCATAGTCTCAGGATATTGTATCTTTTTAAGGATATAAAGCATTATGATGCCAAAAGCCCACATATCCCCAGCTGAAGAGCGTCTTGAATCATGGACTAGCTCAGGCGGCATGTACCATGGTGACCCGCAGATTTTTGCTTCATTGGACAATGAAGCGTTCCCAAAGTCAAAGATTACAGCACCTCGATCGGGGGAATATGCGATATTGCTCGGTTTAATGTCGTTATGAACAATGCCGTTGGCGTTTAGGTATGTGAGAGCTGAAGAAATAGTCTTGAGTATCCTAGAAACGTCATATGGTACGAACGGGGAGTCGCGACCTTGAGCTATAGAAGGAGGCAGAAACTCGAAGAATAATGCAAGCATACGACCATCGAAAGCCTTGAGTGACACAATATTTGGCTGCACAGAATAAGTTATTATACAGTTCAACGAGCACATAATGATAAAAGGTTAAACGTACATGATTTAATCTGCTGAGCATACTCTTCTCGTGCTGCCATAGTTCTGACAGCTTGATTAAGTCGCGTGGAGACTTATCTTTATATTGAAGTACTTTTAGTACTAGCCTTCCAGTGAAAAAAGAATGCTCACAACAGAACATTTTGGATGTTGAGTCATCAGAAATTGTGTTGATGCGCTTTATCTTATACCTGGCCGGGGAATATCCTTTTTGAAAGTCAGTCGTAGATAAAGGAGCATGGATAGTAGCAAAATTCCCATCCTGCATGTCAAAAAAGCTACTATCAGCGTTGTTGTTCTTGGCATCAAGTTCCCAGTCTATTGTCGAGCTGGAAGCATGACGAACGACATCCGTTGTTGAGTTGGCATTACGCTTTTGCCGCTTAGTTTGCCTCTTGGCATCTTCGACTTCTTGAATTCGTAATGCGTCATTTAGCTGAGCAATGGCGATTGTGTATCGTCTTTCACGTAGCCAAATCTTGACAGGACAGCTGTTTTCAATGGTACTATCAGCTGAATGTAGCTTAATCCCCCACACCCCAGGCTGAATAGTAGATATTCCATCGATCCTCAAAATATGAAAAGTCTCTGGATGCTGGTGCTTGAATAAAACTAAATCATCTCTTGTGCGATTGATTAGAATGCAATCATCGCTCCCTGGATCGTATACAATTTGGCATTTGATGTTAGTTATTTTTGAGTGCGAAAATGGTTCTTCCAACGGTATGTCAATGGTGTAATCAACATCTTCAGGCTGTTGCACGACGTAAATCAAGCTATTTTGGCCAGGGGTTTTCTGGGAAGGTGAAAGCTCTGGGCCTGCAACTGTATTTTTTCCAGAATGACACTGATATTTGATGGCTAGCCGAGCTTCTGGAACAGAGACTGAGGCTGGATTTAGAAAGGCGGTTATACCTTGATTATTGGTCTGAGGATTGGCTTCTTTTCCAGCACTCATTTCGTAATCCATCTCATCGCTTCCAGTGATATCATTTGTTTCCTCATTGCCATTCTTAAGTGGCGGTAGCGATCGGAGTGCAAGAGATTGGAGATGGCCAGCAATGTGTTCCTGTAAGCTTTCCTTGTCGTCTTGTTCTTCGGTACCGCAGAAGGGACATGCTTCGAATAGTGGACCAATCAATTGCAAACTTATATCAGCCAACGCATCAATTTGATCGTCAGTTACGGCCTTTTTGTGATGCAACTTCAAATGAGACATGTAATCCTCTCTTGTGTCAAACAAAATCTCATTGTGAGCCCTGGAGGCACACACCCAGCGCAAAACATGCTTGCGCGTGTGCTTGAGCCAGTCATCACTGTGCTTGTAAATCTCACTAGGGCAGTCACAGCTCTCCTTTAGGCAGATGTATGGATCTAAATTTGTCTTAACATGGTCCCTGTACTCTTCGTTAGTAGATGGCTATGGATGTTTGGAGAAAAGAGTATTGCTCACCTCCATCTCTCCTCGTCCGTTATTTCTTCGATAGGTAGCAGAACTGAACAGAATGGACACATCACCTCAGTGGTCGTGGGAAAATGTGAAGGTGGTGGAGGAAAGGTAAAATCTTCATGGCACTCCAGTACCATATTCTTCAACTGGGACTCGAACGGTAGAGGCGCAGGCATTTGAACGCGCTTTGTAGTTGAAGGTGTACCAATTTTCACGCTAGACTGGGGCCCAGAAGCACGAGGTGTAATCAACCCTAGCTGTGGCATGATGACTTTGCGCTCGACCTGCATTCTATTCGGTGGCCGGATAGTCGGCTGAGTGGTAGTCCGAGCTGTTCAATTGTTAGCCTCCATCCTTTATTGCAAGTATTTATCAGTTCGAGACAAATGGGTTCTGAACCGGCTTGGATGACACGCATTCACCTGCTGCAAGGTAAGAAACCAGTAAGAGGGAAAACACGTACTCGTCTTGATAGGGTCTCTGGCGTAACATAACCTCTTGTATATGATCCGTTTTCGTCTAAGCACCATGGACTTGGCAAGTCGTAGACGTATAATATCGGATAAACCAGGAAACTGACATTGTATGTTCGCAGCAAAGTGATCTGTTAAGAATTCCTCTATATCATCGCCATTTTCATCTATGAGTATGGAAGGCATTGCATCTTCGACGTCTTCTGCCCTTCTGATTTCTCGACGAATCGTTCGGGTTAGCTCATGGAGCAAAGCTATCTCACGCGCCATAGGCTCCACTGCGCTTGTATAAGCCGTAGTCGCTTGTCCGTCGGCATCCGCAAGCAAAGGGTTGTTGATTATCTTCAAAGCATCTAAACCTGTTATTTTTCTCATTAGCCGGAGTCAATAACTCTATAGGGGCTTCATCTTATGAAAGAGAGAAGAAGAAAAAATACTGTTCATATTTGACTAATCCCTCGCCTTTTGGCTTGAAAACTCAGCACTCAAAGAAAAAAGACAAAGCAAGTTGAGTAAATAAAAGAACCCCTCCCCTTCCAATGAAGAGGAGAGAATATACATACATTGTTCAATGCGCCCGTGTATTACTTCCATTAGTCCGACAACTAGCCTCTCGATGCTAGGCACGCCGCGGAGGCGATGATCTAAAGAAGCGTGGCTATTCGCGAAAACACCAATATTGGACGTCCAGATTGAAAAGCGCGCGAATGCATTCTCAAGATGAACCTGTTTTTCAGGATCCAACGCGGCCATCCTCCCTAGACATTCCCTGAAGGAGATGAGGCATCTTCGTGCTCTTCCAGAGATGGTGGGCGGCGATGATACCGCCTCCATGCTGACTCCTGTTGCGGGGTGGAAGCTTTAGAAACGGCATATAGCAATGGGCAGAAAATTTGGACGTATAAAGGGCAGCGAAATGATTTGATAGAGAGAATATTAGGTCAATCGTCGTGGGAGCTCTTCTCTGAATTTCTGAGTTTAGTCCCTCAAGCATAATTACTACCGGGCTTCATCCTACACTTATATATTTGCCCATAACCCTTTTGGGCACCGATGCAGGTGTGGAACATACCCCGCCTTTTGTTCCGTTTGTTCCCTCTGTCGGCTGTACTTGTACGCCATTGATCTTATCACCACAGCGACAGTGGTGTGCAGGTGCCGTTCGCAGCAAGTCCTCGCACGAATTTTCAAGCTGTTCAATCCAAAACACTCGAAATGGACCAGCCGAAACAATGGCCCCCAGCAGCGAATCTGAATCGAACCATACCTTGGATCTCTTTTTCACCAGCTTAAGCACACTCAAGGAGGTCACGGATTTTCTTGGCACGAACGAAATAGAGGCCGGCTCTAGGATCTTTCTTTTAACACTCAATGCTCGCTGTACCATAATATGCTCCCAGGCGGATCCCATGACAATTGTTCTCAATGTTGAAAGAGTCAATATTGCTCAAAAAATTCTTTGTCGCTTAGATTCTGTATTTGACTTGCGTCTATTTCCAGCTATAGAACTTGCGAGATTTTCTTCTTTCCGGAGTCTGCGCGCCTTCAACGAACTTTGGGCATCGTATGGGCAAGACGAAAGATCATGTGAACTCCAACGTATCCAAAATTATCTTCATTTCGGATCTCCAAAAGAGCAGCTCGAATTACTCGCAGATCTGAGAAGGTGTGAGGATATCTTCATGTCGGAATCCAGCGAATACCACATGTCTTCTCTTGACATACCTGTACGGAAGCGGAGAAGCGAGCCATCGGGCGCATCACTATTTGCTGCGCGATCTCTTTTTAACGTACTTGAGGCATCCGGAAGATGTTCGTGCCATACATATGGAGCCAGGCTTTGCATTGAGACGCATCGGGATAGTGACCTGAACGAAGAATACGATTTCAATTTATTTCTTGAGATTGATGAACGCTGGCAAGAGGCTCATTTCCTCGCGGTCGGGAAATCCCAATCAAGTACCGAATTTGTAGCTGAAGATGGCTTAACATCTGACAAGAAAGAAATACTTGCAATGGGACGAAAAAAGGTCGAATTTCTATGCGAGCCCATAAAAAAGATATGGAAAAATTTTCCGACTTACCGGCTCAAGTTCTTGGTTGAAAATGACATGCTATGGAAATTGCAGTCGGAACCAAGTAATGTTGCGGCTCATACGGCAACGCAAGCAATCACTTTTCAACGGTTTATGGCAGAAGAGTCTTTCAATTTGACAGATAAATCAAAGCGTATTCTAGCGGTCTTCTTGGGCTACGCTGTTCTTCATCTACTTGAGACCCCTTGGTTGCATAGCTCATGGGGTCCAGCCAGTATTCTGTTCCTCAGAACGCCATCTGGCACACCCTTGAAACCCTATATCGAGCTGCATTTTGGCAAAGATATCGAATTCAGCGCTGCAAACACGACTTCTTGCAACGATGATGATGACGAAGATTTCGATCCAGACGACTTAATCTCTCACCCTTACCCATCGCTGGTATCATTGGCGGCTATGCTTATTGAGCTTCATTTGGCCCGAAGGCTACAAGCAATAGCACAAGTTTACGATCTGAAGTTTGACGACGATATGAACGAATGCGCCAAGTATACAGCCACTACTCAAATATTTAAGCGATGTAAGAATGATATATCAGAAGCAACACGTGAGGCGATTGAGCAATGTCTGGACCGAACTATCGTTGTAGACGAGGCCAGGAAAAGTCTTGACGCCCATACGGTGAGAAGCATATTTTATACAAAAGTGGTAAGCAGGCTCGAATATGATCTTGAGCAAACATTCAAGCATATCTCGATTGAGACGCTTGACGCGGAGGCCCAAAAACTAGATCTCACCGGATGGAGCCAGCCAACTGTGCTCAACAAGGTCATACCCGATCCTCGAAAAGATGACAGACTACTCGGATCACGCGTTCAAAGGCCATTGCGTGGCCAAAAAAGGGGACGCCAAGACTCAGAAATTTCTGCTTGGATGACACTGGATTGGGTAGGCGACGCACAATTCTTCGACGACGAAACCGCTCCCTCCGACATTTCATTTGTCGCGTAAGTAAATATGCCCCTAACTCGATTCGTGGTCTTACCAACTATGTACCGGATATACCTGTTATGAGAGAGAACGATTTCGCTAACAGTATACTAGGCGCGATGCCTATATATCTTGGAAGGCTAAGTATTGTTCTGTATACAAACAAATGATTGGAAACAATCTTAGCACAACCCCCGTCAAGATCGCGGTTCTTGATACTGGATTAGACAGAAGCCACCCTGATTTCGAAGCTCGAGAAGGAAATGTCCAGGGAATAAAATCGTTTACCTATGATTGCCGGCAGAAAGATGACGTTTTCGATTGTTCTGGACATGGCACGCATGTCGCAGGATTGTTGCTGGATTTTGCGCCTGATGCAGAAATCTACATAGCAAAGATATCTGATCTCGAACCGGCCAAGCCTGCTATAATTGCTGAAGTAAGTTTGTTATTAAAAGCAAAAAGAATTCTGGTTTGCTGACGTGTTACTAGGCCATTGATCATGCAGTTCACGTATGGAACGTTGACGTGATATCCATGTCGTTTGGGTTCCCGTCACGCGAAGTCGATGGATACGAACTCCTTGAACGATCAATAAGGCGTGCTGTCAACGAAGACGTTTTATTATTCGCAGCCGCGTCAAACAATGGTGCTAATACCAAGAGAGCATATCCCGCCAGATATCCAGATGTCATTTGCATACATTCGACCAACGACAAGGGGGCTCCCTCCGACTTTAATCCAGGGCCTGTTCCAGGTGATAATTTGGCCACGATAGGAGAAGCAATCGAATCGGCCTGGCCTGTCCACCTCTGTGACCAAAAAGTGAATGAGCTTTGTGTTGCGCGCAAATCAGGTACTTCATTTGCAACGCCCATTGCAAGTGGAATTGCTGCGTTTCTATTACAGTATGCGAGATTAAACCTACTTCCAAGAGAAGCCGAGCAGCTAAAGCGGTGTCACTATATGAAGGCTGTGTTGAAAGCAGTCTCTGTCAAAAGCCAGGGATACGATTATATCGCGCCCAGCCTGCATCCCGACAATGTTTTTTATGACGCTGAAGCTTTGAATGCTCGGATCCGAGACGCGATGAAAGAAGTTTAGAACTATAGACTAATTAACACAACACTTTTATATTCGGCTAGTACTATACTTGCAATCCGTCTTCCTCTTGGTTCCATGTGCAACATGTCAATTTGCCCTCTTCTATTCTTTCTCTGGTAGTGCAATTATGAGTTTCTCATCCCCATCTACCATCTCTTCCTGCAAAAATCCTTCTTCCACTGGATCCGCCTCTTCCACCTTAACAACTTCCAGCGTCAAACTTCTCACAGTTTTCTCCCCTGTTTCAAACATTGCGCCTTTGGTATAATCTTCCTCCAAAATTGAACCCTTCTTAACCCACACCTTGCTTACCCTGTATGCAAAAATGAAGTCACTATGATCTTCCCAGCTCATATTGGCCTTTGCCTCTTTCTTTGTAGATATCTCAGGCTTAGCAGTCAAATTCAGCATTCCGTCGCCGCCTGGCATTGTTGCTTCAATGCCAATTGTATTGGCAGAGGCAGAGTGTTTGTTTGTCTTGATGGCAGCACCAGTAACCGTTTTAAGGCCAGTGATAATATATACAGGTTTTCTGTAGCGGCATTTGTCGAGATAGCGCTGCACGGAAGGATTGGCGAGACATTTTTCAAGCCAAGGCAGAGTAGGAACGAAGAACGTTGTTTCGAGACTCTTGAATGTGAAAGCATCTTCGTTGCTACATTATCAAGTTAGCTACATGGCCACTTAGGTAGCTATGGCTTTGGAGTGGAGAGCAGTATGACCTTTTATCCCAGCTTGTGGTTATATCGACTCCTAGGCCAATGAATTTTACGAAGCGTGTCAAGATGGAAAATTTTCCGGCCTTTAGCTTCTCCAAAGTGAAGTCCACTTTACCCGATTCTGATGTGATTATCTCGATAGCATCCGGTAGCGGAGCGGTATATAATGCTCGCTCGGGTTTTTTCATCGACATGAGAACATTTCCAAGCTGAAGAGGGCCGCTTGGAGGGAAATCCCAAGTCGGAGCGAAGTAGTAATATGCAATTTGGTTAGCCATAGCGGTGAGAATGTTTTTGAGAATGTTTGGAAGAGGACGCTCGATGCGGGGTACGGAAACAGGGGATATGTAGCCAGTAACACTTCGTGCTACCATGAATATGTAGATATTTACAGCGCTGTCTTCCCATAGGCTTAACATAAGCTGTGTCGCCTCGCGAGGCTAAATCCTTGTTTTGGCTATCAACTGCAGGCAGCAAGGCAGACTTTACGGCTATCTGCTCCAGTATTGGTGTACGATTTATTGGCGCTAGACTCTCACGCTATACTGTCATACAGGACAGTTTGTTTCGCCATGTGAAGCTGTGATAGACTGTCGATGTCAAGCATAAGGCTCGGTGCAGATATAAGCTAGCCGGGCGATTTCATATGACTTGCTAAGGGTATAACACCTTGCTGAGCGAGTGAAACGAGCCATCAATAGAGCCTTTGCACAATGGTATATTTTATCCAATATTTAAATATTCGTATCCACGCATATAATTTATATCAAAACTTGCACTGTGATAAGCCATAACCTTTCAATGGTCCATGTGGGGAAATTCACTTAAAACTCAACAACTGCAAAACCTTCTATCCGGCAATTACTGTACATAAAGCCTGGTTTGTTTGCGTTTTGTGATGATTAGCTGCCGTGCCATTAGTATGCTTCATGACGAGCCTTTCATGGCTATGCGGTGAAGGATCTGGAAACGACTACAATGGCGGCAAGAGCACAAGAGGCTACATGGTAGAGGGGTGGTGTTCCTGCAGGAAACAACTCACTTTATGCCAGCCCGACGGGTACATGAAACTCACAGTAAGAGAACTGTATAAGCCACATGTGGCGAAAGTCGTACATGCGTAAAACAAGTTTAAATAAGAAAAAAGGCGGACACTCGTTTCGGCCCAGCCTATGTTAGCTAATCATATTTTGGAACTAATACCCTCCATTTTGCAAGCTAAGAGAAGACCTACATAAAATGCCTTTCAAGGCTTCGAATCTTACACAATCATAAACTCAATCCCGCAAAGCTTCACTGCACCATCATTCAACGCGCATTGGGAATATGAGCCAAAATGCCTCGTCCTCGACTCATGATCTCGCCCCTCAAGCCTGTATAGCGTGCAAAAAACGGAAAGGCAGATGCAACAAGGGGCTCCCTGCCTGCAATTTCTGTCAAAGGTAGGCTGATCCCTGAGACCGTAAGTTGTTTTTGGTACATCACTAATACATGGAATAGCAAAAACCGACCTTGTTATTATGCTCAGTATCTTCCGGCTGTAAGAGAGTGTAGCGCATCATACCAGCGAACAATATCCTTTCCGCGAACCCTTTACCTAGACCATGATGTCTTCGAAAAGTCACCTGTGGAGCTTCCACATCCTGGATTCGAGGTTCCCCCTTATGTGACGACTGAAATTGGAGACTTCACCCAGCAAAGGCTGCTTGCGTCTCAGTTCTTCAGTAGCATACATTTATGGATGCCAATCATCTCAAAACAGAGATTTTGGAGTACTCTTTTGAGCTCACCAGCTATTTACCGATCTGACACAGCCCTCCTCTGCTTAAGTATGAGACTACTTATGTGGCTACCATCTCCAGACTGTCCAGACTCTCGCCCACCGATATACCTTGCAGCCAGACAGTTTCTATATAGCGTAGACATGTCTCAACATCTAACACTCCCTATCCTTCAAGCTGCCATTTTAATCACAATTTTTGAGATTGGCCATGCGATATACCCAGCCGCGCATACATCTATGAGCCTTTGTATTGAATACGCGACCGCTATGGGTTTGGGATGGAAATCCGTACGCTGGGGAGACAATACCCTATCCTGGGTTGAGAAGGAAGAGAGAATGAGGGTCTGGTGGGCCATTGTTATTTTAGAACGGTATGTATTGCAGCAATCTTTACATATTCTTATCACGTTCATATCACGTTTGTCTTATGCCATAACAAACCGGCTATACTATGACGCTACTGGGACAAGACTGATTTCTTCATAGATATATCTCGCTTGGATGGTCAAAACGTCCCATTATAACAGAAGGCCCAAGCGGTGACCAAGTGTTGCCTTCAGACGACTCCGCGTGGGATGAGGGCGTATGTTACAGGATCACATTTCAAGAGTTCACGAAATGACTGTATTAATATATGTTTCTTTCAAGGTTCAATCACCCAATTATGCCATGACTACATCTACTCCAGTTAGTATCAATATGGGCCCTTTCGCCCGTTTAGCCCAAGCAACACATTTACTCGATCGAGTCCTCCATCACATAAACGAGCCTACAAGGTCTGAAGAAGAAGCGATCCAGCTGGACAAGGCCCTTCGCGCTTTGGTAGCATTTACTGCTAACGAAACCACTCGAAGGAGGATGAAGCTCTGTTGTCATACAGCCCTTTGCCATAGGTGAGACGTAGCATTCCCCATTAATCAAGTTTCCTACACTAAATGAATACATCTTGACAAGCGCAATGGCGTTACTCCACAAGCCGTATTCAGCTTACCTATCTAATAGCTTGGATGGCTATGATCGTCGACAACTGCTTGCAAAAGATACAATGGATGCGGTATCGTGGGAATTTTTGCGTGAATCTGATAAATTACTAAATGGAGATGCGCCGTCTTTTTATACAACATCTCCCCTTATTCTTCACTGGGGCTACGAAACATTAGTCTATCTTACCTCTGTGACTAGAACAGAACCACAAGAACGAACACAAGCTGCAATGAAAACGGTTCACAGCGCTCTACAGAAGGTCAACTCAAGATGGAGAGCAGCAGGTATGAGAAACCCATCCACTATCTCTCGCCTATTATATATATGTAGATGCTTATCGTGTTATAGGCGCATATCTAGATATTTTGGAAGCTCATTAAGCACGTAAATGGTCTGTAGCGAAACGAATAATATCAATAGATATATACAACGATGTTGAATCAGATGTTAGGAAAATCGCATACATGTAACGAATATGAGTCACTAGCGATCAGGGTAGAAAGACCAATATACATCAAAAGATATCATACTGCATTGAACGGATCAGAATTTCCAGGAACATTGTCCACTGAAGAATTATTCTAAGAATGTATGAATAGTTTGGTCTCTGAAACCTTTCAAGAACTTCATTAGCTGGGCCCCTTGATCATCGCCCAGTGCGGCCTCCCCAGTCTGCTCGTCATTCGCGCCACCAGCTTTCTCATATAAGCTATCGTCTCCATTCTCACCATGAACCGAGCCACTTTCTATACCCGATATCTTGATTCGTTTATCGGAGTTCCTAGTATTCTTCTTCGATGGTACTATGACGTATAACGCCACGATAATGAGATGTGCATCTCTGAATCTCTTCATCTCTTGGACCGCGGCATTATACGCAACCACAATTGGCGAACTAGTGGACTGTTCCTCGGCTATTTCCTGAATAAAGCAACGGATGAATTTTTTTTCTGATCGAAGAATCCGAAGAAACTCATCATGTTTATGATCCATATATATTTGCACTCGATCCAGGAAAGCGCTCTTGCTGTCGTCCTCCTCTATGCCTAGATATGCATCTAGAGCAGGAACCAAAGGACTTTGGCCTGCAGTCGGGCCACTTATCTTTGTTAGCATCTGTTTCGAGCCCTCAACCTCCTCTTTACCCTCCCAAGCCCATTTTCGACCCCACATGTCAGCATCAGCCCCGACAAGCCATGGACGAAGGTCGTGGTAGAATACTTCAGGGCTAACTAGCTCCTTGATACTCATTAAGATATCTTTCATCTCCTTGATGATTTTACCCGCTTGCGTGAGATACATTGCAATGCGATCAACATTGAGACCGTTGCCAGCCTTGATCTCATCTGTGGATAGTCTCAACAACTCGACCGCTTCGGCACCTTTGAGTTCCATGCGTATATCAATCATATAAAATTCGTCCTCTTCAGGAGTCCCCGTGAATGTGAGTTGAGACCGGAGATTGCCAATTGTGGGAAGGGTATCTTGACTGTGGAGGTGTTTGTGGTGCCAATTGTGAAGAGCGTGATCGGAATAAGTAACATAAGGAGCATGATTCAGCTCCCGGGAGACGTTGAGAAGAGGCACAGTGAGCGAACGGGGAATGGAAATTGGTTCTGTTGAAGGAATCGTGTGCGCATAAAATTGGACGATAAAGGAAAGAACAAGATGTGCTCTTCTAAGCTGTCTTTCGCATCCTTTGATGTTGTCAACCGACAGGACTGGCATCTAAGAAAAGGGAATTAGAACAAGTTTATTTGACAAAAGGGGTTTATACACCTTGTCAACCAGATTCCTCCATGCCAAAGCCTTTTCCTCTTCGACTAATTTCTGTGGCCCATCTAGCACTAAAAGTTGCTCAGCTGCCTTGAACTTTTGCCATCTTGCGGCATCCAAGGTAGCCTCCCATGTCTCCCATTCAGCAGAGAGCCTTGACAGAGGCATTCGTGGTGGCACGAATCCTGTTCGCTGATCCACATGAAAATCTTGGGTGGTAACTATGCTCCCGTCGGGCATGTTGGATGGCGAATTTTGAAAAGACATTGTTGTAAAGTCGGGATTTCAAAGATGAGTGTTACTTCGGAATTGATTTAGCTTAGGAACGGTATAATTGCAGACCTGCTTGTTTGTTAGCCGGCGCAGTCCGGTGATATAGTTGTGAGTCAACTACATAATTTCAACGCGACGGAGTGTCCATCGTCCGAATGCTCACGAACTGACTCGGCACTCATCGTGGCGGCTCACTCTCACACTCCAAGAATCCATTCAACATCTTCAGTCGTCTAAGAATAGATTGGAAAGGGTTTGGCAGAGTCCGTAGCGTCCGTAGCGCGCTCTTAGCGTTCTGAAATGGAACTGAGGGGCATGTCCGTAGCGTCCGTAGCGTCCGTAGTGTCCGTAGCGTTGCGCTACTAGTAGCTAACAAAGAGTAGTTGCAGCTCAAATGTTGAGTGTAACGGAAACGTAGGACTTTGGAGGTTTCCACTGCTTAATAATACCAATACCCGTCAAGATTTTCGAGTCTACTATCTTTGTTTCTGAAGTGTTAGCGTGACAGGACATGCTCCATCATGAGGACTAAGGACTATCATGGTGAGAGACGCTATTCTTAGTGGTGCATGTATACTTGTATACCCTAGTGCGCCATTACGGCACCTCTACGAACTGTCACTACGGAGCTGCTGCAAGAGTTGGCTGTCCAAAATGCAAGGATTTGCCATCCGGAAGAGAAAGGCATTTTATCCGAAATAAGAAATCTATCCGAAACCAGAGTTAGTCTTGTATTGCAGCTGCAAAAGGCCGGGTGTTGACGGATAGATCATAAGATATGTGACTTGCCGCAAACTGTTTGTCATTTCGTACAATAATTGAGAGGCGCTAATTATTGTAGACTGGACATACTTGACTATATAATCTGAAGCGTCTCTTCTCTAATTTGTAAATTGAGAGTTCCAACGTACTATTTTAGGAGCCTGGGATTTGAATATGACGAGAACTATACTGGTTATTGGAGGGACGGGCGCGCAAGGCGTGCCTGTTGTCAAAGGTCAGTAGGCCATGCTCTTCTAAAAACCATAACTGCTGCTAACAAAGTTAAAGCTTTGGCATCTGACTCAGAGTATAATGTACGAGTACTCACAAGGAGCTCTTTCTCCATGGAGGCCCAAGAATTGGCAAAGATACATGGAGTGGCAATACATGAAGGGAATTGCTATGACGAGACGACACTTCGCCAGGCGCTTAAGGGTGTCAATGGTATATTTGTCAACACAAATGGGCTGGCTATTGGAGAAAAGGCTGAAATATACTGGGGCATCCGTCTCTACGAACTTTCACGAGAATTCGGCTTAGAGCACTTCGTTTACGCAGGCCTTGAATATGCATCGAAGCTCGGCAACTTCCAGCCTAAATACAGGTGTAGCTTCCTCGATGCAAAGGGCAAAGTGGCGGAATATATATCTGCTCAGCCAACAACGCCAATGGCGTGGTCAGTTATAACCTCTTGTGGATATATCGAAGCGCTGTCGGAGGTCCTTCGGCCTTTTCCTGATCCTAATGATCCTACTACCCTCATTTTTGCCGCTCCTCTTGGATCTGCAAAATGTCCTCTTATCTACCTTGAGGATTATGGGGCATATGTCAGATGGATGTTCGACACCCCGGCTCGTAGCAATGGCCTTAACCTTCACGTTGCTACAGAGGATATTAGTTGGAACCATGTTGCGGCATCATTTACCGAGCTTACTGGCAAGAAAGCAGTTTATAAAGACTTTACACTGGAAGAATATTTCAACCTTGGGACTATACCTAATCCCGATGCAAAGCTTGGCCATTCAGCTGATCCTAATGATTCAACTTTGCTCACGTATCGGGAAAGCTTCACAGGATTCTGGAACACGTGGAAGGATGGTTTGACTTCGAGGGACTACAATTTACTAAATGAAATCCTGCCAACGAGGGTCAAGACTGTTAGAGAATGGATGGAAAAGACAGGATATACTGGAGAAGCTATATCTGTGTTGAAGGATTATCGGGATAGAACGGTAGTACGAAAGGTTAGTGACATACCGTAGAAAGCGATACATGTCATAACTACAGCGAGCAAATGAACTAAATACTATATCACCATACGAGAGGACTCGAAGTTGCCAATGCTGTTCTTATAAATGGAATGCCTACAATGACAAGAGTCTAATCAACTCTACTAAGGTTGATTATAAGTAAAAGTTATCCCAACTACCTCATTTGGAAATCTCTTATTCAAAGAAGCTAAATTAAGTGGTATAAGAACTAAGCTAGTTTGAATAGGATACCGGTGTGTTCTTATATATAACCTCATTAGAGTCATTTGAAGGACAAAGACACTATGTATTGCAAAGCCAACTTCCCAGATCTGCAGTTCAACTAGGGGCCGCCTTACTCGCATGTAACTCTAGTCCTAGGGTCGTGATGAACCAAATATACACTAGGATCGTCCTGCTCGGCATATCGCGCGTATAGAGCCTCGAGAAGCTTGCTTAGCCTTAGCCATCGAATAGCTAGATAAATAAGCTTACCATAGCTCAACACCGTTATCAGCACGGTTGCTAAAGAGGAATACTCTACTTGGCAAGACGTCTACTTAATCTGCGGATCAGAACGAAGAGAAAGTGGGAAAATGGAGCAGACATCGGGGTTCGGTCTAGACCGGGTCTATGTGGGAGCTGAGCGTAGCTGAAACTGTGGCGCAACTATTGGATACATGCATGGTCTCATAGGGCACCATAAACGATGCGGTTTAGTAAGTACAAGAAAAGGCTTAGTTGAAACTTGGCTGCAGTCTAACACCTGTTTTCACTATTGTTCATTTGTAAGTTTTACCGACATTATGAAAAGCGACCGGAAAGTTATAGGAATAAGCACGCCTCACATGAGCATGACATGGAATGTCATCCACTTCATACACAATGGAGGGAGCTGTTCTAATCGTTACTTTGGTCTCAACTTATTAGATTTTTCTGAGCAGCAAGCTGCTTTATCCACCCAAGCCAGAGAGCTGGAAGCTCCGACATAGGTTTTTAAGTGTAACAAGCTATGCCTTGTAGGCCGGCTGACTCGGATCCCATGTTTTAGATCCTTCACCATACTCCAGGTGCATACCTACACAGGTAATAAATTCACATCAAAACTCGGAGTTGACATCTTCAGTGACCAAGTATGTAAAGGTTCCCTATTAGGACAGATGTACACCGTTGAGACCAATGAATAATACTTGTAAGACTTCACCTGGCGCTGGGAGTAATGGCCTCAAACTTCGGACAGAGTGGGTGTTTTGATATTGGAGTACCTTAATGGATTTCTATGTCTTGTACTGAACTAAACGTCTGAGATCATTCTCATGTTTTCTTCTATTCTGGTTCTAGTGGCTTCCCCTCGATACCCCCAGACTCGGACCCCACGGGGAACGGCGACTCGGCCGGAGAAGGGGAACGGGGATCCATCTCGGACACCCACCCCCTCCCGGAACTCGGCCGTGCGGAGGGGACGCCTCTGATGGCGGGTGCATCATTCTAAGTGGTTGTGTAATTGTGATGATAATGTCTGTAAGTAATCTTGAATCTATAAATAGTGGCGCATGACCTATCGATTTGTGAATTAAGGAAATCTCGTTGACAAGACTTACCCTGCCTCAGAAAACTAGGCTAGTTTTCTCGGAAGATCAAATATTCTTTTCCACAATGGCACACAAGTTTGACGATGTTGAAGTTATGTATACAAACGCCAACCCTAACTTCCATGACTGGTGGATTGATTTTGGTCCCTCGAAACGAATTCTCCCTCGAGGGTGGCAGCGAGACCCGGACCGCTTAGCTTTGAAGGAAGACCTTATATGGGAAAAAGACGTCGAGATCCCCATGCGTGATGGTGTCAAACTATACGCTGACATCTTTCGGCCCGCTAAACTTGATGGCCAGAAGCTCCCCGCTTTGCTTCCATGGTCACCATACGGCAAAACAGGCACAGGTAATAACCCTTCTCCCAAACACACATTACTCGATACGAATCTAACGCATGGTGCTTGTCCTTAGGCTACTTTCAGACAGTAAACATGTCGCACATCGGAGTCCCTAAAAGCGCTCTTAGTGGGCTGGAAAAGTTCGAAGCCCCTGATCCAGCCGAATGGTGCCCCAGGGGTTATGTCCTCGTTCAGCCCGATTCCCGCGGGTGTTATAATTCCGAAGGTGACATGGTTATGATGGGAACGCAGGTATGTACTTGCATTTCAACATATCAATCCTTACCTTTCGCCTCCACTCAAGAAGTTGATATTGTGAGAGGACAATCTTTGATGAGTGTGTAACATCCTTGGTTGAGGCTCCGAAAGTCTGTTCAATGTTATTAACCCTACAGACCCCTTCGTACACTGATCTTCGCTTGTCTGGTGCAGATGCAGTGACAAATATAATACTTACAGTTTGTCGCGTCTAGGAAGGGCGTGACGGCTACGATACAATCGAGTGGATTGCAAAGCAAGAATGGAGCAACGAGTCCGTTGCTCTGGTAGGTAATTCATGGCTTGCATTCACGCAGTGGTATGTCTCTTCAAATATATCAATCATTCGCGAGATTCATTGACAAATTCTATGATAGGTTCATTGCAGCTGAACAGCCACCTCACCTGAAGGCAATCGCTCCATGGGAAGGTATCGGGGATTTCTACAGAGAAAGCATCTGCCGAGGTGGCATTCCTAATTACACGTTTTGGGACCTTCTCACGGACAAGCTGAACGGAAGAAACAAGCGTGAGGACATCGTTGCAATGATTCAAAAGCATCCGTTAATGAACAAGTACTGGGAGGACAAGAAGCCGAGACTGCAGGATATCAAAGTTCCGATGTATGCCTTAGCTAGCTACTCCTCTGGCTTGCACACAGAAGGCTCGATCCGAGGATGGAAATATTCTAGCTCCTCTGAGAAATGGTACGTCTTGAGAGTCCTCCTCAATTGCCAGGAAGGGATTAACAGTTGTTTTGGATATAGGCTTCGGATACATCCAACTCAAGAGTGGTTCGATATCTATACTCCTGAAGCCAATGATGACTTGCAAAGATTCCTCGATCATTATCTCCTCGGTAGAGATAATGGGTGGGAAGTTACCCCCAAGGTTCGAGTCTCCCTTCTTCGATATAATGCCCCATCTATTTCTTTCCGAGCTGAGGATAACTACCCGCCGAACCGAGCGCAATATGAGACACTTTATCTCGACGCTGGTAATGGAGCTCTACAGTCGGAGGTGGCTTCAACGAACGCTTCTGTCTCCTACAATTCGACCTCGTGGCAGGACGATGGCGCCCACTTCACATATAAGTTTGATCGATATACAGAGCTTTGTGGCTTCTCCAAAGCAAAGCTCTTCATGTCATGCAACGACCTAGATGATATGGACGTCTATATTGTTATCAGAAAACTTGATGAAGATGGCAATGCTCTCATCAACTACAATATCCCCTTCATCAATCAAAAGCCTGGTACAAAACCAGCAGACATTCCTAGTATCAACCTTTATAAATACGTTGGGCCTACAGGGCGACTGCGCGCATCAAAGCGGGAGACTGCGGAGGATCCATACCTGACGGATGAAATGCGACTACGTCAGACGCCAACTGAGCTTTGGTATCCTCACTACAAATCTGAGAAAATACCAACGGGTCAGGTTGTCGAGCTCGACATTGCCATTTGGCCAGGTGGCATTGTATTTGAGGCGGGTGAATCGCTTCGTTTTGAAGTCAAGGGACACGAGCCGATATTTCCTGAGTTTGAGCCACTGCTCCAAACTCAAGAGACCCTGAATGTTGGAAGACATATCGTGCACACGGGACCGAATTACTGCAGCCAGATTATTGTACCATTGATTAGATATTGAGTTAGTGACATAATTGGGCCTTTGTGTCTCTCTCGCCCCCAAGTATATCAACGGAAATCCTGCGCTCAGAGTCTTACTTCGTGGCACGTGTCAAAGTTGTTGTCCAACATTCAGGCCTTGAGAACAAATTCAATATTTAGATATCATGTAGATCAAGAGCAAGATGACTTATAAGGTGCAGAATCATGGCCTTGAATTGTTCGTTGGTGTGTTTACTTGATGACTTGAGCATAGTCATGACAGAGGCGGCAGGCCGTTGACGAAGTCATTGGCAGACCACTCAAATGTAACCACCACCCGTTTCAGCGTGCATTATACTAGTACTATACTAGAGATGGATACGTCCCTTGACTGCTGGGTGTATGTGACGAGATAGTCTTAGTAGCTATAGGATAATGCCAATGATCAAAAGTGCGACGGATTTGTCCACCGCTAGCGCGACGATTATCAATCATGGCCGTCGCATCAGTACATAGTAATATGGAGGCTCCCCCACCCCCGCTCCGGCCGGCATCAGCTTAACGACTCCAGCTACCCGGAAGACCTCACTCTATGCCCACCTGCCCACCTGCTCCGACTACCACATCGTTCGCTAATAGTTGCATACCATGGACTTGACTACTACATTGTCCCAGGTGGCTGTTTCACCGCTTCTTTGCTCCAGAAGGGATACACCACCTGTTCATAGCAAGACTAATCCTGTCTCTGTTCCTTACGATTGTTCAGTATGTTCGAAACGATATGAGCGTTTAGACCATCTGAAGAGGCATGAACTCTCCCGTAAGTTTTAATTGGTATTTATAGGAGAAATTCGGAGTTCAGCAAACTTACCAACATAATCAAGACCAAAACTCGCGCCATCATGCGTGCCCACACTGTCCAAGACGGTTCAATAGGAAGTGAGTGGAAATGAACATCTTTCGCGTTGAACGATCAGATATGACATACCATTCTAATACCTGGCTTCCCAGGGATCTTCTTAGCCGACATCTGGCTATCCACAGATCACAACTCGACCAAAGCTCTAGGCAAGGACGCGCTGTGCAAGCTTGTGCAATGTGCATAACAGCGAAGACAAAATGCAGCAATAAAAGGCCTTGTCAAAGATGTCGATCTAAAAACCTACATTGCATCGATACAATACCTCGGCTGAGAAGATGCCAGCGAGATAGTTCTGCCACCACCGATGATGCCAGTCCCAACGATGAAGCTCATCTACCATGCGACGACAGCCTAAAGACGGGGGTTTCAACTCCACCAAACTCAAGAGAAACTACGTCAACCTCGACGATAATGGTCGATCCGACTAGCGAACGAACTGTCGATATTACTACTAGCCTCTCCGAGAGAGAACTTGATCACAGTGATGCGACCCTGGACGTGTCAAGAGACAACCTTGTTGCCTCTCTTGATTTTGGCCAAATCACAAGAGGAAACGCCGACAGTTTATCCAGTAATACATTCCTTCTGGATACAGATACGCAAAACTTCTGTTTACCTACAGACATCTTCTCATTATATCACGATTCACATTTCACTCTTGATGCTGCTCTTCAGAGCCTATATCCCGAGCCTTTCGTTGGCAATATTTCTAACGATTTCAATGTTCCGCCTCAAGAGTCAGTGAGCACCGCCGATATCACTTTGTCTGGGAATGCATCACAAGGTGATTACCATAATGCAAGGGTACCCAAAAGTTCCAAGGCATCCCCTTGGCCATGGACTCTAGCCAACCGGGATCATCTTGGTACAGATGCATGGCGAGTTCCTGTTAACGAAACACATATACTTCAATCGACAGAGTTCAGCAAAGAAAAACCGTCGTCCTCACACTACAATCGAATTCGGGAAACCGCCACCAGGGATGAGATGCTGTCCATGGTATCGAAGTTTTCATCATCCCCGTTTAATATCCGTTGCTTCCCGTCTCTTGCTGTTCTCAATAGCTTAACGCAAACATTCTTCGAGCATCAGGATATCAGTATTGATTCATGGATTCATTCTGCATCATTCGACCCAGATACCTGCAGAAGTGAACTTCTGGCCGGTATTGTAGCAGCTGGGTCTACCATCTCCACCGCACCCAATATCTGGCGGATGGGGTTCGCCCTACAAAAAGCAGTGTGGCTGGCTGCATGTCATTTCGTTAGCCACGAAAATAACCTCATTCATAATCTTCAGTTGAACCAAACATTCCTGCTTTGGGTCGAAATTGGCCTTTGGAGTGGGGTCCGTCAAAAGATGGAAGTTAGCGAGGGCTTCGCAAGCAGTGGTTTGACAGTAAGTCCTCCCACCTCTTTTGAGATTTCAGTCGAGTCCTTTATACTAATACGTTGGTGCAGATGCTTCGTAGAGTGGGCGCTTTCCGTAAGGGATACTACCTACCTTCAGTGATTCCCCATGAAGAAGACGAGGGAGATGGAATAAGACATAAATGGCTACGTTGGGTGGAACAGGAGTCTTTCAAGCGGCAAGTTCCCTTACGTTGGTCTTTTTCAACGCCTCACAGCTAATATGCTTATAGACTAGCCCTCAGACTTCTCATGAATGAAATGCGAAACTCCATTGCATTTACTCGAGGCCCCATGTGGTCTGGGCTCGAGATCAGCTTCAGTTTGCCCGCTGCAAGAGACCTTTGGGATGCCAAAACACCCGAACAGTGGAAGGACATATACCTCAGCAAGCCCAACCGCTCGGTCTCCATCACGCTCATTGAAGCCGTTGCCGATGCGTCCAAACTCCGAGACATGAGTGATGTTGTTGACGTGGACTTCATTTCCCTAGCCATCACTTATATGCTTTGGGGTCGAGTCTGGTCCTACACTGATTCAACGAGCTTCAGTCTCCGTGGTAGCTCCTCTGTCTCTCATAGCCCAGGGAGCTTGTGGATTGAGGCACATCGACAGGAGTTGAAAAAGCAAATAGAGACAACGGCCCTAAAGCTTCAAAATATGAAAGTGTTTTCATCTGAAGCTAGACTCGTCAGTGAATTGTCTTTGATGTTTTTACACACATCATCAGACGACGTTCAGAAATTTGCTGGACGGTACGGAGATGCCGAGTTACGTCAGGTGCAGTGTCACTTTCGTGAGTGGATCGACAACGAAAATGAACACCATACTCTTTGGCATGCCGGACAAGTCATCAAGGCGGTACGATCTATTCCCCGTGCCCAGGTCAGTGGATTTCATGCAATTGCGGCCTATCACGCCTGTCTATGCATTTGGATGTTCACCATGCTTAAGCACAACATGCATGTTACGACAAGTGGCAGATCTGAGTTTGGGCTTGAACGTAGTCAAGAGAACCTTGGCGATGCATTTGCCACGGCAGACAGCACTTATCCTTCTACCTCTATTGCTCGAGGGCAAGTCTCTTTAACCCAGTCTAAGCCACGGCAAATTGCAGCAACCACTCAACAGGACAAGCCACGTATTTTACTAGACGGCGACTATACGGCTGATGTGGAGATGTTCCTCCGAACCGGCTTTGGAAGTCCCTTCGTACATGTTGCAGGCCGCGTTGAGGAGTTGGATAACCCTAAAATAATTCACATGTTACTTATGGACGTGTTCAAGGGTGATTTTCACTTCAAAGCTCACCTCGCCCCACTGCTTGAGAACCTGATCGATGCAGCGGAAGAGTTGAGCAATGCATGAGATGTGTCTCTTCAGACAAGTTATATGTACAGTAATCTCTATGCCACAGAAGCTACTACAAAGTATTAAACGTCTTCCATCATGCGGTCCGATATCTGGGATGAGAAGAGTCTTTCACAATGAAGCACTTCGGAGATGGATAGGACGATACTTGAGTCTATGAGTTTTATGGTGAAGCAGTACGTGACATACGGACAGCAAGGGCGTCATGAGCTCTGCGAACAATTGCCTAGGTGCCAGTGGTCAGCTAAGCCTCGTAACATCAGCATAGAACGAAATATATATGAAAACAGTATAAGAAATGGCACAACACCATACGTAAGGTTCAATTTTAATTTGTAGTATATGATACTGCCTATTGAAGCTGCTCTTGCCGACAGATGATCAATTTCCGAGCCGTCATATTCTAAGTCCCGGATTACAATTTACACATAAACTAAGTATCAAGACTGATAAGTCATCTCTTAGGCGAAAGTTTTTGTCACTCCTTGATCTCGCGTTTATGAAATACATCTAGATAAGCCTCAGACGTTGAAACCCCAAAGCCTGCAGGAATATTAGACTCACCTGGGACCTCGGGCATCCAACTAGCTCTGTCCTTGCAGAAGAATTCGCCCTTTGGTGGGAGCTTCTCGGGATCATCAAGTGTGCCCCATGTGATGTAACGGAACTTGTCCGCAGCTTGCTCCTGTTCAGAATAAGCATTCGTACCGTCCCCCTCTTCTTCAGAAAGTACTCACTCCGTATTCGCAAAGGAACGACCCGCATTTATCGCAGAACTCTCTGACTACCCCATTCTCCTGCTTGAACAACTTCGGTTTGCCTTGCTCGTACTTGAACCCATCTATCGGAACCTAGACAGAGGTTAGCCCAGGCGTGGTGCATCGACCGCAGCGGCAAGTCGTCAGACCTTAGTTGTGAGACCGTAGTTGGTACCAAATGCCTTCTTGCAGCTCGAGCAATGACACAGGGACGTTCGGGCGATATCTGGGGAGTCCAAGTCTACTGAGTATTGGACAGCCGTGCATGTGCAACTACCGGTCAAGTGGAGAGGCATGGCGCGGATGGTAGATGTGGAAGTCGGAACCGAGTGGAAGTGATGTATAATACAACGCAATTGAGGGCACCGTGAGAACCTAATATCGACAAGTATTTAATATGTCATTTATGAGTTTGTTTGTTGTTGAGTACTAGAACTAGTTCTCGTTCTTCTGTGTGATGCGGCGATGATGAAACGGTTTCGCCGCTTATAAGACGGCGATGATCTACTGACGTCACGATAGCCACCGCGTCGTCAACCTTCGCTTGCCAAGCAACGACATGGCATGGTCATAATCCTTGACCCGTAAAGTTTACTAGGCTGAGAATAGCGCTTCGTCTTCGATACAACGATTCCCATTCACAGACATATGGCAACTGTGATGCTAAGTCCTCTTGACAATGTTATTAGAAGACGGCCCAATCAGATAATTTTCGCTTCACAAAAACGGATACACCGCGCTAAAGCCAACCCCCTGTCTCGAACCGGAGCCCAATGACTCGTTCTCGATAGGGTTTTCCAAAGGAGTTCTGACTTACCTAGGCTATTCTTGGGTTTCCTGCACTGGCTTGGGTCGCACTGTCATTTGGAGAAAAGCCCCGACACGCATCTGCTGGAACAGAGCTCACTACATTGTTGTCTGTAGTATCTTGACTGCTGTCTACTGTCATTGTTAGAAGAGTAGAGTTCACATCAACATACCGCTAACAATGATTCTAGGATTCTCGACTAGGAACAGTGCTGGGGAGCAATTGGGACATGGATCGGTGATTTCAAGCCGGTCCCGGTCAATCTTCCGGCTATCACGGGATGCACTTGATTGCATGATGCAAAGCTTCATTTCGAGTGAAAAGAGTAACCTTTTCTCTTGATTGATGAGAGAACCAGATTCTAAATTACTTGCATTGTCTACACGGCTTAACTCTTCAACTCCAATAGCCTCGGTTCATGCCTTCTAATCGCCAGGGGTTCATGTCTCAGTGTCTCAGTAATCTACCCGTATCTGTCCTCCCAGAGCCTCCGTTGCAAAGTTGAACAGCCCAAAGCGATAACCTATGTAGCCCATGGTGGATCTGGTCAACAAGTATACTAAACCAAATTGCGTGAACGTTGTGCCATCAAAGCTGTACTCAAATGTGGCATTTCTCGCATCATTCTCGTGCCCATCTGCATGAGCAGCCCTCAGACCTACCTTGATCCGTAGCCATACTCGATCGCTCGCCAGCGATCTCTCCGATTTGATCGAGCCATTCGAGACGCATTGCCAGTCCAAAGCTACAGGGCGGCCATTGACGTACCCTACAGGCACATTCAGAGGACCGACTTTTACATTGCCGACATAGACCAGCTTGGCTTCCTCCGCATGCTTATGGATACCGATATAGGCACTGTCATCGCGGAACATAGATACGCCAGCTCTATCTCCATCCTTCATCTTGGAAACCCTTATGCAGAATGTAGCTATGCTCCCAGGTCCGGTAGTGGGGAGGGTAAGCGTGTTTGAAGCAAGGTGAAGACTTGGTGTCACAGTATCATAATAGAATCTCTCAATCGGTGGGTGAGCTGTCCAAATGTCACTGGGAGACTTTGCCGTATATACATACGTTTTGTCTGTCCCTTGTATTGCAGTGTAAAAGTAGAACTGTTTATCGCTCTCCCGATGTTTGACTGTCGAGGCCCATACCCCTTTTCCGAGGCAGCCAGTCGCTTGCCGTTAAGTGAGAATCGACTGGACGGAAGAAGCTCGGAGGCGGACTGACCAATGTAATCCTAGTCAATGAGATTGCGGGAGCTCAGAATGGGTGCACCTGGCGAGAAATGAAATGAGGAAGCACTCATATGATATATGGTCGCCGACGCGGAAGACTTCGGGGACTGGTAAGTCTTCCCACAGCACTGGATAAAGAAGTGTTGACGGCATGGCGCTTTTTGGACGTGCTCACGAAGCAGAGCACTGCAATCTCTTTCAAGGGTTCGCCCTTGGGTCTCAACAAAGGTGAAGTAGATGATAATAATCAAGCAGGCGTTGAAAACAATCTGAATAATGTAATCATAATAACGCCATGAGAGATTGGCGATGCCTACCGGGACAGGGTATTGTGGCGCAAAGCCTCCGGTATTGATCAAGAAAAGATGTATGCTGAACATGAAACCTCTCTGCTTCGTCGTGAGAGTTTCGACGGGATACGCAATGACCAGTGGGATCCAGCACGGAGCTTGGAAGAAATTGAAGCAGAACATCACGGCCAGAACCCCCTTCCCGTAGGTCTCGTTGTGTGTATCCAGATAGGACTTGGTCAAAGCGGTCCAAACGACATAGAGGGCGATGGCTAACGATGCTTCTTATCACGCTGTTCATGCCACGGAAACTGCTGTCACATCCGATTCTCAACATGTTGTAAACGAAGCAGCAGCTGGCGCCACTCCTTGCCGTGATGCGCCATGTTTTAGACACTATTAACGTTTCACTGGAAGACAAAGTCATTAACCTTCTAGAGCCCTTCCTCCGGATCCACCTGATCACCTACAACAACTAATGTACAGATAATGTCTAGAAAGCACAGTCAAACAGGCAACGGGCTTTGAGAAGGAACTAGCTGATTATTTTGACTAGTCCTACATCTTGACTATATCTTTCAGTCATTTAGTCATTTAAAATCGGGATATTGACAGTATCAGACTAGTAGGGCTAATTTAATGACCGCAAACTCTAAAGCTGCATCTTACACGGACCCTACTTATTAAGAATTATGCAAAGCGATGCACACAGAACCTAGGTGTACACTTTTATAGCTTTCAACTTATGGCGGGGGCAATATGTGCTGGACACCTGGTTTCGATGCAAAGGAGGGTGGACATGGGAACGACACCCGTGGCTATATAGGGGCGGTAAGTGGCGGAAGTTTGTGTGATCAGAAGTATGGGGGAGAATCAGACTGGAATGCTGTAGCCCTGTCTGAACTTTTGATGTCAAATCTTCTACGGTCAATATGTTTCTGGTCGCACTAATGCTCATTCAGTGGGCTCGCTTGCTCCTACGCGTGCGTTACTCAGGTATCTCTTTACCTACACGCATTCTATTGTCCCGGATTGACTTTTCTGTAGGCCTGATTTACTGTAGGCCTGATTTACTGTAGGCTAGTTAATATAGGATTACTATAATCTAAATCAGTAATATATTACTAATTGTATAATAAATAGCAAAAGATATATAAGTAATACTCGGGGGGTCAGTAAGAATTCGGCCAGCACTCCCCGGTGCTACAGTTTCAACATCCGGGCATTGTATCCACTTAGGTCAGAGGCTCAGTCAGCTCGGCCCAGAGATTCAATGAGAAGGCAAGATTAGATGGGGCTATCAGCCTCGCGATGCATGTTGTATCCCACTACGCCAGTTAGTTTAACATCAAGCAAATGAACTACAGCCCGGATTCAAACTACTCCAGGAGAGTTACATCTATGCGGTTAATAGTATCCTCAATTACAAAGTCCTCATCTATTAAAATTTCCAAGATGCAAGATCAATATAAGCATTTGACATCTTCCCGATTACTGTGCGATAATAATACCTTACAGTCTCGTGGTGCTAATTATATACGTCTCCGAAATGGCTACAACGTAAGAGCGCGCCTGCAGTGGCATGCTACCAACATTCCTTGCGTTTATCAGCTATACTACAACTAGTAGAATAGTTTGAAAATAGTTAGATTATAACCTTAACCTAACTATAAACTCAAGACACTGGGCGACCCCCGTTTCGATACTGCCACAACCTGCTTAACTCCCCTATCTTTGGCGCCTGCATGTAACTGCCATAAGTACTATTTCCCGTATGGAATCCTGTATTATTAGTGGGTGTAGCACCTGACACTTCTTCTCTTAGGACGACTTTCCAGTGTTCCTTATTTAACTCTCCCTTGAGTCCGTCCACCAGCCCGCTTAAAGAGGGACTTATTAATTCATTTCCCCTCTCGATCCGATCATCTGCGGCATTAATCAAGACATCCATGTCCATGAAGTCCTCTTCCTCGGGGTCGCGTGTGAAGCGCCCTGTTGGATCAAGAGGGAAGATAGAATCAAGGTAATGCTGGTTGAGCTGATGGCCCGCCCTTGGATTCACAAAAACCTTGCCCATGAAACAATTTTCAAGAGGGTCTTTAGGCTTCGCCTTGGTGAAGTTGAGCACTCCCCATCTGCTGGCAAAATCGTAGGCATTAGCGTAGTGTTCGATATGTGAGATAGCGCGCCCGTGGATGTCCTCAAATGCTACCACCTCGCGTGCAGAAAACTCGGCTGTAGCAGCGGACGGGGTGATGCTACGATACGGATTGCTAAAGTGGTTTGCAAGGCAGCCGAAAGTATACACCTCGAGATATTGAAGGAGATCCTGCGGAACTTCATCGAGGAGCCAGTCTAGTATCATGCCACCCTCGATACCGCCTTGGGAGTGCAGAATCAGGATAACCTTCTTTACGCCCTGCCGGTAGAGTGCCTTTTTCACCAACACATAGCATTGCCGGATGTCCGATGTGGCATAGAGAAGGGCGCGCTGGATCAGACACTGAACGAGATCGAAAACCACACCAAACCTACGGAAAGTTAGAGACTGCTGTGGAGTGGAGTATCTAGTCGCACGGAAGTTGAAGCTTAAGTGAGGGTGGAACAAGGATTATACATACGTCCTGTTATGCACCCCAACGACAGGACGATGGTATGTACGAGATAGCCGGTCGATGTTATTTTGAAGCCAGTTCCTCCTGAACCAGCGCAATGGAGGTTAGCTTATATGCGTCCCGAAATTGTTCCCAGGAGTTTTTTCTTACCCTACACAAATTCCGTTCAAAAAAATCCAGTACTCATCGTCATGTGGAGCCCAACCACGAGAATAGGCGTCTTCAGTTGATTTGAGGCCGTCTTCAGGAATGTCCTTGTTAAAATGTCGACATATAAGGACATTTAGCCCTAGAACCATTGCAATGTATAAGATCAAGATTGAGGCCGGTAGATATAATAAACAGGGTAGAGAGATCAAAAAGCCAAACTGGATAACAAAGAGAACACAATGAAGTGCAATGTCGATGAGGTTAGCTGCCGTAGGGTAGAGTTCGTCCATAGGTCCAGAAGGCCATGGATAGAGTGGCAAAAAAATGAAGGGAATGTACAGGATATTGCGGAAAAAAAGTGTGACATCTGAGGTGAACAATTGCCAAGGAGATCCTGTGTACAAAGGCGGACGCTCTGTGTTTGCGTCTTCTTGCGAGGAAAAGAAATGAGAAGAGTCGGTAGACATCATGCCGGTTGACTAGCATTTAATTTATTGAGCTCAATTGGAGATGACGCTGTCGAGAATGAAGCTTCTTTAATATATAGTCCGGCGGGCATGGGATACCACATGCTACACCTTCCATGGGACACATTAAACAAAATTGCAGGTGGTCTCCAGTACCTCTTTCACATGTCAGCATAATCATTTTTGCTTCCTCACTGACGCTCGCAATCGGTATATCCTCAGGGCTGGGGAATGCATATTAAAGTTTCTATTGTGTTGCTTTTGATATTGGTTATTGGATTTATTGAGGTATTGAGTATGATGTTGAGTGTGTAACGTTAATGAGTCTGATACTACGAGGCTTGATCTATCAAAAACAAAAAAAAAAAAAAAGGTTCTCCTACTGCTGAGCATATCTTCCTCCTACACCACTAAACATAGGTCATTTAGGTGTATCATTCTGGGTTCGTCTATGTGTTTACGTTCAGCTGGCCGAAAGGTTAGCTTATCCAATGAGAACTTGCGTCTGTAAAGATCGGCGTGGCTAGAAAATATAGTTGCGGCTGGAATGTTGTCTCATCGAAACCTGTCTTGATTCGTTCTTTAATTTGCAGCCTGTCAGGCCACTGACTTCAAATCTATCCTACACAGTAGTTATACGTGACGTTAGGTATGCATAGCTAGCAGAGCTCTCCACCTTGCTCCTCTTCTATAGATTCTGTTCAGGCCACTTCGACAACTTCTTAACAGTGTCGACTGCTCAAACTAGCTTTCACCACTGAATGATTACGAGCGCCTCGTAAAGCTTGACTTCAATCAAAACCTAAGTTTTCAACTTTGTAATGTAACAGTTATCGGCATTTGACATTTGCTCCTTGACGGCTAGTGAATCAGCTGTGGCGGCTGATATCCACATGCTAAAAGTAACCTCATCCACCAATCTAATATGTCTGAGCTCCGACATGTGATGCCGACTGAACCCAGTGCTCTTTCTGGAGTTGGACCTATTAAAAACAGAAGCTTAAGGAGAGCAATCTGGGACCCGGGCTGCCCTTTTTCTCAATTCCGCAAGTGGGACTTTCAATTCAAACTTCTGCCGCATTTATTCGCCAACACTCGTATCTAGCCCAATACTCTACGTGCATCACGAGTTACTACATTGCCATACCACTATGCCTACCTCCACAAACAGATCAACCGCTACGTTGGACGGCGCAGAGGTAGCCCAAGGATCGGAGCCCGATTATGGCGACGGGATTCGCAATTCTCTAAATGGCACGACATCTGACGGACGCGCCGATTTCCACCAGCCAGACGGCGTGGAGCCTGAAAGAAGCCATTCGCAAGGGATGCACTCATTTGCTAATGGCGGTAAGCACGACAGCCAATCGCCTCGCCGTTTCCCCCGAATCTCACTCCCTGTTGAGTTAATGCGAGATTCCTATGATGTTGTGGTCATTGGAACTGGATATGGAGGGGGCGTGGCCGCTAGCCGGATGGCAAGAGGCAAACAATCAGTTTGTGTCTTGGAACGGGGAAAGGAGAGATGGCCTGGAGAGTTCCCTGAGACGCTCCCGGACGCAGCCAAGGAGCTTCGTATCAGTGGCGAGTTTTCGCCAGGAGACAGGAGAGGCATCCCAGGAACGCTCGTTGGCGGCGGAAACCCCACTGGGCTCTATCATTTCGCTGTTGGCGAGGGACAAAACGTGTATATGGGCAACGGATTGGGTGGTACTAGTCTACTGAACGCAAACGTTTTTTTGGAAGCAACCCCAGCTGTCCTGGAGTTGGACATATGGCCCAAAGAACTTAGAGGAACAAAGGCGTGGAGAAAATGTAAGCAGGCTCCGAATCCCTTTACCAAACGCTTTCCACATACCTCTGAAGGGGCTTGATGGTTAGGTTTCCTTGGTTTCATTGAAGCGAATCTACCACCTGTCCTATTCCTCTGATGTGATGGATATTCGGGAGGCCCGACTAATATGGTACAGACTACGACCGAGCAAGCGGCGTTCTTGAACCAGTTGAGTATCCTACGACTTTCCCTGAACTTCGCAAAGCGAACTTGCTTAAGAAACAAGCAAATCTTTTGGGCTTGGAAGACAAGTTCTATCGTGTCAAACAAACAACTCGGTTTGAAGACGGGCCGAACAGCTCTGGAGTTTTTATGCGAGCCTCCTCTCTGACAGGCATGGACGCCACTGGCATCAATGACAGGAGCAAATCGACTACTCTGGTGAATTACCTTAGTGATGCATGGAACTGGGGAGCTGAAATCTTCTGCGAATGCGAGGTGCGGTACGTGACGAAAGCCCCAGGACGGGATGGATATATCATCTACTTTGCGTGGCACTCTAGCAAGCGGGGACGCTTTAGGACCCTCTACGACGATTTGATGTGGGTTCACGCAAAGAAGATGGTATTCTTTGGGGCTGGCAGCCTTGGAACTACGGAGATTCTCCTCCGCAGCAAACAGCTAGGTCTCAACATAAGTGATGATCTTGGGACCGAGATGAGCGGAAACGGGGATATGTTGGGCTTTGGGTAAGTCCTACAGGTTATGCTTCCCAATAAGTAAGCAAAGCAAGCGTGACTAACAAAAGATTGGGTAGCTACAACACCGACTATGAAGCCAACTGTCTGGCACATCCTTACCCTACCCCGGACCGACCAGTTGGACCTTGCATCACGTCGGTGCTGGACTTGCGCGACAAGCGGAATCCCTTGGAAGGTTTCGTGGTTGAGGACTGCGCAGTTCCTTTCGCTCTTGGCCCGTTCATGATCCCCATATTGGAGTACTTACCAGACGCGATACGGCCTTCATACAATGCTTTCCGAGCAGTTGCGAAGAATGCAGCGCGGCTGGCAAGCAAGCTTTTTGGGCCGTACTCCCCTCAAGGCAGCGTCGCAAGGACAGGAGTGTATCTGATTATGTCTCATGACAGTGAGTTTCACTGCGGTCTACCTACTGCTTGTGCAAACGCTCATACCCCTTTTATAGGCAGCCAGGGCAGCCTGACTCTTCGGAAAGACAAGCCTGTCCTCACCTATTCTGGTGTTGGCCGTTCCGAATCCGTGTCTCGTATCCATAGCTTCTTGGAAGCGCTGACGACGGCTGTCGGTGGAAACTTTATTGCTAACCCTGCTTGGACTTTACTCGGCGCTCAAGAAATAACAGTTCATCCAATGTATGGCCCATTTGAAGAAATATAATATCTCCAGTATTCTCGACGTCTCTAACGCATCTTGCAGAGGTGGAGCTCGTATGAGCGCAGATGGCACGGGTAACAAGGGCGTGACGAACCACATGGGCGAAATATTCAAGGGCAACGGAACAGAAACTCACCAGGGCTTGATCGTTTGCGACGGCTCCATTGTCCCAGCCGCAGTGGGCGTGAACCCATTTGCAACAATCACTGCCCTTGCTGAAAGATCGGTCGAACTAGTTGCCCAGAAATATGGAATCTCGATAGACTATGACACGAAGAATGGTGACTGTCCTAAAACATTTTTATCTGTGCTAGCGGTTAACAATCAGCAGGTGTACTAGACATGTTCGGCAACCCATCGTTCCCTTTGCCAGGAGATCCAGGCATAAAGAAGTTGGTGCGGACTATTGCCAAAGCTAATGAAAACGGGGATGCTGGGATAGGCTTCTCTGAAGTTATGTCAGGATTCATTCACGCTGGACGTGATATAGGTGATTTCGAAACTGCCGCCAAATTCGCCCGCAGCCGGTGTGAATCTGCGCGCTTCTTCCTCAGCGTCAAGTCTTGGGACACCGCAGAATGTAAGCACATTGCCACGTACCGACCTTTTCAGACATGTAAATGCTGACACCTCGGAAGTGGTCAACAACAGCCTACACCCGGCCAATCTCACTGGTACCTTCTGCTGCAACTCTCTCGGGGGAACATTCATCGTTCATCGTGGCACTTTTCAACTGTTCAATCAAGATTTTCGAGAGCCTGACACCGCGAACCTGACATATAACTTTGACATGGTGTCTCCCAGCGGCACCAGACTGCACTTCAATGGTTACAAAGTCGTCAACACAGCGGCTTACCTCAATCCTTTGGCGATTTTTAGACAAACAACTACACTGTATGTCACTATCACAAACCATGAAGCTGAGATCGTCGGACGTGGCACGCTTCACACCCAGCCCGCGGATCTCTACCGGAAGCTTCAGACTTTCGAGACAACCGGGCCAACGGCATGGGCAAGGTTGACATCCGCTGCAAGCTTTTTTGCCTACTTCGCCAGACAGGTCGCTACTCCGTTCTTCTCAGCACTTGGGTACCTCCAGTGGCCAAGTGACGGAGTGAACTACGCTTCTAGAGTCATTACCGCTTCCCAGGCCATCTCATTAGAAGCAACTGACGGGGTGAAAACGACAATGTTCATGTGGAATCCCATTGGGGAAGATGGGAAGGAGAACTTTGCCCCGTCGCCAACCATTCTCTTCATAGCAGGAGCAGCAACTGACCATACGATGTTTGCCCTCCCTACAATCGAACGGAATGCAGTCGACTATTTCCGCGAAGCCGGCTACAGAGCATACTGCCTCACGCATAGAGTCGGCCGGACCGCTGTGGCGCAAGAGGGACACACGCCGTACGATGCGCGGCGAGACATCCGCGCTGCCCTGGATCATATTCGCAAAGCCGGCGGTGCGCAAGGCCGGGGAGAAGCACAGAAGATTTATGTGGTTGCCCACTGCGCTGGCTCCCTCGCTCTCGCCTGCGGCCTTCTCGACGGCACAATCCCAGGAGATTGGATTCGAGGCATCACCTGCTCAATGGTGTTCATGAACCCAAAGTTTGGCAAGATCGACCATCTTCTATCCGGATTTCCGGTGGACTTGTACGGCAAGTTCGTCAGTCCCTATTGGGATTGCTGCAGCAGTCGAAACGACACATACGTCCAGCGGCTTCTCAATAAAGTTTTGCGTCTCTATCCTGCTGGTGATGCTCGCGAGACATGCAGATCGGTTGTTTGCCACAGAAGTGAATTTGTCTTTGGCCGGTGAGTGCTGGTAACAGTTTAGTCCATTACATGGGATTCCTTACTGACCATATCACGTTAACGGAACACCAGCCTCTGGACCCATAAGAACCTCAATGAGGCAACTCACAGGCATCTAGAGCAATTCCTCGGCGGTACCTCAATGCGGTCTCTCAAATGGCTCATGGATTCTGCGCGGCGTGGGTATGTGACGACCAATGACCCAAGCGTGAGTCTTTTGACACAGGAAAACATGGACCGCTTGAAGGGAATCCCGATACTGTTTCTTTCGGGTACCGGAAACATGGTTTTCACCACGGAGAACACAGATACCTCCTACACCACTCTGTGCAATGCTTATGGGAGGCAGTCGTACGAGAGGGAAGTCTTTGCCGGCAAAGGACACTTGGATGCCTGGATGGGAGCGACTGCGTATCAGGACGTTTATCCAAGGGTGAAGCGACATATTGATGAAGTTATGAAGAAGGAATACGTCTGCAACTATAATAACCAACAAACCGTACACTAAATGTCAAAAAGAATGCTAAGAGACAAGTCTGCGGGCACATACCTATGGATCAGCTTCGTTGTTAATGACCTTTAAAAAGTGGAAGTCTATGAGGTTGAAAAGAGCTTGGATCGGCTGCCACAGGGACTATATCCGCTGATGAGAGAATTCTCGAGCAGGTAGACCTTGCTCATCGAAGTCTAACTCTGGATATCCTTCGATGGTGCACGTTTGCTGTTCGGCCACTCAAACTTAATGAACTTGCATCCGTTATGTAAATAACGCCTACGAGTGTACTAAACAGAAAAGTAGTTTTACAAGGCAAATTGACATCCTGCGGCCATTTCTTGAGTATATCGAACAATGTTATAAGTCTAGTTCACCAAAGCGCCTATGACTTCCTAACAAAGCAAACTTCGAAGTCTGAGGAGATTCCTTGGTTCTCACCGTCAAGTGTTGAAGCAGAGCACTCAAAGTTGGCATCTGCATGCATTTCTTACTTTCACGAAGCGTATGTCGAAGATGCGGACATTTTCACGCTTCTACATGACCGCAGCAGTGACCTTTTCAATGACCGTTTCTCAACGAGCCCAAGCACGGAACGGAAATAGCAGATGGACTTATTATGTCGATATTCCTGGCTTGAACATGCAACAAGCCAGTGGCACAAGCATTTCAACTATTCCAATTAACATGGCGTTAAAATACTGAGGAAATATCCACAGTTCTTTTTGGAGTCCTTGGTCTGGAAGGAGTGGGCCTTCCGGATGGTCGGTCATTGTAATACCGACATGGACCTGCTATCTGTGGTGGCTGCGCTTGGCTTGACCATTTTCATGCGGCGAATTCTGGAAGAAAAAGGGCATTCGCTATACTGGAAGTACTTGTTTTCAAGACAGCTAAAGAAGAAGCTCTTTCAGTAGCCTCCAAGAATGGGCACCTCCCGATTGTCAAATTACTCACCGAGAATGGAGTGCATATTGAGGGTGAATCTTACTATATATCGCCATTAAGAATCGCTTCACGGTATGGTCATCGAGAAATAGCTCAGTTTCTTCTAAGTTGCGGTGCAGAGATCGACGACGAATACATCAGCAGCAGATGGGGGACATCTCCCCTTTTGAGTGATGCGATCCAATCCCAGAATTCGGAGATAGTCAAGCTATTGCTTGAATAGAAAACTCAACTTATTTAAACAGAAAACTCAAGACTGCATAATGCCTCGCCACAAATGGTCGCCGCTGGGGAAAACTACTGCCCGTGAAAATACTATGGATGTGACTGGCCGAGACCTGCAAGGAGACACGCCTCGTCACCTGGCAGCTGAAAGAGGCAGCACCGAAACAATACGGCTACTTTTGGAACACCTCGGCGTTAACGCGAAAGTGGTGAACAAATGGGGTCCAACTCCAATGCATTCAGCGTTAACATACCACCGAGCGGATGTTGTTCGATTTCTACTAAAGAGTTGGAATATGCCCCTCCCCGAGCCCGATGAAAACTGGGCTTGCGGCGCAATACATTTTGCAACGTACAATTACGTGAAACCTAGATCTGATCACCCAGCTTGGAGCCAGACTAGGCTATACGAGCAACAAATCAACAATAAGATATTTCTTAGATTGCTGTAATATTGACCTAAACGATTCTTACAGAGGCTACACGGAGCAGATCCGTTACATGTCGCTGCGCAAAGGTTACGACTCAATGTTGTACAGATCTTATTTCGATATGGAAAGTCAATATTAATGTGATGGATCGTTTTAAGCGAACACCACTCCACTCAGTGGTAAGCACCATGATATCTCCTAGAGACAACCTTGACGGGGGAAGAGCAATCGTCACGGGGCTTATAGCAGCCGGTGCGCCGCTTTCTGCTGTGAATATCAATGGTGATACTCCTCGAGATGTATCTGAGGGGCAGAAATTTGTTAGTCAAGAAAAAGAATGGAGATTGTAGCAGATGAATTTGAAGGAGCTGTTGACGGATGAATGAAGTATTGGTGTAGAACAGCTACACATGCGATTGGCCATACGTAAACTTGTGGATGAGGTATGTACGCTGAAAACAAGAATGATAAAAATGTCTCCTTAGAACTTAACAATGTTTCGTATATAACTGTGTTTGCCTAGAAGACGTGTAGTATGAATATCTTACCTGTCTGAACGGCGTATAGTAAACTTACTACAAACAACGTAAGTCAGTACAACATACAGCCGGGGAGATACGCGTATAACGAGTCTCCATACTAAGCCTAAGCCTAGTATACTACGTTTAGACAACATCTCAGACGTTGCTTATAGAGTGTCCTTTGCCTTCGTGGACATTGACTCAGATATGTGCGAGGATGTACGTAATATAGCAACTTTGTACAGACTGTTTCTCCAGCTCTATGGCTTATACGATGAACTGATACTGATATTGATGCCTTGTCCTTTTGCTTCTGGAGTACCGCACGAGAATAAATGGCACGATACGTAGTTCAAAGTCCGCCGCTGAATCCGCAAGCGGCGTGCCTGGGACCTTTATCCGCCTCAGTCCCCCCTACAGACTTGCAGCCTGGCATTTTCCTCGCAAATGTAAGCAAAATCTATTTAGGTATATCCGTATCACTTGCATTGGCCACAAGATCTTATCAATATACCACCCCGAAAAGCTGCCGAATTCGATACAACCGTGTCAGCACGTCCGATCCACAAACATGCAGAGTTGCTTGAACAATGACATTTCCCCACAAGTTTCGAGGCGAGATACCTGCTGTCACTACATTCCCCAGTCACTGAAACCATTTGCAATGATTAGCAATACCTGGCGGCTGCTGAAGTCCACGGCTGCAGATGGCGGGCAAAGAGGCCTCTGGATATCTCCATCTATCATGGCTCATTCATTTCACAAGGAGGTTCCACCGCTGGGAGATAGGCAGAATGTCATTTCATTCATTCCTTGTGGGCCACGAGTACGATGCAGCATCTAGGCCATCATAAGCCCGGAGGTCATTTCGGCACGGACACATCGGAATTCCGATCGAAGCGAGGGCAACAAGGCTATGTAGAGAAGGGGAAAGGAGCGGAGAGAGACTTGGGTCCGATCTTTGGCTACGCCAGCGGAGATCAATTACCTGATCAAGACGAACAATGTGCTTACTGAGGTGTCTTTTCTTTACTTGTCGCTGACTATGTCGCCGACTATGTCGCCAAGACAAGAAGCCTTGCTAGATAGACATGTCTCTTTCATACAGTGTATTGGAATACTACCAGGTCGCAGTAAGCCTCCACCAAACGCGTCTTGTTCATAGTCGAAAAAGTGAGCTGATAGTGAGAGTGTAGAGACGGAAATAGAGTATACAGTACAATCAATCTGTGTTATCAGCGATAGATGCGAAATACAAATTTTAGAAAGAAAAGACCCCAAAAGTGAAAATGCAGTACAAGCGCTATGCCCCAGAAATGTCAAATCACGTTTACACCAATCATCAGCCTGGACAAACTGTTAATAGAGACACAGACAAACACTGAAAACCCAGAAAGAAGGGAAAAAAGCTAACAATGAGCATTCGTTTCATGGTATCAGAGATTCAGGAGTAAAACTTACCATTCTTTCGCCTCTCTAATACTGCAACTTAATCTCAAGCTTGCATGGCGACCTTCAACTTGTCAAAGTACTGGCCGCACCACGATTCCAGCCACAAGACGTCCTTCAAATTTTGTTTGAGCTGGTCCATATCGTAAATCTCATACTTCTTGCACATGTCCTTAATAGTGTCCAGGAACCAGACGTCTTTGTAAGTTTCCGTACCAGCGGCGTATCCGATAAACAAAATCCACATGATTCGGTTCTTTTGCTGCCGATTAGAGACCCACCACTGCAAAGGCTCGGTATTGAAAGTCTCTTGCAGGCGATCTATCAACATCATCATCATCTTGGCCCTGACAGGAAGCTCTCGTATAGCCAGGTAGAGGTAGATGTTTAAGGCGACGCAGAACGGAAGCACTTTCCCGCAGCTGGTGCCGCGATCATGTTTGTTCGTCTGGAGACAATGTAGCTTGTATTCGATGTCATAAATTCTGTTGTTTATTTCCTTGTTGTTTTGGGTGATTGAGCGGTAATTGTCCTTCTCTTGAGACACGTCGCGGAGTGACTGGACGACCAAGAGGACCGGAAGTTCGTCGTTGAGAATGGTTTGCAGAGGGGAGCTCGCAGGGTCTGAATCAGGCGTGAAGGGTATTTCTTCGACCTTGGGGGAGGATTCTGTGGAAAATTGTGGCGTGCAGTTGAAGACTGTCGAATTGCAGAAATCAGCCCTGTGGAATGGAGTCAGCTGAGTTGCCCTCGTATGGCGGCAGCAACGGTATTTGCGAAGATGAAGATGGCGAGAGTATACTAACCACAGAACAACTCCGCGATGTACGCCCTTGATACTGTCTATACCACCGCGCTTCTGGACCATGTCTTTGAGGCCCTGCATGTGGATGTAGGAAATGTCAAACATGCCAGCAAGGTTCTAAACAACGTAAGCACCTGTATATGATGCATGGGTGCGTACGAAAAGAGAGACATACCTCTTTGGTGGAGATCATGGCGACGGCAGCAATTGTCGAGTCTTCAATCTTGCCACTCTTAATCTGGTTGTTGATGAGACGGAACGCCTCTGAGGAATGATATAAGCATCCTAAGTCATCTTCAAAACCGCGGCGGAGGACGTAGTCGAGAGCGACCAGATACAAAATGGCGTGGAAGAGAGCGCAGTTTTCTCTGGCATCGAAGAGGGTGTAGCCGCCGCCGACGTTGAGCTCGAGGAACTCTTTGATGTAACTTTGCTTATCTGGATGGTGGCGGTCAAGGTTAGAAGAGATAAGGCAAGATACGATAAGACATCTATTGTATACACGAGAGATATGATACGACAATGCATATGCATATGCTAAACGCCAAGCAGAGACAAGATGACGTAATGAGAGGGGCCTGAAACAAGAGATGGAACAGAAACAGAAGCATAGAAAGGGCCGTTTAGAGAGACACTCACAGTACCAGATGAGTTTCATGGCCTCGGGCTTCATGTCAATCTTGAATGAGTCGAACGGATCCAGCGTGGCGCCCAGCATGGTCGGCGGGATCTTCTCCAAGAGGCCGTCGGTCAGGTAGAAGCGAATATCCAGCAGCGGCCCTCGGTCTCTCGCTGGGCGCCCCTTTTGCACGCGGGCGATCTGGACCTGGCTCGCCTTCTTTGCGCGGCTCTTGTCCTTCTTTGCGCCCTTGCCCTTTGCAGAATTTGGCGGCGAGTTGAGGCGGAAGCGGCCCTTGTATTGCGACGGGTCCATGGGCAGGTCGCTGGCGGCGGCTTCAGAGCTGTCGGGGTTGCGCTGCTTCCAGAAGTAGTCCCTCATGGCCTGGGTGCGGACGACCTTGGAGACATCCTTGCGGTTCTTTTGCTTGGTGGACGTGACGGTGACGAACTGCAGCGGCTTGGCGACGGAGGCTCGTTTGGGCGGTGCTTTTGGGTCATGGCGATGAGTTAGTTGGTGAAAGCAGAGATGATAGAAGGAGGCGTTGGGTGAAAATTTGTGGTTAGAGGACGAGGGGTCGTAGAAGTAAGCCAACAGCGTATGATATTCATATGACTGGGTAACAGAGCGAGAGAAGAAGATTCCAAAGGACACCAACAAATCAGAAATAACTAATCAAATCAATTCACCTTTATCTCGTGATAGAGCCCGATCCTCCGGTCCCTGAAACGCGCTGATGCCGCTCGACTGTATACGCAGCGCCATTCTTTTGTCCTGGTGTTTTCGAGTTTGTTGCGCAGAATCGTTTGTCCTGAAGTGCAAAGAATAAGAAAAAGAAGAAGACAGATTCTTGATCTGAGGAAAAAAAGGCTTCGTCTGTCGGTGAACCAGCTTCGCGGGATTGAAGGAGCTGCGAGGAACGGCATCGGCTTCATCACGAGCTGGATCGGATGACTAATGCGCGCTTACTGGGTGCAGCGGTTTAGTGGCGCGGTACAGTCCGCCTGTGCCCCGTAGCGATGGGTACCTGCGGTGCTAACGGGAGAATCCCAACAAGGGGCAGTCTAGTGGGCGATACCTAGCGCACAAGTAGCGGCTACAGGGCTGCATCACAGCCGGCTGCACCTGAAGAGCACTAATGGACGAGAGCTAATCTTTATCAGGCACCATAACTCGCTTCTTCATGAACATCAGGCCAATCAAATATCGCAACATTGCCGATAGTACGTGCGTATCTCCGCTAACAATATATTGACTCCCTCGGCGTTTATTCGCCGCCTCGTATACAGTACCTGCAGCGTCTACTGCAGCATTGTACCACACCTAGCGCTGAGAAACTGCCCCGGATTACATTGTACGATTCGCTGTTGGGTGGGGTTTTCAGGGCTCAAGATGCCGAGTGCCCCCGGCAGCCCTGTTTGTGGCTCCAGCGCTATTCTATAGACGCAGATATCTGTCGAAAGGATTGATGAATCTTTGTTCGGAGTAAAATGCATTGTGCCATCAATCTTATTGTCGTACAGGCCTGGCAGGAGCATGTACTATGCGCCACCAGGATACCTTCAGCTGGAGTACCCTTGCATGCTGCCTGAAGCCAAGAACAGCGGTAGCACTGGGGTTCTTCAGGGTTCTTCAGTGGGGGACATCAATGCCTGTACATCGGTGGGAGGTACCCCGTCCACAGCCTGTACTCTGCCCTGTCCTCACTGCATCGCCCCTAACTGAATCCTACGCAATCCTCCTCTGTCAATGACCCAACAATGCCTTGCTTATGCTTATGCTTGATAGGGCCGCTTTGCAATCTGTTTTGTTTCCCTTCTTTAAGCGAACAATAGCATTACACTATACATACCAAAGTCGAGCTGTCATCCGACAATGCTGGCTGCAGCTTACCGGGGGTCCAGTCCCGAGCGCCGGGATATGGTCAAGAGGGAATCTCACCCTGCATACTACAGTATGTGCGCAAACTCTTTTAACCCTATTTTTCATGCTCTCCGTGTTCCCGTTTTTCACGTACCCTTGCGGCATAAAGGTGTCGCCGGTGGGAGATGTTGAGCCAATCGCTTGAGTTGTCATCATAGCCAGTAACGATGACTACATGGTCATAGACATGATCCGAGTTGGCGAATCCATGCTCTTTAATCTGTAAATCTCTTCTAGTAGTCTTTACAACTAATTCTATCACTTCTAGCTGAGCCTCCTTATATATAAACTATGAGTAGACATGCATTGTGGTACCGCCAGTTGCAAGCACTGTATCACTGACTGCATAGACACATGTGATCCGCAAAGGGCTCCATTCTTTCAAGTTGCATGAATTTGGATTACCTCAGATGCAGGCAGTTTCCGCTGTCACCCGCTATTCTTCCGCAGCAGTAATATTCACAGCAATCAGCAAACCGTGTCGGCCGAATATCGACGGCGAATAGCCTTGGTTGTCGGCGTCTCTTTACGATGTTGCTGCTGTTGGTTTTGATTCTCAGAGCACTAGCTGCTAGTGTGCGCCACTCTGTCTATGCAAAACACATTGGATGAGAATGATTGGAAGGTATTCTTTATGCTTACTAGAAATGTGGTCCTGCCTTTTTTCTAGATAAGCACTGAAAACAATCCATGTAAAGAAGCTTCTATAAGTTGTGGGCGAAGGAAGCTGGATTGTTGTCGTGTAACAGCTCTTGACGGTACAATCAACGACCCGTGACATCTTTCATCCTATTTCATTGTATCCCCGTCGCCAAGTCACTATTAGTCACAGTCACCTTCAACTTGACAAGCGAGACGGACTGAGCCCCTGGCAGTCCTGTTGAGCTCAACTCCGCCCATGCAGCCGAGAAGGGGATCTACAAGGTACTCGGAGGAATAATAGGTATGCGGCAGTCTTAACTAAAATTAACCAAATGACAACAAATAATGGAATTGAAATGAAAATGTCTATTACTTGTACGTAGATGTGTACATACAGTGCCTCAAAGTTAATTCCGATGAAGCCAGGGTAGATTGACATGTTAGCACAGGCCGAATGTTCAATGCTAGTGTAGCTGCGCCACCAATTCAAAAGACAATAAGATGCGAATAATACAATTCATAGTTTAGTGAATTCTGATTTGAATGATACAATTAACACCACGATTTAATGAGGAATTGTAGGTCAAAATGGAAGCTCGTCGGAATTAATTTCTCCCCACTACAGGTAGGCGGAGACGTATAAGACATGCTTCAATCGCTCCACTCGAGGCCTTGTCAAGACTGTGCTGATCTTACAGCATAAGCGGCAAAGTCCGCAAAATTTATGCTAAATGATATCAACTGCTAGCTTCTTATTCAATTAAGACTTTATTAGCTGTAATGCTTTGATGACCATGGAATTATAAAAAATATAGACTGACAATGTTAATGCTCCTAGAAAGCACGCTCTCCATAAAGATAGCATCAGAAAAGCAACGATTGGAGAACCACACATAAAGGCTAAACTCGTACACAAAACTGTGTCGCCTTTTCAATCGCCACGCTTCCAACTTCTCTGGCCAAAGCCCCCGCCAAAGTCAGACCACTGACCTCGATCTTCGGAGCTTTAGTGGGATGCAGGCAGCAAAATCCGCCATCCAGGCATCAATGGACACTGTAAGAGGCGCTATAGAGATCCTACTGTGCTGCTCAAGCGAGTTGTCGGGAGCTAACAGAGCTGCGAAGGATCGGGTTAAGCCCTTCTGGGAAACTCCAAGGATCTACGGATATGTATCCTACATTAGCCAAAAGATATGAGAGATATTCACAACTAATAACTGAGCATCGGAACAAGACTCGCATGGAACGAGTGTCACCATAATAGTTTTTTTAAAGATATCACAAGATGGCAGCCTCTAAGCCGAAATGGGCCACGGTCAAGACAACCTTGCCTGCGCGCCCACTGCCACTCAACGCCTCTCGATCTCCCGTAACAACAGACAGCTTGCTTATCCGGCCTCTTGTTCCAGAAGATGCCCGCAGCCTGCATATTCTGCGGACTCAGCCCGAGGTCATGGCCAACAGTCCCCAAGGCAGGCCCGACAAGGATCTGGAAGAGACGCAGCAGAGGCTCAGCCCGTTTCTCTCTCCCAATGACGAGAAGACATTCAACTGTGCCATTTGTCTCAAAGACACGGGAGAATTAATTGGCATTGGCGGATGCCACCAGCTCGTCTCCATGTTTGGCTGGCCTGCCATCGGATACATGATCCGAACGGAGTTTTGGGGCCAGGGCCTCGCCACCGAATTCGTCAAGGCATGGCTGGAGTCGTGGTGCGAGTTGCCCCGCGCAGAGGCAGAGTTGGAAATTGACCGGCGGACCCTTTTGTCTGATGAGGATGAAGAGTCGTCGCCGGAGCAAGTGACTGCGTTTACGCTCGTGGATAATATTGGTAGCCAGAGGGTGCTGGAGAAGGCTGGGTTTGAGCGGTTTCTGACTTGGGAGGAGGCTGATTTGAGAGATCCGGCTTTGCAGGTGACGCTGATTGGATATCGGTACGTGCTGGGGGACCATTTACGGAATTGAAGCATGACGGTGGTAATGGAGCGTTCATCGATAGTTCAGAGTTGCATTGAGCTTTGTCTAACCTATTGGGGCCCTATCTGATACTCTTCGAATCCTATACGCATACAAATCTTCTTATACCAAAGTCACACGGTCGTCGTACAAACCATATCTTGAAAATGAACAAAGTCAGTTTGCCAGTCTGCCTCGCGATTTTGCTGCGGGGTTGAGCTGAATTTGCTTCTGTTGGGCCTGAAGATATGGAGACTTTACTGCGCTACTCGCTGAACTGTCTCCGCATAAGCAGAACAGCCTTTGTGCATCTTACAATGAGCCTTTGTTAGGCATCTCTCACATATCGGTCCTACGATGGCCATATCTCAGAACTAAACAGCGGTCTAGGCTCTCTCAATGAATTGGAGATACACCATGTCTCACCGTCATTAAGCCGCTCTATACCGGCCTGAGCTGCCTCTCTCTCATTCCGTTTGTTGAGCCGCACAGCCACAAACCGTCCCAAACAGCAGGCTCCAGGGCATTCTCAAAGCGCCAGCAAACAAAGAACACCATCACGAGCCACAATCTGTGCTCCCTCTCGGTGGATTCACCTCGCTCAGCAAAGCCGCTTTGTACCACTCGACTATATGAAGAGGCCGCATGCATCTTGGCCTCCATGCTGAAAATTCATCACATCGTGTCTGCGATTGGCGCCCGAAATGGAGACACTCAGGCGGATTTTTCACTACCTCACCCATCTGGAATGGACGGAGCAAAAACAGCACGTCTGCATATTCTGCGACCGCAAAAATTTCGCCGAAATAGTATACGAGGTGTGTTTTGTGGTGGCATTATTCTGGCTGCGAAAGTGTATGCTAAAAATTTTCTTCTAGGATGCCCAAATCGTTGTCATCAATAATCGACGCCTGGCGGGGCAGACACACTGGCTCATACTGCCCAAGGAACACGCCGTGAGAGATATTGAGAACCTCAACTCTTCGCATCTAAATCTCTGTAAGCGTTAATGCTCCAGAATCCTTCTAGGATATCTTACTTATAAGAACAGTACAACGCATGGATGAGGTGAAACGCCAGCTCATTCAGGAGCAATGTCCCGATGTACCCCCATCTTGGATACACTCTGGCTACCATCGAGGACGACGACGGCTGTTAGGCAGCATCTTCTATCCCGACATCATCTCAATTCACCATCTGCATCTCCACGTCATAGTGAAACCCAAGCGGATGCTTCTCTGGTTCAAGTACCCGCCTTGGCTGCGTCTCATGTGGAAGTCAGACGCCAGAGTGCTTCGGGAAGTGGAAATGCTATCATCAAAGCAGATATGACGCCCAATAAGCAAAATTTGAGGGGTTTGTAACCCGATTTAATACATAAAAGAGACTTCACGGATAGATTTTGTCTTAGAGTAGCCTTCAGAGGACCTTCCTATTCATTCGCATAGAAATAAACGCTTTAAAAACTAATCGCTCCAATATATCCAACAGTATAACTCGCTTTGCTCAAATGCTCCCAACTTCTTGCCTCTCAATGGTTGCATCCATCATGGTACTCATTCTCAAGGCCCAGCTACTGCTGTGCCCTGGCTTTCTCCCCCAGTGCATGTCGAACGTTGAACACGGCTAATATTAACATTATAATTGCCCCAATGGCCAGCGTAATTAACGGGGCCAGTATGGAAAATAGTGTGAATCCATACGATACGCGGTTGAACATTGCGTTTGTGTTTAATTGTGTCGTAGCCAATCCCACTTGCATCGCCGTCAACACCACGGTGATGTAGATGATGGCCGTTAGCACCCATTTAAAGTTTCTCTCAAAGTAAGTCGAGTACTGATGATAGCCGTACTCGTATCCTCGGATCATGGTCTTGAAGTTTGATGCAAAGCTGAATCGGTATATCAGATTAAGTCGCTTGAGACGCAGTTCGCCGTAATTGTATCTTTGGTTGATGCTTGCCGGATCTTCTTGGATGCGTGAAACCACGGCCGCAGAGAAGGGAGCCCAATTCTCCCACTTGATGTCCTCCGAGATCAAACCCTTTGCATGCGCAATCCGTAGATCGCTTTTGCTGCTTATTAGCCATGTATAAGAATAAAGGAACCCTCTCGCACTCCTATAAAGGCCTTCGTCCTTGCAAAGTACGTCGATCCAGGTTTTATAGCTGAGCAAATAATCAGGGAGCGGCTTCAAGGTCACGACGTTGTCGCGCCAAACAAGATGCAGATCGGCATTCTCAGTAATGATGACTTCTCGTCCAACTCTGACTTGGTTGTGCAATGCTCGCGAGGCCGATGGCAGTCCTGCTAACCAGAGGTGTTTGTGGATTTTGTTCAGGCGCGTAACATCAAGATCGCACACCATGTACCTCTTGACTGAGGAAGCGACATGTTTGTTGATGCTTACAACATTCCTTTTGTGGTGGTAAGTCCCCGGAAGCACAAGGTCTTTTTCTTCCAAAATTTTCTCGTCTTCAGCAAATGGAGGTTCTAAGATTAGACTTGCGGTCAGCAAATTGTAAGAGCGCCATTACTATTACGCTTTTGACAGCAGTGCATTACCATAGCCTCAAAGAATACTACTTACCAAGCCCCTTTGAACTGTCAATCTCTATCGCCACAGAGTTCTCGGTTTCTTCTACTACATTTCTCTCCATTAGCATTTGCTTATTGACTTGATGGCCTTGTAGGCACGGTCGGCAGCCATGCCTTGGCGGTGGATCGATATCGGAACAACATGAAGGCACCTACGTATCGGCCTGACTACCATTTCTTGGTGTTTTCCCATAACAACTTTAAAAATGAGCGACAAGCATATACTACAACGAGATGATCAGAGCAATTCGAAACAGTAGCCTGGCGGTGCTGCTTAACCGCAAGATCATTCACATAGGCTGCTGACGAGCATGGCTCTAAAGACATCTTTCTGAGATCCAAGGCGTATTAGTATGGACCTTGGCAGCCTTATAACCCTGGTAGGTCCATAGCCATCAAAGAATTCTGATTAGGCTACCTTGTGGCGAGAAATCTGCGACCCCGCAGTCATTGAGGCAGGGCATTCCCAGTGTCCATCCACAAAGCAGAATTAGACGCCGCTGCAGTATCAAATGAATCGCTATTTGTGCGATGTTTCTATATAGGCGCTGGATTGCTCCACCCATTTTCGATTGCCAAAGCCACAATTGTATATGCAACAGACGTGGCATGCAAGCAGTGGTAGACTCAAGCAAATTATACCTTTTATCTGATACCCATTGATATGCAGGTTACCGACAGGTTACCGGCATGTCTCACTGCAACTAATTCGCGAACAGTTTTATTGTGGACGGGGTTCAATGCCTATACATACATTACACCAAGACCAGCTATTGTGGTACGAACTCGTGAATAGATAAAACGACAGAAGCTATGTACATCTTCAGCGCTTACATACTAGCCTCCGAATTTTCTCGCTAAATAATAGCCTGCATCTCGACGGAAGCTACTGAACATTCTAGTTGAGCGAATGTCGATCAAAAAACTTGGCAAGCTTGGTTACGAGAAATGAGTTTCGCGAGGAAATTAATAACAACGCCAAACTGACCTTTTGGCCCCGCGAATTGAGTATTATTGGGACCACGTATGTCGGTAAAGTCGTTGACCAATGATGAGCACGTTCGGTGAAGCCTACCGCCCAAAATCACCAATCCCTGTTTCAGCTCCCATAAAGCTCGCTGATGAAGAGCAATTGTCGAGTCGTCATCCTTCTGGCAACCGCTTGGCAACCCTATGGACGCAAATCCAGCATATCCAAATCACTTGAAGGGACTGGATATTTTTACTTTGCAGTGGTATTAGTAGTGGCATGAAGTAGATTTCGCCCATGTTCCTGGCATCGGTTAGGCATCCCCGCATGTGATATTTATAGGCTGGGATGGAGGTCTTCAGCTAATCCAAACGCCGTGCTCTACAAATCCAGCGGTAAGATGTACGAATAGGGCAAAGCTTTGACAGCTTCTGCGTTTGACGGCAGAGAAGATATCTCGAGACTTCTAGCCGCCATCGCAAATCCCAGTCAATCTCAAGGCTGATAGCCGCCGCTGACCAAAACCACCCAACACCCATATTGCGGAACTGCTTCTGAAACGCGGCGCAAATCTCAACGCCGCGGCATTCTTCCCACTGCTTCGTTGCTGACTCTGCTCAACAAGGGCGCCGATGTCAACCTCCCTGATCGAGATGGAGACACTGCGCTGATCATCTCCGCCGGTCGTAGTGATCTCGCGGCTGTTACGTTCCTGCTTGCCAACGGCGCCAATCTCTTGCACTTGAACAATAAAAATGTCAACGCACTGATCGAACGCACTGAGTATTCGTACCAGCGCGAAGAGTGCCTGAGAGAGCCCATTGCGGCCTATTCATCGGTCCGTATGTGCCTCGATATGATAAAATGAAGAGCAAGACGGATTTATCGGCTCTGGTGAAGTTGGCTGCTCGAGGAAATCCCAGGTGAAGCTATGGGTTGGATCCATCCCTGAACCTATATTGATAGTAGAGCTGGGGCGTACGAACTTGGGTACCTTTTCAGCAATCGACTATGCCTATGGGCGTGTATCCAATCTTCGTCAATTTCTTATTGGCCTATCACTCGAACTATCCCGTTGCCATGCAAATTAAAAGCCCGAAAGCTAAAATTTCTGTATGGAGTTCGTCCCATAAGCTTTCCCACTACTACTCTACCCCGAAATTAGAATGAGGCTGAACGCTAATTCGAGTCATGATCAGCTTCAGCCAGCAGTAAATCACATTTTGAGTTCGACTTAACGGGATGAGCCGCTCAAGCTCCATTAAAGTTAATACCAAGAAGCGTGTGGGTGTCCTATTGGAGATGCTGCGGACAAGACATGGAAGAGCTGAGTAAGAGAGGCAACTTTTGTCTAATCTCAACGACCCCAGTCTAACCATTCTAGCTAGTCTCATGACCATTCTATCCAATACCAGAGCATCACTAATCCCTCTGCTGTTTGTGACGCTCAAGAGCAATCAGCCCACTAATAAACTTGCCCGGAAGTGGCAGCAATCTTGTATTCTCCTCCTCTCTGATAATGATATGAGCCGCACCAAGATACTGCTCAACGAATTCATTCCACACCACCTTCTCAATCCTCGATTCTCGCAGTGGCCGTGGGAAATACGGGTCGTTGAACTTGTAGGCTTCAACAGCCGTTGCAACGCCCGCTTCGTCCATGGTAATGGGCTGCACCTGGTTAAAATCCAAGACCCAGAGGTCTGCAGTTCGAGTAAAGAAGTCGTTGTGAACGTTGGATGGCGGTCCAGTATATATGGGTTGCTCAAAAGTTTGAATCTCCCGACCAAGAAAATTTTCTGAAATCTTTTCCGAGGAACTTGCCAAAACGAATTCCACATTCCGAGCATCGGTCTTCGCAGCCCAATGCATGACTGCAAGAGCAGTGGCGATTCGTCCAGCTATGACTTTGGCATCCAACTGAAGATCGGCCATCTGGTTCAGATGGAGCCTGAAGTTTCGGAGCGAGAAGCTGCGCCCTATTCCTCCCCACATGGAGCCGAGATAGACTCGCACCAGGCAGTCTCTATTTTCCGGGCCACGGCGGGCGGCGCTTTTATCCTGCTCTGCACAGAAATTCTCGATCAGGAGGTCTCGAGTCCTCAGGGGTAATGGATAGATTCTCTCGGTGACGAGGGCGTCTTTGGGCATATTACAGACTTGCTCTGCTGCTTGTAGAAGCGTTGGCTTGTCGTCAAAGTAAGGATTTCCCTTTGGGACAAAGTAGTGGCAGGCCGGAATCTTGACTTCAATCACGCTCCAAATGCGGAATTGGTCTGCAATGGAAGCGTGCATCACATAGTCGTTCCACAATGCGTTGCCGTCAGTCTTGGCTACTTTGACCACAAAAGGCTGTCCCTCTTGTGCAAGGATAGTGCCGCAAGAGCCCGCACCAATCTTCCTGTAAGGAAGGTCGGCGTCATTTCTTTCCCGACGCTTAATCTTAAAAAATGTCGCGAAGTGCTGGTTACGAAGCGAGAGCCTCCTGCTCAGCTCCAGCTCGATGCTGTTAAGAACTCTAGTCTCCAGCGGTGCTCGGGGAATCTCTTCGGTAACCTCGTTCAAAAAAGAGCGTAGTGACGCAGGGAGAGAGTTGTATTGGGTATTCAGGCGCTTTGGATGCCACAACACCATGACGGGCGAATATATCGATAATATTCGATGCTGATATTGATAAACTCCAGTGTCAAGTATGTCATGTGGGGTGTAAGAACGAAAAGAAAAGTAAACAAGCTTGGCCCTGGACGACAAGACTTTATAGACCAATCCTGCCCAAATATGCTCTACCAGCTTGTCCCGCCTCTTAGAGAGGAAAGAGCAGTCAAATAGGTAGGTACACGCATACTTAAAATCAGGCTTTTACAGTACAGACTATAAACTTTCGAAGAAGAAAAGGGTGGAGACGCGCAATAGTTAGATGAGGGAATAGAAAAGCAAAAGTATATACCAGCCAACGAGGATAGTACTAGTGGAACCAAGGCAAATATATGGCCCAGTGACACGAGCGACATAAAACCCTTCTACTACCTCCTATAGACCGAATAAACCTTTTTCAAGGGGATTGTGTGCATCCTCAAGACATTCACGCCAACTTCGTCTCCCTGATCAATTTTTACTTCCATAAAGCTCTTATGAGGCGCAAATCTACATATACACCCTAGACATCAACATCCACTCGTACGCAGTATCCATAGGTTGAAGCGGCGACATTTGTTGAGCATCTCATGGTAGAGTCGAGACATAGAGCCAAATATTGTATCAAGCTCCCAGTATACATGGGTGGATGCTAGAAGAGACTTGGAATGTACGCTGCCGCTATACAAGGCTCAGCTAGTGTCTAGAAAGAAGCCTCACAGGTAAGACGTAGATTCGTCGTAGACGGTAGATCGGAACATGTCGAAAGGAAGACAAGGGAAGTGGGTATTTGATGATGAAGTTACTCTGCTCCAGTCAAGGCTATGTCTTCATGATGAGACGCTCAAAAGCAACAATGTAGCATTTTATAGATTCTAGGCCTAGTAAATCTTCACTACATGACTATACACCCCCCCTGCGAGTCCCTCTCCCGCTCCGCCCGTTCTCTATCCCGTTTGGCAGCCTCGGCTTCCATCTGCGCCATGTGGACTTGGAGCTGCAGTCTTTGGGCTTCTGCCTCATTCTCATGCTTAATCGCCATCAGCTTCATCTGGGCATCTGCCATCTCTTTCTGGTGGTCCAGCTCTCTCTGATGGGCCTCATCGCGCTGTCGCTGCAACTCTTCCTCCCGCTGTGCTCTCAGTGTCTCCATATCAACCTGCATGCTCTTGCGAGCCTCCTCATCGCTCCGGATCTTGTCCGCCAGCTCAGTGCGAAGCTGGTTGATCTCTTCAATGGCGCTCGAATCATGCTTGTCTTTAGCATCTTGCAGTTCCTGGCGAAGACTGTTCATCTCTTTTTCGTGCTTCTTCGTCAGTGCCGCCATGTCTGTCTGCACTTCCCGACCTGCACCCGTCTCGTCGAGCGTCTTGCCGCTGGCCATCTCTTTCTGGATGTCTAGAGTGACGCGGTGCCCTTTCCCGATGATGCATTCTATGATGGCCGTTGCGGATTCTTTACCGTTGTCGTGCCGGAAGACCTGGCTCCCCTCTTTCACCATTTTGCCCCAGAAATCTGGCTTTTCCAAGAGCTCTCTCTCACGTTGCTCGTCTAGGGAGACATTCGATTTGTTCCACATGGTCGTAGCAAGTACGACACACTGTAGGCTGTCATTGCCGCACAGTCTCTTGAACATCCGCAGGTTCTTCATGGCCGCTCCGCCTAGACGGTTGTCCGAGATCCGGTGAAGATAGATAATGCCAGCTAGCTGAACTTGGTTCTCATGCGAGATATTCAGCCAGTTGGCAACTTCGCGGAGAATTTCTGCGTCGGGCCTGTTGGTATCATCGAAGCCGGGGGTGTCAACCAACTGACACTTCTGACCATTGATGGTAGCAGCGTGGATGCTGACGTTAGAGGTGCCTGAATTCAAATAAGTCAGCCTTATAATTCACATGGCATGTTTATGTCCTTGGAATATGCGGTTTGATACATACAGGACTGGAGCCCGTGTCCGATCTGGGCGTCATCCGCGAAAAGGGATATAAATGTGCTTTTTCCAGCACCAGTAACACCCATGACCGCAATAACAACATCTTCAGGACTATAATATTCAGTCAGCGTTCCGCCTCCATAAATACAATAACAAAGATCGAGTAGCACGTACGAAAGCACTGGTGGATTCGGTATCTCCACGCTCGTCTCGAGCGGTACAGGAGGGATGTCGCCTGCATTTCCGGCGGAAATTGTATCAATTGTCATGTTGTTTGAATGAGAGATGGAGAATGGGAGATGAAGAATGGGAGATGAAGAATGGGAAATAGTTGGAATTTCTAGCAACCGCCTGGGCCCTTTCTTATATGACCGGCTACGCAGTCTTCAGTTCGCGAAGTAGAAGTATCTGAAACAATTATTATGTATTCTTTGGGTATCCTGATTTCTTGAATTTAGTTTAACAAAGTAGGTACCTTATGTACAGTGCCTGGATGGAAGACAACAGCAGATGAAATGTATCAAGGTGGACTTCGGTAACAGACACATGTATCTACTCAGGACGCTAAAACTGGGTACTCATGCATGTCATTCCCGAGACCAAATATTCTGGGAAATCCTCAAATTCGTCCAATCACGACTTGGTACTGGATGCTCCACTGCCGGCCCATCAGGTGGCCTCCCGCATCGCACTCCAAATAAGCCGCGTTCTCTGCTGTAGTCTCGGCTACGTGATACTCGCAGCTTGCAGATAAGCGAAACGCGGCGCAAACACGTCACTTGCACATCAATCAGTGCATATTGTTTATGGGAGTTGGTGATGTGGCTCTCTCTCAGCCTACCATTTTCCACAGTTCAGCCTATGTCATGCAGTAACGCTGGATTAGAACGGCCCTGCAGCGGCACATCTTCACTAAAGCATGCGGGAGGCCTTCCTCCTCCTCCTCGGTTAACAAGGGCTGATCATGGCTGCGGATTAAACGATGGTCTACTAGAGATTGTCTGCTATCTGATATTCCGCGAGTCAACACCATAATCCTGATATTCTACTCACTTTCCACAATGACGGCGAAGCCTTCACACCCAGAGGACCAGGATGTCCTAATGACTACAGCGGAAGACGAAGGCGCGGCCGAGTCCAAGGCAGAGTCGATGGCCTTGAAGTCAAACGAGCAACTCAGAGATAGCCTAGACTTCAGGTGCGTCACATTGACTTTCTGTCAAGAAAGATACACAATGCTGACCAAGAACCGATAGTGAGGACGCCGTTGTCATCGCTCTTATGGGAGGAACCGGAGCTGGGAAGAGCACCTTCATCTCCTTGCTTACAGATGAAGATGTTGGAATTGGACACAATCTGCAATCATGTACTTTCCTTCGACATTCTATCTGTCTGTCCTTCGCTTACACTGCTGGCAGGTACTACTGAAGTTGGCGTTTATAACTTCAACTACAAGGATCGGCATACGGTCTATCTTCTTGATACGCCTGGTTTCGACGATACGAACCGCCCTGATTCTGAGATATTGCAAGAAATCGCCTTCTATCTAGCTGCCCTATACGCGCAGAAAGTAACATTAGCCGGGATCATCTATCTTCACCGCATTACGGACACGCGAGTCTCGGGCTCCAGCCTCAGGAATCTTCGTATACTCCAGAACCTCTGCGGCGCGGACGCTTTCGACCGTGTTGTACTTGCTACCACTATGTGGTCTACTCTAGATTCTGTGGAAGGCGGACATGAAATTGGACTTCAACGCTGCGAGGAACTAAGACATCCCGAATTTTGGGGTGAAATGGTTCAGAAGAAGAGTATCATGAAGGAGCATGACGGCTCATTGGCTTCAGCTTTTTCCATCATCTCCGAACTTATTGACAAGGAAGGTGACGTTGTCTTGAATATCCAGAGACAGATGGTGGACCAAAATCTTTCTCTGGACGAAACAGACGCGGGTCGTTACCTGCAGAAGGACTTGATCGAGGCCAGGGAGAAATACGAACAAGAAATCGCAGAGCTTAAGAAAAACATAGAGCAGGCTATAGCTGAGCAAGATGCAGAGGCTATCGATATATTCCAGCAAGAGAAAGAAGCAGCTGAATCCAAAGTAGAAACCCTCCAGAACAACAACAATCACCTGAAGGTTTCTCTGAGTCAGATCGCCACTCGCGAGCAGACAAACTTCCGCTCAAGAGTGTCTGGTCTTGAAGACTCACTGGCAGCCACTTCAGACCCGGCGGCTGAACACCGCCTGAAAGCTTTGGAAGCACAGCTTTTGCAAGTAGAGAGGGAATTACAGGAGAGCAAAGCAAAGAACGAACAAGATATCAGTCTCCAGCGAATGATTCACGAGCAACAAGTTATAGCCAATACGCAGCATGTTGCGAACCTGCAAGAGACCATTGCTTCCCTTGAGAAGAGCCATAGGGTGATCAAGGAGCAGTATGCACAGGAATCTAGGACGAAGAGACAGCGCAAGAGCCTAACAAACATGCTGATATTTGACAAGCTTTTGTTGTTGTTTAATGATGGTCATCATAGACGTGGCCGTCATTTCAGATAAAACGTTCTCTCACGATATCTTGAATACTTGGTTCTGTTACTGTTTTCTTGCTGTTCTCATTCTTTGTTTGCACAATCTACCGCGATACTAAGCATCTCTATCATGTCCTTCCACAAGAGTGCCAAAGTTCAATGGCGTTCACATCATGGAACAGCTGTTCTCACGCGGCGATAAACTTTGAATGACTGATTTCGCCAGCAGCAGATTAATACTAGGCGGAAGATACAGTAGAACTCGATTTCTGGTGAGATCGACATGCGCGGGGCATTCAGCCTAACCTGTAGTCTAAAAGCTCGGTGCTGTGGATATCCCTGCGGCTTCTGTAGTCAGCGACGAAAGTTAACTATAATTGATAGTGATGATGAAGTTGGAAACATGAATTCAATGACTGCTGCAATGCTCTTAATAGAGAAATGAGAATATCAGGGTTACTTGATCGATGGGAGTTGAATACATCAAATGGCCATGTAACCATACTATCCGCCACGAAAATGGTGAGGTCGAAATGGGAATTAAGGAGTCAAATTGAAAGGTGCTAATCCATGATATATAAAAATTTACTAACAAGACAATAAAGAATCTCGTCTGCGCTTTAACTCTCGCTAATTCCTAGAGGCAGAGCCGGAACTAATGGCAGCAGGAACGAGGCTGGCGTAGGCTGCATATAAGAACGATGATTGGTGAAATTGCGTGAATTCACTCTACCATTACCATGCGAGAACACATTTGGATGAGAAGTGTTTGTGCAGTGCGGCTGAGTGCTCAGGGTTCTATGTTGCTGCCCAATGTTGAACATTATCCTTGACCCTTTTCATTTTTACGCGGCGTGGCGATTAGTCTTTGACAACATTCTCTCCAAATCGACCTTGCTAGATAAGATAGACGGTAAAATAGGCAGAGCTCGCGCTGTACTTTCTGGGGTGTTTCGCAACTCTCAATACGTGGATGACGCCCTTATACACTGCTTCTCCGTTGGGATAGGAATAGGTGTAAATTGTATTGAAACATATAAAACATATAAAACGAAACCGAAACAGACTTCTGTTTTAGTGACTGAAACCGATACTAGGCTCTGTTTCAGTTTTAATACGTTTCTATCTATTCCTGGGAGAAGGCATGGGAAGTGAGCGTGCAAGCGTGAAAGTAAGCACCGTCGATCTCACTCAAGATCCAATATACTCTGTAATGTAGTATTCCCTCCAAAAGCTCTAGGAAGTGAATCGACATGATACAGACCGTTTGTATTTCACAAACATCACGACTTTGAACTATTTAGCATCCATCACTGGGGCCATAGACCGATGTCCTATTAGAAGCTTATACCGCTTCGGGAAAGATCATCTCATTCAATTTCGCACCTTCAATCCCTAAAGCAACAGCTCCGAACCTCGCGAACTCCGTCTTACTCAAATTTTTCCAAGAGTGCTAAGATGTGCGCTGCACACACACGTCACCCAGCTTCATAATCCTTTTTTCCCCACTATCCAAAGTCAACTCCACCTCCCCATCTATAATAAAGATATAATCAAGGGTCTATAACTAATGCATAAATCCTTCCTTTACATTAGGATTTAGTGCAAACTTCAATTATTATTATTAAAGAGTTTTTAATAAGCAAGATAGAAAAGCTCTGGAACCTTACACTCGCGACTATAGTAGCACTTCCACCCACAAGGGGAAACATGACATATGGATGTTCTCTGCGAACATCTTCATTCTTCTAGTAACATACCGAAAATAATTAAATAGACAAATATTTGTATAACAGAAATAAAGATTAATTACCATTGATATGAGATTTCTCTGTTTAGTGTGAAACAGCATTGCCTGCCCAAACAGACCTAACTTATCTGCCATCATCCTTCGACAGCTTGTACATTGGCATACGTGCCTTGTCGACCGCTTATGTGTACGATCTGGTACACTGCCCCTGCTAGTCACCTACTTGATATATTAATACTCAGTACAAGCATAGCATGAATTTCTTATATAAGGACAAATGTAACTATTTTTGCATGACTTCACCCTATATTTTTTTTTCTTGGTTGATACTGTCGCAAACATCACTCATAATGTTTCAGACACTGAAGGTTCAGAACAGAGGCTCAGGCGACCTGGAATATTATGCGGTCCTCTATTCCAGCATCTAACAAGGCGAAGGCAGAAAAGCAGCCTGCGTGTCCACGATGCAAAATGAAAAAGGTATATGGAGTCCCTTAAAAAAAAAGATGATGACACTTATTAACATATTGTGCAGTTAAAATGTATAATCGAAGCGCATAGTTGTGAGAAATGTATAGAACGCGGCGTGAGATGCTCATATCGCGTCACTGGAGAGCCAGAAAGCCGAAATTCGCCATCACCAGATAGCCATATGACGCAAATGGACATATCAACAAGTAGTGATGGTGCTTCAGTCTATAACACAGCTGCTTCTTATAATGGCCCCAGCGATAGCTCGCCACCATCAAGAGGCAAAGGTAAGCAGTTTATTAATATTCAGTTCATTACCATTGGCTTATTTTGAGATTTTTCTACGCAGCCGATGCATCTTTATCAGTTAACGGTGACGATGATCATTACTCTACTTTTATCGATCCAACACTAAGTACTCCTCAATTTATTGCAGACCTGAGCGCTTGGTCACCTAGTCTGGAACAATAGGTGTGCACAGTCCCTCATGATCGTTTGCCAGAAGCAACATTAAAAGGCAATGAGCTACACGGATTTGATATATGCTTCTGTGTGGACTTAGTTCCCGCCGCAAATGCGGCAATGTTAATTAAATCAGTTTAGGGTACCTCACTAAATTGTTTTAGCACATCTAGTATTGACGATATGTTTCACTGTCAGAAGAATGTGTTAACTAGCTGCGAGACTCTACTTGGTTGTAGCAAGTGCAGTTTAAGGTCAGACTACGTTGTGTTGGTTATTTCAATGTGTGGAGAGATGGTGAGTTGTGTTAAAGCCCTAGAGGTTATTACCTCACCGGAAACACAAAATGGGAGGTCAGTGAAACCAAATCTCGATTCTGAGTTCTCTAGCAAAGGAAACTTGGAGGCCGGCAGTTGGCGACTTGAGAGGATGAGATTGAGATCATTAGACATCTGCAAAGTCCGCACCACTAAATTAAGGAAACTAATCGGTCAGCTTGAACATATCGTTACGGCTAATTATGCATCATATACGTGGGTTATAGGCTCTCTTAAACAAAACCTAGGCAATACACTTGGTTCAACTTGTGAATAACAAAAACAGCGGGTTTGAATAGATTAACTATATTTTAATCTTACTGTAATGTCTATTCCAGCTTGCGATGAAAAGACTGTTTCGAACACTAGATGAATGTATTCAAGTTACACAGGGGACTACGGTTCATGTAACTTTTTAATTGACCAACAGTGGCGGCCTACATAGGTTTTGCGTGTATGGCCCATGCCCCAATGCTATAGATGCACGAGCGCGTCTACTATCTACTGAAAGACTTGACGATCTGCATGGTGAGTGCTGCAAGTTGGAGGGTGGTGTAGAATTCTACGCGTCCAAGACTCCGAGAAACATCCGCGCAGGACATTACTGCAACCGATGTAAACTGTTATAAGGAAGGACCTCTTTAGCTGCATCTGGGAGGCATTACTATGACAAGGGACGTGAGACCAACACTTCAAAAGAATATTTCCCCTTTATCTTCTATATGCCCGTGAGAGCGGACGCGGATGATGCAGAATTTATGGACGCTAGTCACTGCAGGGGAAGCAGGTAAAGCTCAAGGGTCGAACGTCAGAATAATGGTAGTGTACGACAGATTTCTTTTTTGCATACAGTAATCATTACAAATCTGAAATATCTATATAGCTTCTTAAAGTGACTTGGTTGGCTCGCAACATAGGTGCAGAAATCGCAACGTAGTATCAGACTCTGACTGGCGATGCAGGTTCAAGCCAATCAACTGCATTCCACTGGCTTTGTCTGTTGTTGATCCTGAGTTGTTTCTTTGCAGCTGCCTCATACGCCAACCGGTATACATGCAAGTTCTTTGTGAAGAGCATGCGACAATCCCTCCAGCCTGTCAACTCCCTGAGCTTCTCGCTACTCACCCATTGGCTAAATCCAAACAATATTTTGATAGATTCATCAAGCCCGTTCAAGGACTGGGACACGTCCACAAACCGCGCACCCTGGAGGAAGCGGTATTCCTCAGCCAGAGCGTTTAGAATGTCCTTGTTCGTTTCGTATGCTCGAGCTGAAATATTGAAGCATTGGCCGCCAACAGCTCTGCGGTCAGGGTGTTCTGCAAGGGCGACATACGCATCCGCACAGTCGTCAACGTGAATTGCATGCAATATATTTTGCGGATCCGCGGCAATCTGTAGACACTGCGATCCATTCTTTTGAGCGTCTTCAGCGAACTTGAAAAGCCCTCCATAGTAGCTACTTCCATAGCCGTAGACCGCGGTTGGACGTAAAACTGCGACATCAAATTCTTTGTTGTTGTCAAGGACCTTTACTGAAGATGTGGTACGGGGTAGGAGCGGCGGTGGAGGATCTAAAATGGAAGTCTCCGTGAAAGGGGATAATATAGAGTGTCCAGCCTTTGTTGGCCCATAATCCTTAGAGCCCGATGTCCATAGAAGAAGTGGCCGAACTCCCTGATTCGCCTGTGCCACCCAATGCATCATGTCCAACATCTCGCGAAGATAAGTCGCATAATCCTCTGGTTCAGCACATCCAACGACCACATCAATTCGTAAGGCTTCTTCCAGTAGTTTGACTAGAAATGCTGAATTGTAGAGAGAGCCTTCCACCGGAATTACCTCTCGTACAATGAGAGAAGCCGCTTGTTCCGATTTACGAATCAAGCCATAAACTCTCCATCCGGCCCGCACGAAAGCTTGACATACGGCTAAACCAATGTATCCAGCCGAGCCTACAACTAAAACAGTCCGTAATGGTGCCATAAGTCACAGCTCTCCCTGGTTTCGAGACATAAATTGAGAACGATCGTGTTGCTGTTTAGAAGGGTAAAGTGTGTAACATAGGATAAGATGTCTAAAACGATTCCCGTCTGTAAGTACGGCTTATGAATCATATAATGTTGATCTGCTAACACGTAATGCAGCAGATTGCCTCATATAAATATTGCCAGAAGTTTATCAATCGTCCGATGGACGGCCACCCGCAAACACACCCACCGGTACAACCCTACGTAAATTAAGGTGCTTCGCGAGCATTAAGGCTAGCTATTGTCTACGGGATATCTGAATATATCACCCACGTCTCCTTGAAGTCTTCGGAACGGCCGGCCGCAACATCTGATTGTCGTAATTTGTAATGGTGACTATGTTAGGATGGCGGTTCCTCGTTTATATGGATCCAGTAAGAACGATGATTTCTGCCAAGCTTTGGCAACAGCACCGGAGCAAGCGAGATCCCATGACTTGACTTCAGAACCCACCCCATGAGATAGACAAAAAACACCGCGAGTTTGCCACTATAATCTGTGTGTAATACACGGCCATATTTTCATTCTACCCCTTGCCCATACAGGCATCATTCATTCATAGCTAGTTGAAACGGAAATAGTTGAATCAATCATGTCTTACAAATCCACGCAATTCCCGGTCAGAACTGGAGTTACTAGTAGTGGCGTAAATACTTCATCTGATTGGTGTGTTTTATCCGAGCTTACACCCACGCTGCCATGCGCAAACGCTACGAAGAAACAGTTAGTTGCGGCGGTGAATTGCGCCAAGATGGCAGAAATTTTTTAGTTGGTCAGGTTTATACGGCAGTTGCTAAGGGATGAGCGTGTTCCCGTAGTACGAGTCAGGCGTGAAGCGGAGATGTCTTGGTCTATCGGGTGCTAACATAATTTCGCACCATTACATACGGAGAGAAGTTTGGGGCGAAGAAATCGTATCTCTAGTAAAATTACTTACAGAGATGGAATTCATAACGGATCCAGTGGTAGAATTATTAATACTAAAATGCAGAATTTCGCTATAAAAAGGGATACAACATGTCGCTATATAGCAGGCGGATTTCTAGTACTGGACACCATTCCTCAATCACAATCAGGCCCTTAAAGTACAAAAGCTGTTATTCTGTTAACTCAAACAATTTCAGAATGGTTCACCTGGTCAGACTATTCTTCTTTATAGCTGTGGCTCTACCATATGCTAGCACTGCGCCTACTATTTCCACTCGACATCTTCAGCAGGGTGATTGTAGGCCACCTCTTTACCCCGACATTGCAGACAATAGTCATGCTACACGAGCCCTGGTTAGGTTCCTACGTGGTTTCTTCGAAGCAAAGTCCGCCCATGATGCAGATGCCTGGCTGAGCTACTTTGACGTGCCAAGCATTACCTACATTGATTCTACTGTGGGTTTCCAATTTGGACCCGCTAACTTTGATAAAAACATACGGGCTATGTTGGAATCATGGCCCTCTGAGGCAAAATCGTACCCGCTGCGCGTTATTGGTGACATGAATAGCGCAGTAGTCTTTGTTGAGGACACGCCGGAGATGTTCAGTACTGAACTTAGAGGAGCCGCCTCGCTAACCTTTCAAGGTGGAAAGATTGTTCGCCAGGTAGACTACTGGGACGGCCGACGAAATCCTTTTATAGCTCATCGGGTTGCCGAGAGCCAGTTTCCTACAGATTTTGGTGAATCTGCCTGGCAGGGACGATGTAATCCTCTGATACAGAAGGTGGCTGAGTCCCTGAATACGGCGTTAGCAAAGGGCAATGGCACGGCGGCAGCAACGCTCTTTACAAGGGACGCCATTTTCGAGGATGGGGCCGCGCGGACTAAGATTGAGGGCAAGGAATCAATTCAACGGTATCTCTCTCGAGCTATATCTACCCTCCCCTATGGTCCAAATACAATCATTAGGCATGTCGTGGGCAATGAGAAAGGTGGTGGTTACGAGTGGATTGGCGGCCCAGGCGCTATTGCTCATCATGGTCTCCTGGTTATCGAACTCGACAACGACCAATTGATTACTCGAGTGACTGCCGTCTGGGATGCTTCGCGGGCCAGCGATACTACAATGACGACGCTTGCTAGCTTTGCAATCGAGCTATAAGCCAACTTCCAATTAGCACATCCTGATAGCTATAATATAAAAGCTGGGGCCTGTTACAGCCTGACATTAAAGTACAAGAGGAATGTGCTCTGGAAAAACTGCACCGACCAACCAATCAAGATTGGAGCGACAGAGAGATCGTGAGCCACCCTAGGAAGGATCACTCCTTGAACAGTGATCCAACGAGGAGCTTCACGATGGGGATCGTGGGCCACCAACTACTGGATATATAGAATTCAAGTCTCTACGCTCTCTAGATAGTTATTTAGCCAGCCATTAACAAAGCATTCAGTTTGACATACAGGCTACACTTGTTATTATGTCTATTCCAAAAGCTGGGGCTATCCCCACTGTGCTCGGAATTGCCTACAATGGTAAGGATCTGATCAACTCTAGTAGAGTTGATCTATTTGACCCTTGTATGACCCTTGTATGACCCACTGTCCCAGGGGTATAGTTGATTTAAAAGACCAGGGTACAGTTGTTTTGCTATCGATAAAAGCATAAGCACAGGGCTCTTTCACATATAGTGGTCTGCTAGCATCTTCAGGGGTAGTAAGTCAGACCACATGCTAAGTGGCCATGGCCATTTCCCCTCAACACCAACAACGTCAAGTATTTGCAAATGCGATGTCTCATGCAAATATTGATCAATCTTAAATCCGATTAAATTTTCTTGACGGCTATGGCCGATTCTATTGAATATGCTATTTTCTCTGCGATAAACGACATCCAAAACGGCGTATCATAGAGAAAGGTTGCACAACGCTGGGGAATTCCCCGCTCAACACTACAGAAGCGTTTGAACGGCAGCCAGTCAAGGTCTGACACAAATGAATATCATCAACGCCTTTCCAAGCAGCAGGAATCTCATCTCGTTCAATGGATTCTGGTCCAAAGTAACCTAGGCCTCCCCTCAACACATCACCAGGTCAAAGAATTCTCTTCAAGGATCAGCAAGGCCGGCGGGGATGACCGACCACTTGGAAAACGATGGATTGGGGGTTTTCACGACGGAAACCTGGAGTCAGGACCGTCAGAGGCAAGCCGATTGATTCCTGTCGTTTAAATGGATCTAGGGGATTTTTTCCGGTTTAGAGATCTGCAATCTAGTTAAATATGGTTGTGAACAGACTCCCAGAATCCATCCGCTTACACTTCTCCAGAGATCTTGACCACCACCTTGCCCCTTGCGTGGCCTGCCTCAACCTTCTCCCAAGCTTTTGCAAAATCGTCAAATTCAACCACGCTATCAACAATGGGTTTGACTCTGTCCGCCTCGATCAACTGCGTGATTGATTCAAGATCAGCGCCCTTAGGATTAACAAGAAAGAATGAGCTGTTGGCTTTCTTAGTCACGCCCTCGGGACGGCTCTGCTCTGGGACACCGCAAACACTAAGAATGTTACCTCCCTCCTTGACAGCGCGCCATGAATGTGTGAGTGAAGGGCCTCCAATAGTGTCTATTATCAGGTCCACTTCTCCTGATTGATCATGGGTTACCCAGTCTGAAATATTTTGTTCCGTGTAATCAATTATCTCAGTAGCACCTAGGCTACGAACAAACTCGATATTCTTTGTAGACGTAACGGCGATGATACATCCGACCCCTGCCTCTCGAGCGAACTGGACGGCCCAGCTACCTACACTGCTAGACGCAGAGGTAATGAGGACACGCAGATTGGCATTGGTGCGTTTTGCGACCTGGTCCCCTGTCAGGGCGGCCACACAAATATTTCCTTGTGTGAAGAGCAACTGGTATGCCGTCAATGAACTTAGTGGAGTGGCTGCGGTCTCAATCCAGTTGAGATTCTTGGGCTTCAGGGCGAGTTCGCTTTCCCGTGGGAGCGCATATTCTGCACCAGCACCGGGACGGTTGGCCTCAATGCGTGCATAGACGGAGTCTCCGACTTTGAATTTGCTGCCCTTTGGCACTGAAAGTACGGTACCAGCTAGATCCTGCCCTGGGATGAGAATTTTGCTAGGTAGTATGTATTCAGGGGCAATGAGTGCCCAGTCGAGCTCGCCTTTGCAGGGTGCGGTTGCGTGTACCTTGACAAGAATATCTTGAGGGTGAGCAGGTTCTGGAACAGGCTTGTTGGTAAGGATAAGCCCATGAGAAGCCTTATCGGGTTGAACAATGGCCTTCATTTGTTGAGTATTCGAGATAGCCATGATGTTCAAAGTATAGTATCAACTTGGTGAGATAGTATAAGGCTCTGAAAGAAACAATGATAGTGCTTAGAGTTCTTGCTGTTGTAAGTGTAGACCAGCTGTAAATTTACCGGTTGTTCTGTGAAGCGTAGGGCCGCCTTTTATAAAGAATTCTCTTCCGAGTATCGACTCGATCGGTACGATTGCCAGTCACGTTTTAACGATCTCTTCTGAGGTTACTCCCATCCTCGTGATCCACTCGTGGCGTAATTTCCCAAGACTAAGCCTATAGATATAGAGTAACCCTTAACAATAAGTCAGACCTAATCTCAGCCGACCTGAAGTACCGAGCTACCAAGTGCCAAAGGATTGCCCGGGACCAGCACTCCAAAAAATTCCCGAATGACGCAATGCTTTGCAATGAATAATGTCTAAAGGAAGTCATATCGGATCACAAATGCGTTGGTAATAGCGAAAATAGCTGGTGTAACTCCAAAGGTAGTATAACTCAGATAGGCGGTAAGAGATCGAATGGCTAGTTGCGGCAGAAACAAGTCGCTTGATTGGTGTATTATATCCGAGCCTACAGGGCAATTGAGCTAGCCAAACTACCTTGTGCAAACTGTAGCTAGCTGACTAACGCAAGTCCCACAAGTAGTGCGAATCTCGTAGCATCTTGACTCGGCGCTTCCGTGGACAGGCCGGAATCCCGTTCTCTATAATGTCCGCGCTGTTACACGTAGGTGGCGGCCTCTCACCCTGGTTGGGGGCTTCTCTAGACGGGAATGCCGTAGACAAAGAGGGAGTTTGGGGCATGATTGTGCCAAGGAGCTAATACTCATCATGGTATGCTGGCCATTTAACTCGATGACGGTCACATGATGGCTCGAGTGACCGCCGTCTGGGATGTTTCGGCGTGGCGATTGAACCTTGGGTAATAGTACAGCAGTGTTATTGGTACGCCTCATAGGCTGACTCAGCCGCAGCGTGAGTATTTTGATTGCCCTGAAGTTCCGGGGCTTTCAGCTGCTTTCACAACTACAAATGTAACCACGTCATGGTACACCAAAACTCGGCTTATAACCAGAGTATTTGCGTCAGAATAGGACCATATGGAACGTGCAGGCACTTTTTGGAGCCTCCGTCATCTGGCGGTCCCAAAGGAGAGGCCTCGTCTCACAGTGCATTCCAAGGTCCGAAGCGGTTCGTCGACATCACAATCCTTCGCTCTGTGCTCGCCCCGGGCTAATTCATCCCGTAGGCTGTGACACATGCAAACGCCGCAAGTTAAAATGCGACGAAGGGAAGCCGAAGTGTGAGCGGTGTGTCAAAGCGGGCATCGAGTGCCTGGGCTACGGGGCGCCAAAAGTGAAGACACAGCAAACTATGAAACCTTCCCCACGTTCACCCGTAACTTTACGGCCCAAAAGCGTACAAAGGAGAATTGTGCAGACTGACAGGGTGCTTTCGATTCCGCAGCTGACTCGCAGCCCCTCACCCATCCAGCTCAGTTCATGGGATGTCGGGTACTTCGACATGTTTCGGTATTATATCCTACGTGATATTCAGGTGTGGTGTCGCAGCCTGGGGTTTGATCGGTATTTGATTCAGGAATTCATGCAAGAAGACAGTGTCCGAGCTGCCATTCTCGGCCTTACGGCAATGTCCAAGGCAACCCAGCTCTCATACGAACAGCTAGTTGGGAAGAAGAAGATATTCACCGCGCGCGAACTAACGTCTAGCGAGCATACAACACGACTTGAAATTGATCATCATCATCTTCGCGAGGCGTTGAAACATTACATTAAAGCGATTCATTTGTGTCGCCAGCGTGCCCTTGTTGTTAATTCCAACGACTCGATTCGACCCTTGATCGCCTCTACACTCATGTTTGTCATCATAGAAGTGCTTCAAGGAAACATGGACGCATCCAGCAAGTTGTTGTTATCCGCGTTGGGACTTCTAAAAGCGGAAGCTAGGCGGCGCAGACCCACAAGATACACTGTTGACGGCAACCTTACCGAAGACGAAGAGAGGACTACGAGACTTGAGGATGTCTTCTATCACCTCTATGTCAAGTGCCCACAGTATATATGGACACAGAGTAGGGAAGACCTCTGTGGGCGAGTTCAGCCAAACGAAATACCTATGCTACCGACCGACGACACACCTGTGACTTTACTTTGTATTCACTGGGAGAGAACAATGCGTCTAGTCAAAAGGTTCTCAATGTCGTTGCGTCCTGAGATATCTACATCCGAGTATGAAGGCGAACAATGCCGTTACATTGCCCTCATCCGTCAATGGAAACCCTTACTGAGGCGCATGTTAAGAACCCAAGATATGCGTTCCCGCTTGGAACTGCGAGCTATCGAAGTTGAGGTCCTGATATCTTTAATCTTTTTAGAGTGTTGCGTGGATCCCACCGACCAGCTGTGGGATACCAAGAATAAGCAATACCGAGAAGTCATAATGGTACTCGAAAAGCTGACCAATGACATGGAAATCATATCAGACCATGTGAAATTCATGTTCGATTTTTGGCTTATTCCCCCTTTGACGATTGCAATTACTCAATGCAGGGATTATGAAACTAGGCAAAAAATCTTGAATCTACTAGTGCAGATTGTCTCTCATAGTGCTAGCTGGGTTAGCATTGTACTTCTAAAGTGTCTGCAGGCGATTATAGACATTGAAGAACTGGGAAGGGATGAACTTGGGGTAATCCCTCAAGCATTTAGATATGACTGGGTTAGTTCGAAGTGGAATTTTGAGCAATATAGCGTCAACATAGGGCTTAGGTCAATGGCTGCGAGGTTTACAAAGTCATCTTCTGCAGTAAAGTATATCTTAATACAGTTTTAACTTTTGTACTTTATAATGGAAATATAAGCAACTGGGAGCACTGTAAAAACATGGGCTAGACAGCCTTATGTAATCTCTTGCAATTTTATAAGGGATACCTATCATTAAGACGGAAGAGTACAAGAAGACAATGGGAAATATAGTGCTGAATAAACGGAAACGTCAAGTATTGGGACACGATCCGAGTATTCTGCACGGTCTAATTATTAAGGCATTTAATAATGCTATAATAGAGATTAGACTATAAGAAAAATATATATAATACTCCATTCACACCCAGTAATTCTAAACTTTTCTTCAAGCTTAAACTAATGGCAGCCTTAGATAACCCATCGCTAGTGGCCGTCCGCTTGATTTTTATGTTAATCATAAATCCCTTCCTAACTGCACAGCTCTCACCCAACAATCGTTCGCTAACCCATGGACTTCCCAGTGAAGAGAATGCCTCTAAGTCTAATTCCGTGATCTCTAGCTTCTTTAATACATTGAGAAGTTCTAAAGTTTGCTCGCCAGTGGTCCAAGTCGTGAGATCAAAGCTAGGATTAAGCTGCCGAACCAAAAGGCCCTAATGCAATATATATATATAAAAGAAAATAGTAAGAAGTTGATAAATAACTCGTCTTCACTTTAATTCTCGCTAACTCCTGGAAGCAGAGCCGGAACTAATGGTGGCATTAGGGATGAGGCTGGCGCAGACTGCATATAAGGACAATGCCGCGTGATTGGTGAAAACTGTGTGAATTTACTCCACTATTGCCATCCGAGAACACAATTGGATGGAAATTGTTTATGCAGTGCGGCTGAGTGCTTAGGATTCTATATTGCTGCCCAATGTTGCAAATTATCCTTAACCCTCTTTATTTTTACGCGGCGTGGCGATTAGTCTTTGACAAAACTGACGCAGCTCGAGAAGAGAGACGGTAATGACAAGCTGGCTACGGTGTTTTGCGATTACAACGTTTTCAAGCGAGCGACTTGCCAAGGCCAAAGCAAAGCTAGCGATAATCCCGCTCAAAAAAACATTCGACAACCGCATACCGACTACCCTCTGCAGCTCATTGAACATCTAAACAAACGCGGTAGTGAACATGTCTCGGCCTGAAGACTACACGGTCGGCTGGATATGCGCGATAAAAGTCGAATACGTTGCCGCGCAAGAATTCCTCGACGAAGAGCATGAGGCACCGGCATCTGTGTCTCAGCACGACAGCAACAGTTATACCTTGGGCAGGATTGGGAAACACAACGTTGTCATCGCCACTTTGCCTTTTGGAGAATATGGTACGACCTCGGCCGCAACCGTTGCTAGAGATATGGTACACTCTTTCCCAAACATTCGAATCGGGCTGATGGTGGGCATCGGTGGCGGTGCTCCAAGCGAAAATCACGATATCCGTCTTGGCGATATCGTAGTCAGCACTCCAAGCAATGGCAACAGCGGACTCTTCCAATACGACTTTGGTAAAAATATTCAGGGCCAACCGTATCAAACAACTGGGGTTTTGAATCGACCACCAACTGCATTGTTGACTGCACTGGCTGGGCTTCAAAGTCGGTACGAGAGAAATGGCCATAAGCTTGAGGAGGCTGTTCACGGCATACTCGAGAACAACAAGCGACTACAGCGGCAGTATAAGAGGCCTATGTCGAGCACTGACAGGTTGTATCGGTCAGAAGTCGTTCACCCTGATTCTAAACAGAGCTGTGTGGCTGCCTGTGATCCATCGGGCTTGATTGCACGAGAGGAAAGAGCTGAAGATGAGGACAATCCCGCGATCCATTACGGTCTAATTGCGTCGGCAAATCAGCTGATGAAAAATGCCTTACATCGAGATAGCCTTGCCGCAGAAAAAGATGTACTGTGTTTTGAGATGGAGGCAGCCGGGCTGATGAACCATTTCCCCTGCCTTATCATCCGCGGAATCTGTGATTACTCAGATTCACACAAGAATAAAGAGTGGCAAGGTTACGCAGCAATGATTGCCGCAGCGTACGCAAAAGATCTTCTCTATCAAATACCATTACATACGGTCCAAGCTGAGAAGAAGTTAAGCGATATCCTCTCTGGTAAGTTGAATGGTCTGTTGCTGTATTAGTTTCACACATTAACTTATACACAGGTTTACATGAGGCTATAGAACAGCACAGCGATTCTCTACAGAAGAATCTCCAAGCCCAAGAAGCTCTAGCACAGGAGAAGCTATCTGTAAAAGAGCAAAAAGAAAGACAAGAATGCCATCAAGTATTCCGTCTTACAAGCAGCGATAAAGATACCACATACGAATGGTATAAAGGTCGTGTGGAAACTCGGGTTGAAGATACGTGTATGTGGTTCTTGAAACATGATCACTTCCAAAAATGGCTGGATCAAGATTCTGGGCCGTTACTAGTCACAGCAGATCCAGGATGTGGAAAGTCAGTGTTGGCAAAATATCTGATTGATGGTATACTTCCTCAATCGGCAACTACAGTCTGTTATTTCTTCTTTAAGGACCAAGACCAAAACACCCTGCGACAGGCACTCTGCGCACTGCTTCATCAGCTGTTTTCTGAAAGACCGTCTTTAATTAAACATGCTATTAAAGAATACCGCAGCAATGGAAAAGGCTTGATCAACAACACGGGATCACTTTGGAAGATTTTCCACAACGCTATAAACGATCTGCGTAATAGCGAATCTATTGTCATAGTCCTCGATGCCTTGGATGAATGTGCCGAGTCTGAATTTGAAGACTTGGTATGGAATATTAAGGGACAATTCAGTAATAACAGGCTGGGCTACAGTGGGTTGAAGTACCTTTTGACCTGTCGCCCGTATGAGCAAATTGTGTGGAACTTTCGCGGCCTATTGAGCACTTTCCCATATATTCGGATCCCAGGCGAGGAAGAGTCAGACGCCATAAGTCGAGAAGTGGATCTTGTTATTGCACATCAGGTGGCCCTCTTGGCAGCAGACAAACAATTATCAGCCCAAATTACAGACGAGTTGCAAACAAGATTACAACAAGCTATCAACCGCACTTATCTTTGGATATATCTTATATTTGACTACCTAAAGAAAGAAAATTTCAAAAAAACACTAAAAGCAATCATGTCTATTATTACGACTCTCCCCGGGACCATCAACGAAGCATATGATCAGATTCTTCGCAAATCTCAGAATGTATTCATTACTCGCAAAGCATTGAGTATTGTCCTGGCTGCAAGTCGGCCACTGACAGTGGCAGAAATGAATGTTGCGGTGAATATAGATTTTGAGTCAACTCATGATCTCGATCTGGAAGATAACAAAGTCTTTGAGACGCGCCTTAGATCTTGTTGTGGGTTGTTTATCTCAATCTATCGCGGTAGAATATATTTCCTTCATCAAACCGCCCGAGAATTCCTGATAGATACTGCTTTATCCACAGCCACTTCAACAACGTTGCTCTGGCAGCATTCGATCACTACGCGCAACTCCCATGCTGTTCTTGCGGAGATCTGTGTATTATTTCTGAATCTTTTGAACGGTGATGCCGATCTCTCCTTGGATGCGAAAATGCATCGTGATAATCTTGTTCTTTATCATGAGAGCTTTTTGAAATACTCAGCCGAACTTTGGAACACTCATTTCCACGAGGCTAACATCGTGGATGCTGATGATGCTATTATCCCTTTTGCATTGAGGATCTGCGAGCCGTTTTCAAAGAGTTACTCTATATGGTTTGAAACTTACCTGCAGACTAAAGGCACAAAGAAAAAGAAGCCTGGGATGATTACCGATCTGATGGTTGCGGCATACCTTGGCCACGCTGTCCTTGTTACACTGCTACTAGCACAAGGCGCTGACATTGAGGCAAAAGATGCCACCTATGGCCGGACGCCACTTCTTTGGGCCTCTTCAAACGGTCATGAAGCTGTTGTGAAGTTGCTAATAGATAAGGGCGCCGACTTTGAAGTGAAGGACAAAGCCGTTAAGAGGACAGCTCTGTTGTGTGCTGTAGCAAACGGTCATGAAGCTGTTGTGAGGACATTACTTACAAATGGCGCTGACACTGAGGCAAGAGATAAGGACGGTAGTGCGCCACTCTCACATGCAGCTTATTTCGGGCATGAAAGTATAGTTAAGCTGCTGCTCGAGAATGGCGCTGATATTGAAGCAAAAAATAATATTAATCAAACGCCGCTTATAGTGGCAACCTATTGGGAGAAGGAAGCCATTGTTAAGCTGCTGCTCGAGAAAGGCGCTGATATTGAAGCAAAAAATGATATTAATCAAACGCCGCTTATGGTGGCAACCTATTGGGAGAAGGAAGCCATTGTTAAGTTGCTGCTTAAGAAAGGCGCTGATATTGAAGCAAAAAATAATATTAATCAAACGCCGCTTATAGTGGCAAGCTATTGGGGGAAGGAAGCCATTGTTAAGCTGCTGCTCGAGAAAGGCGCTGATATTGAAGCAAAAAATAATATTAATCAAACGCCGCTTATGGTGGCAGCCTCCGAGGGGAGGGAAGCCATTGTTAAGTTGCTGCTTGAGAAAGGCGCTGATATTGAAGCAAAAAATAATATTAATCAAACGCCGCTTATGGTGGCAGCCTCCGAGGGGAGGGAAGCCATTGTTAAGTTGCTGCTTGAGAAAGGCGCTGATGCTGAAGCGAAAGATCGTAATGGCCAGACGTCCTTTTCAATAGCCAAAGCACGTAGGCATCACTTCATCGCTCAGTTGTTACAAAGATAGTATGCAGTCTAAAAGAGAATATACACCTATACGTACCCTGTGAAAATTAATAACTGCCTGGAAACGACAGGCATCTCTCTTCGCAAAAGATATATTAGACTTTGTCCTAACGGTCACAGCTTTTGTCATTTTCAGGGGACATGGTGCACTCTGCTTCAGTCAATGTTTTGTTGCTCATGCTCCACGACGTAGAACCCTTCTCTTGAGACTGGCCCGCGTAATTTGAGGCAGAGACATTGATACTTTCTCTGCAGGTCAAAGGCTAGTTCTCAGTATATTCCTCCCAATGTGTTTAACATATGTACATTTTGATGTTCGTTTGCAATGTTATCTCAACAACCCACCGTAATAGTTTCAACTTTGGATATGGCTCTATTGAAGGGCTGATTTCAAGCAACTCACCAGTCAATTAATGATATTGGCAAATATCAGCTGCAGATAGTCATTTTCTCGTTTATCGTTCGTTCTGTGCTCCCTTTGTTGAGGATTGAATGTACAGGAGCATGTGTCTATCTGCAGAAGTCCCACTTTATCTATGTAGCTATGTGGCTATCTCGGCTAACTTCCAGACCAGAGTACAATATCCTAAAATACACAAGCCGATACCTAAAGTGCCATTTAGCATATACTCCCAAGCAACGTGCAAGCTTCGGAGCTACAGTGTTTCGTTTTCACAAGACGAGTATGCTCGCTTGGACAGACGGATGTAATTTGGGGATGGCGATGGAGGCGTTTCAGCTGGGTACAAGTCGGGAGGGAGAGCTATGACTTTATGTTGACTCCATGGTCATGATGCTGTTACACCACACAGACCCCTAAATATGACACAGCCGAGCTTTCTTTGTGTTTTCAGTTGCTGTCGGATCGTATACGAGCACTCGAGGATATCGCTGCACGTCGCCACTTAGTTCCAACCGCGATCCTTAGTACAAACTAGCTGAGCCGCACTTGAGGACTCGTGCCTCACGCCCACTATGCAAGACGCCGTTAAGGCTTAGCTTGGCTAGGTTGGCCCGTTCCGCGCGCTCTCAAACGAATTACGCGATCTCTCACGGCAAGAAAGCGGTTCTTCGAGCAAGAAGCGATGGAAGCTTACTAGTAATTGGTCTTAGTGCTTACCCGATATACATAGTTTAAGATGGTCTCGTCCGATATCAGCGCAGGACAATGTTTAGGACCATCTTGCACCCTGTCACCAAAGCCTACCTAGAGACTGCCATCCGTAAGTTTCATGTTCCCCGCCCCGCGTTCCTCTGCGGCCCAAAGTTTAAGTTAAAGTTGACGGTCCCTCCCGCCGTGTGGGTTCCCGAGACGACCTGAGAGTGGCCTGGAAGACTGCTAAGGAACATGAACAGTCCCCTTCCAGCACTCATAAGCACAATCATAGGATTCAGATCAGGGGCGCGTGTCTGTGGCTGTAATATTGCATGAAGGAGGGCGGAGCTGTTAACTCGGCCGCTAATCAATTGAAACAGGAGGATCAGGCTACAGTAGGGCTGTGCTTACTTGGACTCAAAGAGGGTTTCCCCTCCAATCACAAAGCGCCCGAGCGCTAAGCGACACAGAAATGTTCAAGGTTGAGCAGGACCGGCGCATCATTATAAACCTTTGCTGGTGTCAGATATGCTCCCATTCATCATCCTCTCACAGTCATTCCTTGCTACCTTAAGACCGTGCCAGGAAGCCCTCTGAAGCACGTACGACATGGCGTTCAAATCCTGCTTCGGCAACCTGAGGCCATGGACTACCGAGATCCTGGCAATGGCCTCGTCCATCATCCTATTAATCGCCATGGCGGCCCTACTTGCCGCATTTAATCACAAGCCGATTTTCGACGACAAGATATGGACTCTCAACGCCCTCATTTCTACGCTGTCGACTGCAAGTAAAGCCTGCTTGCTGGCCGCTGTCGCGAGCTGCATCAGCCAAGAAAATTGGGTTCTATTTTCCGAAAAGCCACGGCGTCTATACGACTTTGAACTGATTTCTGGGGCGAGCCGTGGGCCTTTTGGAAGTTTCAAGGTCTTGACGAGCTTCAAACTTCGCGGGGGGTGAGCTCCTTGTGTGCTGGATTCATTTCGTCCGACTGACTCTTTCTTAGCGGTCTTGTGAGACTTGGTGCGCTGGCAACGATCTTAAGTCTTGCTATGGACCCGTTTTCGCAGCAACTAGTTCAGCTCCACAACAGCCAAGACCGTAGAGTTGATGAAGCCAGCATTGCCTATGCTTCCCGATACTCGCAAGGCACGCTGGTGAGTGGCCTGACTGCCTTTAGTCGTAAGTGGCGTGTTTGTCTTCAAGCAACGCGATATTCGCTAACTGGAGACAGTCACCAAGGACGGTCATCTCAAAATCCAAGGTGCAGACGTTTACGCCAATGCAGACTTTGGGATGCAAGCCGCCGTCGCCTTTGGGCTTGCGGCAGACGCAGACGCAGTCATGGAGCAGGCTTCATTTCACTGTCCTGGTGTCGAATGTGACTTCAAGCCTCTGGAGTCCTTGTCTGTGTGCAGTCAGTGCTCTGATGTAACTGACAAGTTAAAGAAAAACACGCTGAGCACAGGAGATCAATACTCTAACCTGCAATATGACCCGAGCGTTGCAGAAGCCCAGGCCAACTGCACCGAGTATAGGCTACCCAACGGCCTGTATCTGAACAACATGGACCACAAATATGGACCCAGCTCTAGCATGGTGTACATGAGCATGCTTGGCACGTCTGACACTGACAAGACAGTGGCAATGAAGCATCTTGACACCCTCATTTGGTCTCAAACAGTCATCAAGGTGAACGCGGATCCGAGTTCCAAGTCCACCACGACCTGGCCAGATTTTAAAGTCAACGCCTCAGAGTGCGCACTCTACTACTGCACCCGGCGCTATGAGGGGGACTACAAAATCGGATTCATCAACATTACCTCGACAGAACTGAAAGATCAAAAACGTAACCCCCAATCGTGGGAGCCATTGGATCCAAGGTTTCAATCAGGCCATGGGGTTGCAGAAAAAGTCGTCAAGAGCCTAGCATACGATCCACAGGAATCGATTATTCGTCGGACGGACCTGCAACTGGGGACAGCAACCGGATGGAACGTCTCGGACGAAGCCGTTTACGGAATCAGCTACTACATGCAGACTCTCTTCGCCGATTGCCTAAACAATCCCAAGAACTGCACACAGGCCGTTGAGAGCTGGGGCGTCCCCAATGGATTCTACATATCTAAACTCTCAAACTTTAGCGGCGAGGAGAAACAAGCCGAGCAATTCCGCCCTAGTGTTGCAAAGGTGCTTTGGGAGACGGACGATATAGAACAGGTTTTCGACAATATCGCGGCGAGTATGAGCAATGCCATCCGGCGCGGAGCTGATGGTGGGCAAACAGAAAAAGGCGATGTCCTACAACCAACAACCGTATACGTGGTGGCATGGCCGTGGATAATCCTGCATGCCGCCATCGAGCTAGGAGGCCTCGTCCTCCTTGTACTCATCATTAGGTCATCAGGCTCGAATACCGCGCATATCTGGAAATCGAGTGAGCTCGCCGTCTTATCCAAGGGAGTCGCACTAGGCGACGCATTCAAAGAGGCTCATACAAAGGATGAACTGGAAGAACGGGCTAAGAATATTCCTACCGTGTTGGTTAGCAAGCACGAATTGGGCAAAGTTGAGGGTTCTAGCGATTTTCTCTTGACTGATCAAAGAAACGTGGCGTGAGAAGGGCTTCATATTTCGGCTATTAGCAGCTGTAGCTTTAGAATCTTGCAATTACAACTTTTATTAATACGCTATTGATGAATTGCTTCATATGCGACCTTTCTCTAAGAATACCTTGGGTATATCCACATATTTGCTTCGCAAATACTCAGCAACACCCTTGCCCAACCCATCAATTCTGTCAGACGATGCTATCCCACCATTGAGGTTATCAAGTATCCGGCTTTGCCATAAAATATTAGTATACATACTCTCTTCTTGTATCATCGTGGAACTTACAAGTGCACGGCGTTGATAGTAGGAAACTCTATTCTCTCCACTCGTCTGTTCGGATTCCCGCTATGCCAGTCATCCCCCAGCAGCTGCTTCAGCTTGTCGACGCTCAGTAGAGTCCTCAGCCAAGGATATTCCGAAGCATCACGAACAAAGAATCCCACATTCGAGTTGTCGCCTTTGTCTCCCGATCTTGCATGGACGATACTGCCGAGAGGCGCAAACTCTGTTGGTCCAAACGACAACAGGTCTACAGGCTCCGCTGTGTCTGCTGATGGTCGAACAACGGGATACGTCGCTGTAATCTTGGGCTGTTCGACCTTGATAACCTCACCAGTGCTGATCAGGACGCGGTGATCTATTAATGAAACCGGCATCAGTGCTGGAAACATTTCCATGAATGGCCGTGGCGTCATTGTCCGAAAGTCGAGATTCATGTGGTATCCAGGGTAACTCTGCATCCGCAACGCATACAAGGGGATCTTGAACCTCAGCTCATCAATGTCTTCTTTCTTCCGCGCTTGTGCAAAGACTCTCAATGATACAGTACCCGCCTGTTGAGATGACGGATTCTCTGCTTGCGTCCCATACAGTTCGATGCTAAGTTTGCTGAACCGACTGTCCTGGAAAATATGAGAAAGCTGGTTCTTCATCATTGTAGCCTTTTCCGCCACGTCAAGGCCGTTGATGTAAAAGGTTGCTTCAGCCTGGTACCCCCCCTTGCCTGCAATCATGGCTTTGGTGGTGGCTGGTGGAGGCAGACCTTTAACTCCTGTAACTCTTACACCATCTGTTCCCTGCTGCTTGATCGAAACAGTAGACAGATCTGCAACGACGTCTGGATTCAGATAGAGATGGCCTTGGAGCTCATAGAGTAATTGCGCAGTTACCGTCCCCTCAGTTACATGACCTCCTCCCTCTGCCGTCCGTGTAATAACGCTGGCTCCTTTAGAGTCAATCTCAGCTATGGGAAAGGCTAGATCAACGAGATCAGACAAAAAGTCTTTGAAGCCGGAAAAGTTTGCGCCAACAACGTATGGGCCACACTCAATCAGGTGAGCAGCCAGCAGTGAGCCAGCCAACTCATCAAAGCTGTCTTCCTTCCAGCCATAGTACCAAGCAGCAGCTCCCATAACTGGTGAAGCATCGGTGCATCTCCCGCAGAGAACGATATTCGCACCAGCCCTAAGGGCAGCAGTTATGCCCCAGCTGCCAATGTAGGCATTTCCAGTACAAGGCGTAAACTCCCAGTCATCAAGCGACGTTTCTGGATGATCCAAATGTTTAAAGCCTGTGTTTTTCTTGTCTGAAACTTTATCCACAAGCAAATCCGTAATATCATCTCCCAGAACAGCCGCAATAACACAGTCATGTCCTCGTTCTTCGCAGAGCCGTTTCACTTTGTTATACAAGCTCATAACATTCAGAGCACCAGCATTGGTCACAACGCGAATATTCTTTGCAACAATGTCGTCGATGCATTCTTCTAGCTGCTGATAGAAGCCATCCTCGTATCCCAGATTCTCGTCTACTTCCTGCTTCGTGATGGCGTTCCAGGCAATGTTCATCTCAGACAGCCAATCACCGGTGATTACATGAACATTGCCGGAACGAACCATGCGCGCCATGGCGTGTGGGTGGTCGCCAGTTGCGCCAGAGACGTTTCCAATGCGGATATTGGGCTTTTCCTGAGTCATTATGATCTGTATCCTATTTGGTCGTTCAAGAGTCAAAAAGAGTAAACGAGGCTGCAGTACGACATTCAATTTTCGTTGCCCAGGCTATTGCCTTTTGTAATTCCGAAACTATTGGAACTCTGCATCTCAGCTCATGCCAGGGTAGCTCAAAGCGTATCCAATACGGTAGCCTCGTCTCCATCTCGCCTACAAAGCTCAGATACGTGATTCTCTATTGGCCCACCAAAGGATCAGTCAGCACGGCTTCTCACAACTCGGCATTATGCAGCCCGGCTTCTTAACCATTAGTCGCCTACAAATATGGAACCGCTATTCTTAGCTGCGATCGGAATTCGGAGCCGAAATAGTTCACAACTACAGATACCGATTGCGCGATTGCCTGACTCGGATGCTAACAGGCCGTTTATTGGAATGAAGAGCCCTTGTGTGGAGGGTGTGTAGTAGTTGCCAAGAGCAACAAGGTATGATGCGAGCCTTCTCGACGACACGCGTAGAATGAACCGAAGTATGCCGGACACGGAAATACAGAGCATCACGCGGACACTTGCATCGGGATAGTTCCCTTATAGGATTCTTTCCCAGATTCTGTTGGGAAATAGTACGAGGCTATATTGCTTGACGGAATTATAGTTGTTACATCAAATTCTTCCAAATGCAGGCTGGCTCCTATTTGCTCTAGCTCGCTACACTCGAAGTACCACCTTTCTGGCCACCCTCTTCTCAAACAGATCAAACCCAGTAGCTGCTTCGTCTAGCGATAGTTCATGTGTAACGTAATTCTTCAGTGCTCCTTGGTTTTCCTTTAAACATTCAAGAGCATCCTTAAAAACTGTTCCCACTGGAACTCGGCCAAAGTTCATACTATGTAAATTGTAAATAAGCAAATGCCAGCTGTAGAGATATCAAAGAGAAAACTCACGTAATGTTCTTCAGATAGCAGTCCAGACCAGTAAATGGCAACTCGTCCTGGTGAAAGCCAACTGAAGATAATATGCCACACGGACGTAGCAGCTCAAAAGCAGACTTGAGAGCGGCCGGGTTGCCCACTACTTCAATCACTGCATCTGCCCCGCGTCCTTGCGTCCGTGACATGACTTCGTCTAGAATGTTATGCTTGGAGAGATTCAGAGGAATTGCTCCGACTTGAGCTGCTTCTGAAAGACGGTCTTCCACACTGTCGACGGCTAATACGGTCTTGATGCCTTTTGATAGAGCTGTGGTGATGGCGCAAATCCCAACAGGACCACAGCCAAGACAGACCACCACTGAAGACCCTAATGGATCAAATGGTCCATCTCCGTTTGTATGATGATTTGTCTGACCGTTGGTGAGGCCATTTGTGCTGCCATTTGTATGGCCATTCTGACCTTTCAAGCTTACCTTGGTAGAATGGGCATCGCGGAAGCTGGTCAGCGGCGACTGGTGCTGGGTTAATAAGCCCTCAACAGCACGAGACGCTCCATAATACCCTGTTGGAAAGATGTCACACATCATAATGAGTAGAGACTCGTCTAGCTCTGGAGGAACAAGGTGGAGAGTGCCGTCTGCAAAGGGAACTCTGACAAACTCGGCCTGTCCACCGTCGAGCTTCTGAGTGCCAAATGCGACTCCTTCGACACATCTGTTGGTGAGGCCTTGCTTGCAGTACCAGCATTTCAGGCTGTTTTTGATTAGTATACTTGATGTGATCGACGAGTCTTGGCAAACGTACCAGACGGGAGAGAATAAGGAGACAACTTCGTCACCAACAGCGAACTTGTTTACGTCGGATCCTATTTCCTCGATGACTCCGATGAACTCATGGCCCTCAATATGAACACCCATTAGCAACTGATGTCATTAATGGATACTCCACGTATCATATTTACCATAATGTGTCCGGTGCCCGTCTTCTGGATGCCTCGATACATGTGTAATTCACTAAAGCCTGTCAGCAATAGCCCACAAGAAGTTTTGCCTGTAGCCTACCTCCCACATATTCCAGCAAGCCTAACGCGGATTATAGCATCCGTCGGATCCCGAATCGCTGGCTTAGGCCTCGTCTCAACACCAACATCGTACGGGCCACGAAAAACGACTGCTTTCATCGACATGATAGGCTTTTAGAAAATGGTATAGGATCCTCTGTGACCACCGAGAATTCTATCCGATGACAAGGATCGCTATATACACCACGCTGCAGCTATTTCGAGCCAGGCATGCCCGCCTTTCCTTTTGCCCTCATCGACGAAAGCAGCATATCGCCAACCGAGCGTTCTGGAATGAACGCCTCTTTTCCATCAGAAGCCGAAATTCCAGCGGATTTACACGCCTAAACGAGAAGATCCTCCATGTCGAGGAATTATATCTCATATTGCCTAATTCGGCCTCTTTGAATCGCCGAGAGACGCCGTGCCGTTTTGGCGCCAAAAATTCCATGGACTTTGGAATAACCTCTTGCAGTGGGACATTTTCGTCGCTAAGTGAAGCAAGGCTCCAGCATGGATAAAATGGTTGAGATAGAAACGTGGTCGAGTGAATTGATCGCCACATTCAGATTAACGTACGCTGCATACAACCAGTAACACAAGACATCATGAAGACTTTACTTGGCCAGGTGCCCTTTTCGTTTCACAAAGTCTACGTCAACGGAGAATACGTAGAATCAAATTCTCAAGACTATTACTCGCTGTTCAATCCCAAAGATGGCTCTCTGGTAGCAGAAAAGATACCAATTGCCGACCGCGTGGATGTCGAAAACGCTGTAAAACACGCAGAAGCAGCGTTCAACGGTCCATGGGCTACTTTTAGTGCAGCGCAGAGATCAGAGTGCCTGAGAAAGCTGGCTGATTTGCTGGAGACGAGGCTGCATGATGTCTTGCTTCTCGATTCTCTGACGACGGGAAATCCGGTGTCTCTGATACCAACAAGAGAAAAGAATTATATAAAGAACAATCTTTTATACTATGGTTGGCTTTCCGCTCCGTTTAGCAGAGAAAATTTGACTAACATGGCATAGCCGGCTGGACCGACAAGTTTCGAGGTGATTATTTCCCAGCGGACGATGGAATCGTCAAACTGGTGCGGCAAGAGCCTATCGGGTAAGCGTTGGATCATAAACACGGTCACTGTGAATTTGTACTAATGTTATTGAAGAGTATGCGCTGCCATCCTCCCGTACAACTCACCGGTGGCATCGATATTCCTCAAAGCGGCGCCATGCTTAGCAACAGGCAACGTCCTCATCGTGAAGCCATCCGAAAAAGGTCCGTTGGGCTCTCTCGCAATCGCTCCTCTATTTGAAGAGGCTGGATTCCCTCCTGGCGTGTTCCAGGTTGTGTCAGGTGATGGCCGAACTGGAGGGCTGCTGGCTGAGCATATGCGCATACGAAAGGTGAGATTCATCACTGACTTGGAGACAAAAGGCTGACAATTGCCAGATCAGTTTTACAGGCTCGGTTGCGACGGGGAAGAAAATTCAAATTGCGGCTGCGCAGAGTAACTTGAAGCGAGTGACACTAGAGCTTGGTATGCCTAGAGACTCTGTGATGTGTTGATGATGAGATGGTGCTGACACGTTCATAGGCGGCAAGAATCCTGTTGTGATATTTGAAGATGCTGATATCGACAATGCAGTCACTTGGTAAGCAGATGCGATTTGCTCATCAACCGACGATGGCTAACGCTAGAACAGGACCACAAATGGAATCCTGGCACGAACTGGCCAAGTCTGTGTCGCCGCCTCTCGACTCTACGTGCAAAGGTCGATATCCGAAAAGTTCATCTCCCAGTACGTCGAGAAAATGAAGGCCGCAAGTGCCGGCATCGGAGACCCCCAAGACCCAGACACCAAATACGGCCCAATCGCAGACTCCCTCGCTTTCGAAAAGGTCCGCGCCATGATTGCCCGCGCAAAAGAAGAAGCAGAGCTCGTCATGGGCGGCAACCAAATCGGCACAGAAGGAAACTTCATGGAGCCAACTGTGTTTGTGAATCCGAAGCCCGACGCAGAGATTTACAAGACCGAGGTGTTTGGTCCTGTGGCAGTCATCAAGACGTTTGAGACCGAAGCAGAAGTGATTCAAGCAGCAAATGATACAGAGTATGGGTTGATGGCGGGTGTTTTTACAAAAGACATTACTCGAGCGTTGAGAGTCTCGGCTCGGATCGATTCTGGCGTGGTGGGCGTCAATTGCGTGAGCATGGTAGGTTGCTGATCCTACACGAGTTTATGGTCTAGTATAAAAGCTAACAATGGTGTGATAGATGAGTGTCCAAGCTCCGTTTGGAGGGAAGAAGGCATCAGGAATTGGACGGGAATTTGGAGAATACGTGAGTATTATGTCGCTTGCATTTTCGCTTTGCGAAATCACTGTTCTGACCTTGTTATGGCTGTAGGCTTTGCGGGCATTTACTGAACCAAAGACTATATTGATCAAGTAAGTCCATCTGCCACGTTTTTCTTTCTCCGCGGAAAAAGCTTCCACAGCTAATAGAAGAGCAGTATGAACTTGCCGTAGATCATTTCACGCCACAAGACACAAAGACTCGATTAGAGCACTTGAGTGCTGACTGCGTAGGATGGCGGGCTGTCAAAGCTTGTCGAAAAAGCTTATCTACTTGGCTCCGAAATAGGACGTGTCGATGTGATAGAATCTAAAAGCTAGATCTCGCGGCACAATATTAGATAGAGTTGAACAAATCGCATTATCAAGATCGAACTCAAAAAAGGGTGATCTAATCCGTGTGACTCTAGAAGAGGGGGACGAGCCTCTTCAAGCTTCTTTGAGCTGTGGCCGGATTTAGTCACTTTTCCCGCATAGCTCGAGCTGAGGCAAACGCCACACCAGAAGCTATGGCCAATGAAAGCCGTCTTGCCTGTCTCCTGTTTTACTGTCACAAATGGGCAGCTTGAATCCAATAGATCCATCTTGATATCGACCACGTGTCCATCCATTTCCTCTTCTTACTTTGCATGAACGTGTGGAGAGTAGCATCGTCGAGGTGGATGGGAATCTGGGAACATCGGGTTTTTGCAACGTGTGCCACATGCTAGACCTCCAAATGCTTCCTTCTGCCCTAGATTCGAGCTGAACAACAACAAGGGTCTTAAAGCTGAAATCGCCATTTCGAGGTGGAGTCTGCAGATGCCCAGAGGGCAAACCTTTCAGTGGAGAGACCGATCGGCGATCGTCGCCCCGAAGAAGCCGAAGCTAAGCAAGGATCATCCCAAGCCATGGTTTCTGCGAATAGCTAGTTTGCGGGGAGTAGAAGCTGAGAAAAACACCGCCTATTCTACAACAAGTCTAGCAAAGAAACTTGGGCTTGAAGAGAAAGCGGGGAGAAACCAGACAAGGTGAACCCAAGCAGCACGCAGCAAGCCATAACGTGTAGAACTGTTCGGAGGGAGAGTGGGAGAGCTGACAGGCCGAAACAGGAACAAGGAAAAAAGAAAAAAAAAAAAAACGGGACAATAAAACATTGAAGACGCCCTGCTGCCCCGGCATCTTAACAATGTAAGCAGCAAACAACCATTAAATCTCAATCAAAAACCATGGAGAGCCCGGAGGACCAGCAGAGAAACCGGCAGCGCGGCAAGGACAGGACTCGAGTGGCATGCCGCCGGTGCAACTCGAAAAAGGTCAAGTGTGATGCGGCTCCTGGAGTTGCTTGTTCTGGATGCCGGATTGCACGGGCGGAATGCGTGTTGATTGACTCGAAGCGCGGACGGTAAGTAGCAGCTGAGTTGAGTGTTGGGTCTTGTGTGGACACCACGGTTTCATGGAGTGAGACAACAAACAAAGAGACAAAGTTGGGCCGTGCGGTGTTTTGCTAGTTGTCAAGCACAAACGGAACAACAACAAGACTAATCAACGTTGGATTGACTGCAGATACATTCGCCGAAAGAGATCGTCGGCTGAGCGACAATCCCAGCAACAGCAACAACCTCAACTCGCGCAACAACTCCCGCCTCAACGCCCATCGCAGCAAAAGACCCCGGCTTCTTCGTCCGACGAGTCTCCGCGGGCTCTATCCGCAGTCACATCTCAGAAGCCCAAGGCAGAGTCTCATCGCCCATCTCAGTCTGTTTCTCAATCTCAGTTACAGTCTCAGTCTCACCCACAGGTGGAACCAGTCGACGGCCAGCTTTTTCGCGGCCTATCGCGATCTTTTGAGCGTCGCGCACCCACCGACTCCAGCGCGCTCTTCTATCTGCATATCGCCGACCAGAGCGTGCGGCCAACGCAGCAGCCCATCAGCGATGCCATCAGCACCTTTTACGCGGGCGACTCGTTCAGCCTGACGTACGCCATTCACGATGTGCTGGCGCCCTTTCTGAGTGACCGGCGCAACTATCAGAAGCGGCTTCACTTTCCTATTGCCGAGGGCTTTGATCCGTCGGACCAGGGACGTGAGAACATTGTCAATGCCCAGATAGCGCTGTTGCGGGAGAGGAATCTGTACTATCGGCTGAGTGAAGCTGCGTTGGAGCGGATGCTCGACGTCTACTTTCGATGGTTCCATCCGGCGTTTCCACTGGTCAACGAGACCAACTTTATCGAAAAATGTCACCGCAACCAGATGTCGCTGCTTGTGTTGAACGGAATGTTGCTGGTAGCGGCCATCATGTGCGATCCGGCCGATATCGCCATGACGGGATGCGAAAGCAGGGCTCACGCTCGCTCAGTATTCTATCGTCAGGCGAAAGCTCTATACGATGCAGAACTGGATCCTGATAAAGTCAACAACGTTACAGCCGTGTTTTACATTAGCTTCTGGTGGGGAGGATCCAACGACGAGAAGGACTCGTGGCATTGGATGGGCGTGGCCGTGAGCTTGGCCCAGAGTCTGGGGATGCACAGATCGTGAGTCTTAAATATCGATATATGAGACGACAGTGACAACTTACATGTTTGGACAGCACAGCAAAATCACACATGAGTGACGAGAAATCAAGACATTGGAGACGCATCTGGTGGTGTATCCGGATCCGAGACACCATTGCCAGCGGCTCAACAGGTCGGCCACTGCACATTAGCCACAGAGACTGCGACGTCGAGATGCTTGAGCCCAGCGACATGGACGACGACAATCACTTGGGCGATGAAGAAGCACTTTACGCCTGCCAGATGGCCCGACTGTCAATAATATGTAAGAGTTGGACTTACACGTGATTAGTGCCTGAGGCTAATGTGAAACAGTTGGCAGGATTGTCAAAATGAGATACGCCGCAATCCAATCAACGAGTCCGGGCCAAAAGGAGCAAATGGAAAACGACTTGGAAAACTTTCGGATACAGGTCCCAGCCGCGTTACAGTACAGGGGCATTAACCCGGAGACCGGCCAGGGGCTGTGGTCTGCAATGATCCTCATGGCTTACAAGTAAGCTGATCTCAGTTCAGAATCAATCACCTGGGAAGATAACATGCTGACTTTGTGCTATAGCTACAGCGTGATTCTTCTCTACCGACCTACAAGCACCGGAAACGATCCCGTGTCGAATTTCTGGGGAGACCGCCCCAAGGCCGTGGCAGCCGCCAACGAGATTACGAGAGTCATGGAGGATGTCCTATCTACGTCCTTTGTACGGCTTAGCCAAATCCATACGTAAGTTTGTTCTCTTTTTCTTTGTTCATTGACAAACACTGACAAAAACGCAGAATCCCCGCTCTATTCAACTCTCTATCAATGCACGTCTTCTCGCTCTGCACATCAGGCAGCGTTGGTAGAGAACTCGCCGAGAACCGCGCGCGGACATGCATGCTCGGCCTCAACTGCCTCCAAGAATCATGGCCCGTCAGCGGCTGGATCCTCAAACTCTTTGTCGACATCATCGAGCGCCTCCGCCGGATGCTCACCAACAGGAGTAAATCCGGCGAACTCAGCAGAGTCACGGCCAGTCCTGCGCCAGGCTTTCCCCAGCAACCGTCACGACAAGAAACGCCTCGATCTCAGAACCCGCAGCTAGGACCTATTCCAGGCATTGGTGAACAGACAGCGCTGGATATGACAGCAAATCCCATGGATCCCTTGATGAAGCCGCCGTTGGACGTGCAGACGGGCATTCCCGTGTATCCGAATGAGTTCGCGCCGTACAGCACGACGAATGCTGCGCTGTTCCCAAACCTATTTGTGCTGGATGATTTGTTTGCGAATCTGGATGCGGGGCAGGTGAGCTTTTTTGACTCGTTGGAGGTGCCCAACTACGACAACGTTGAGGGCATGCCTTATCAGTGTGGATAGTGATTTGTTATACTTATGACCGCCATGACTCCCAGATACCAACCTGTATATACATCCTCTCCCTAGTTATCATAGAAATAAGCGTCTCTTTACATAATTCATGAATGTATGAAAACTATTCTCAATACGATAGCGCCTTTACAAGACTCAATATACTGGATCAAGATATAGTCACTCCCTGAAGAGCCAAGCTTTTATCCCGGCCTGTCAAATTGATACCCTTGTTACATATTAGTGAGCCACCCTCCAACGACTAGTGATACATGTCCCTAGTTGTAGCTGTTGCAATCATACACGATTTCCATGCTCTTGGGTTGTTCAGTGTGGAAGGAAGATGGAAATAATGTATTTCTCTACATGAAGTTACATATCTATAAATTGTGATACAAGATATCAAAATATGGCAATCACATTCGGCGGAGACCCAACCGCCCCAACAACATGCAACGGCGCACTCGTCAAGAAAAACGACCACCTCTTCAACTCGGCGCAAACATCGCTCAACTGCTCCAGATTCCACATCTCGCCTATCGGCGTCCCCCACTGGCAAAGCAGCCACTCGTGAAGGCAGCAGTCTTTGGGATACGGCCAGGCCTCCCAGCCCATGGTGTCTCCAGCAACAGCCGAAAAGTGCTTGGAGTAGAGCCAGCGGACGGTGTCCATGTTGCTCTCGACGCCGATGAGGGTGAGGACTTTTGTTTCGGGGCTGGTGCCCTTGATTCGGGTACGTTCATCTGCGAGGCTTGATGGTGTGAGTTAGTGATCAGGTTGAATAGAACTGTTAGCACACTTACTCGTGCCAGCGGACAAAGCCTGTTCGAACAATGAGGACATCTCCCTGGCGGCACTCGGTGCCTTGGAACTTGAGCACCTCTTCCAGCTCGGACGCCGGGATCGAGTAGGTTGAAATGGCAGAGGGCGCTTCTTTGCCTGGGTTTTTATGCTCCCACCATCGTAGCTGCAACTTGTTAGTTCTTGATTGCACACCGTGTTATGTTATTAAAGTACCCAGTCAACGAGAATGCCTCTGCCGACTATGCCACCTTTCTCACAAACGTCTATCATTCATGTAAGCTCCATGTCCAATAGATAGAGTGTAGGGAAAGTCTTACTGTGCAGGCCATTTCTAGGCGATTGCAAAGCCTCCTTAATCGACAAACCATTGTAAAACACGCCTTCTTTCTGTATACTCCACTGCAAAAAACATCTCAGCACATCATACACACAAAACAGCCGCATGAAAGACTTGCATGTTTCAGACTATCCCACTGCGAGCTCGTCTGCGTGTTAATCTTAATCTCGTCATCCAGCCCCAGGAAGCCCTCCTTTTCCATCTCCTTCACATTGTGCTCAATAGGAATGCGGCCAAAGCCGGGAAACTCGACATTGTTCATGGGCCAATCCAGCTGGACATGGCGGCCGGTCTGAATCTCCCGCGCAGCCTCTTTGACAGTCTCTGCATTCAAGAGGTTGATGGCTATAGTACCAAGAATAGTAACATACTTGTCAGCCAACAGCAAACTATACCACAGCAATAGTCTTAGCTGCTTCGAAACAGCGCCGAGAAAACTCACTGCCAAGCTCATCCTTTTTGCCGCCTCGGTCAAAAAACCCCCACAGACTGCCCTGAGGCTGCCCCGGCACAGACGGCAATTGGTCAAAGTCGGGAAACTCATACGCAGCCATTTTGTGTTTAGTCAACTTGATGGAAAAAGTGGCGGGTGACCGGACCAAAAGCTGATGTCGCTCAATATGTTTTAGTGGAAAAATCAAAATTCGAGGAGGGGAGAATATTGGTAGATTCAGCATGCAGCTGGCAGACTATAAACCCAGAGAATAGGTACAAGGGCCTAGAAGCCGGCGCCACATTCTTGTCCATCCCTCTGTTAACAACAGTAGGACACGCTAAAATCTTTAAAATATAGCCGGTCTCAGTTGGCCTTTTGCGGGGTAAAGAATTGCCGTGGACCATAAACTGGGGGTTTATGCAGAGCTCAAGTCCGTCTTCGGGGCTAAGGAAAGAAAAAAGATAGAGAGTTACAGACAGAAGCACAAGAATTTACACAACTTCAAGACGCCGAGGCAGCGAATTTCGGCTTCTTATCTGGCAATACTGTGCTTGTGTCACGATTCTGACTCTCAAGTAGTTTCTTTTCTGGCGCAGCATGACTTTCTTGCTTCCATTAGCTTCACCTCATTATTCCATCTGCATGGCTTTTTGCTAGCCCTGCCGTGGCTTCAGCTGGCCCAATCCCAGAAGCCAGCTTCATTCCATTGGCCGCTGGTACGAAAAGCATTGTTTCGTGTTTGTCGCCATCTGTGGTTTTAAACCTCGACGACATCCGGGGTTGAACAACGGTCGAGGCTTCTCAGCAGTTGTTTCATTTTCATTTTCATTTCCGCTCTTCATCTTTCAGTACACGTTGGAATTGCTCTCATCATGCTTTCGCCTGCTCTGTACCGCGTGCTGGTAAGTATCAATTGTCTTCAATCTCATCTCATGTTGCCATGAATGCAACCCTCCAATGCCAAGCAACTCCACGCATCTCATCACATGCCAAATCCTGCCCAATGCAACAATCCATCAACACCACAAAATGAGCAGACCGCTAACTGTCCCTTCAGATCGTCGGCTTCGTTGCCCTCGGCAGCATGACCTACGGCTACTGCTCTAGCATCATCGCCACGACCCTCGGCCAGCCGTCCTTTATCGCCTACTTCAACCTCGACACCCGCTCCAACGCCACGCAGCTGATAGGCGCCATCAATGGCCTCTTCCAGGCGGGCGGCCTCGTCGGCTGCTTGTCTTGTGTGAAGTCTGCAGATGTTCTTGGTCGAAAGCGCGCCATCTTGCTCACGGCCATTGTGGCGCTGATTGGAGGCGCTCTTCAAGCTGGCAGCGTGAGCATCGCCATGTATCTCGTCTTTCGCTTCGTCACTGGTCTCGGGATAGGTGCGTGATGCCTCTATATCTCTTCTTTACCAGTCTAATACTAACATCACAGGCTCCATCGTCGTCCTCATCCCCCTCTACCAGTCCGAAATCGCGCCTCCTCGCATCCGCGGTCTCCTCGTCGGCATCCACGGCATCATGATTTGCATCGGCTACTCCGTCGCTTCGTGGGTCGGCCTCGGATTCTACTTTGTCAATGCTTCTGGCGCCCAATGGCGTCTCCCGCTGGCCATCCAGTGTCTCCCGCCCCTGATTCTCGCCATTGGCGTCCCGTTTCTTCCAGAGTCTCCCCGTTGGCTTCTCGATCAGGATCGTCCTGATGAGGCTCTCAAGGCATTTGAAGCGGTGCGCGCAGAGAGTGACGATTCCATGCTCAATGATAGGTCTGCTATTCTAGAGGAGTTCAACACGCTCAAGGGTCTTATCCAGCACGAGAAGATGACCCAGCATCGGTTCGTCGATCTCTTTAAATCGCCTGGCATGCGCAAGAGATGCTTCCTAGGCTTTCTCGTCATGTTTGGCTGCCAAGGAACCGGAACCCTCGTGATCAACAGTAAGTCACATTCAACAAGAAAACAAAACACAACAGAGCAGAAATCTAAAATATTCCCAGACTACGGCCCAACTCTATACAAAGCCCTCGGCTTCACAACCGTCAGCCAGCTCCTCATCCAATCCGGCTGGGTCAGCATCTGCCCCTTCGGCAACGCCATCAACTCCGTCCTCGTCGACCGCGTCGGCCGTACTCGCCTCCTCGTCATCGGTTTCACCGGCGTCGTCACGGCCCTCATCGGTGAATGCATCGCAGTCAGCATCTTCCAGCGCACGCAGTCCCGCGGCGTGGCCGGAGCCGCCGTTTTCTTCCTTTTCTGGCACATGGTCTGCTTTTCGTCGACATCCGATGCCACGTCGTACATTTACGCGTCCGAAATCTTTCCCACTCCGCTACGGGCAAAGGGCCTTGCCGTGTCTGTTTCGGGGCTCTTTGTTGCGACCATCATCTTCTTGCAGGTTGCGCCGACTGCTTTTGCGACCATTGGGTGGAAGTACTATCTCGTCTTCCTCATCATTTCGGCTGTGTGTGCCGTTATCTTTTACTTTTACTATCCCGAGGTAAGACTCAAGGCTGTCTCTATCTGCGAATTCAATACTAACTTCTACCATCTAGACAAATCAACTCTCTCTCGAACAAATTGGCGAACTATTTGGAGACAAAGTGGAAGCAGTAAACACGGAGGAAAAGACTGATGTGACAAGGAGCACCACTGTTGAAGATGTTTCTGATGTAGCTTGATCGGTGCGAATGGCTGCAATTTGTTGAGCGCGCTTCAAATTATATGCTTGTATCCTCGAATGACTGTAAAATTACACGATTGGTATTTTGGACAAATGGCTGTGCTGCACATGTGAGTCATAAAAACTCACGAAATGAAAACCAAAAGAAAAAGATAGAGCCACAAGAAAGAAATAGAGCGAAGAATCTGCCAGCCGTTCCAAAAAGCAGTAGAAGACTACATCCCTTGCCATCCTAACAAGCGCCTCTACCATCTCGATATCAGTATCAGTTATATCTACTGCCAAGTCTTCTCTCTAAGCGTTAACAATTGACGACGACGACGATTTTACAGTGTCGGATAGAGATGACTGTGGTGGAGGTGCAGCTGGCGATCCAACCAAGCCATCAGTCGATGGTGTCTTGGACGGTGTAGAGTTTGATGATTCCACCGTCGTCGCCAATGTTTTCTTCTCAGTCGTCAGTCCTGTCGTCGTCGCTGCCGTCGTCGCCGATGTTGTGGACGTGCCAAAAAGGGACGGCTTCGGAGCAGAAACCAAAGGTTTTGAGACTCCAAAGGGCATCGCAGGAACAGAAGGCGCTGCAGTTGTACCAAACAGAGACGGCTTGGGTGCAGTAGACTGCGAAGACGTCGTGGCTGCAACAGTACCAAAGAATGATGCTATTGGAGCAGCAGCTTGAGAAGTTGTCGTGGCTGCACCAGAACCAAAAACAGATGACTTGGGAGCAGGGGCCTGAGAAGTCGAGGTCGCTGCGCCAAATAAAGACGGCTTGACAGAAGGAGACTGCGAAGTCGCTATACCAGAACCAAATAGAGATGGCTTAGGAACAGAGGCTTGAGGAGACGTAGTTGTTGCACCAAAAAGAGACAGTTTAGGAGCAGCAGAAGCCTGTGAAGTTGGTGTAGCAGCACCAAAAAGAGACGGCTTAGCTGCTGGGGTTGTTGCAGCTGAGGGGGTTTTACCACCAAGAGATGGTATTTGGGCGGCATTCTGAGCCAGTAATACAGAACCGAATGCGGAAACAGGGGCTGCAGATGCAGTAGGATTAGATGTAGAGCCAGTAGTTGGCTTTGGGCGGTTCTGAGAGCCGAATACAGGCTTAGCAGCTGTAGCTGTAGTTGCCGCAGTCGAGCCAGACGTGGAATCATCAGCCGGCTTTGCAAAGTTTTGTGATCCGAATGCGGGCTTCACGGCTGCAGTTGTAGTTGCTGCAGTATTACCAGTGCCCTGGGCTGAGTTGCTGCTAGAAGCAGGAACAGAGCCAAAAGCTGTCACAGGGGTTGCAGTTGCAGGAGTCGTAGTTATTGCTGCACCACTCCCGAATAGGGAGCTTTTGGCGGCTGGGGCCTTTGCACCAAACAAAGAGGTGGCAGGGCTTGGAATCCTTTTACTCGGTTCAGCGATTTTGCGCGAGCCAAAGATGCTGGGCTCAGACTCAGACTTGACTCTTTTCGCCTTTTCATCATCGCTCTCAAACTCGTAGGTGTCTTCATTGACATCTGTGCCGAAGACGGGAGCCTTTCCCTTCAAAGCAGAAAATGAAATGTCTGGCTCTTTCTGCAGGAGCGTCGCAAAACTGACACCAGTCGAGGCAACTTGACCAAACGGTGACTCCGACGGAGTAGTGATCTTTGCATATTCTGTGAAAGGCGGCAGCTTGACCCGATATTTTCTCGATGCTGGCTTCTTGACGTCTTTGTGCGAGAATGTGTTTGGCTCTGGAGCCTTGGTTCCAGTTGGAGATGTGAGCTCAGGAAAATTATCTGCCGGCTCTAGTGAAATGTCAGAGATCCCTATGCATTGATAGTAGTCAAGATGGAACCTGAATGCTGGACGTACCCGCGAAATTTCTAGGCCTGGAACGCTGGCACTCTTGCAGTCCGAGTCTCAGTTTCTCAATCTCATCTTCCAGCTCGATTCTCTCTTCCCTCACTTTAGGCAACTCTTCGGCGACTTGTCTGAGCTTGTCGTCGCTCATCTGAGTTACAATCTTTGTGGAGAAGATGTCGGTAAGGTTGGAAACGAGGCAGTTTTCGATGACCAGGTGGACAACGTTGTCTGTAAATGTTTTGAGGCTTGCCTGCAGATGCATGTTAGACTGTCACAAATTGGATGTCGAGGAAGAAGAGGGAGATGGGAGAGCAGGGCGAGGAAACAAAAGCCAGCAGAATGTCCTACCTCATAATGTGTCAACATCATGTCAATAACAACATCCGTTCCAAAATCGCTGCTCAGCGTCATTCCATTCGCCTCCATGACCATATTCCGAACATCTGCATACTTGATTAACCGGTACGACGTCGTACTATACGTAAAGGAGCTCTGATTCTGCTCAAGAAGCTCAGCAATCTGCGCCGTCATACGGGCAAGCTTGCGCTTCGAGAGCCCTGCTCGAAACTCCAAATCAAGTGGAAGGCCATGGCCCGAGGTGTAGGGACGTAAAATCTCGTTCAACTTGCTCTTCAGTGCTTCGGTGGTGGTTTCAAACACAGGGTCCACGTATTCGGCCAAGATGGCATCTCGAGTCTTCTTGTCGTCTTCCAAGATGTAGTCAAACAAGTGGTAGACAAAGAGTCTCGTCCGTTCGACGACGATGTCGAGGTGGCGGAGAGCAATGCGTGGCCATGGTTCAGATAAATCACGGAAGAGCTGCATGATGAGATCGCTATTTGGCAGGCCGGGAAACTCAGCGCCTTGGCTACCAGAAGCTATTCGCTCGATTCTGGTGTTGATTGTGGCCTCTGACTTGAGCGTCGGGTCTGGGAAATCGTACAGGTCGAGATAAGGCTGGAGATACTCGGGGGCCTCAGCTTCGGCCATGTAGTTGGCAAGCTGCTCTTCTGCGTTCTCGCCGTTGTCGTTATCCTGCTGTTCCTGCTCCCACTGAATCTTGTATCTGGCTCCCTTGCGCTTCATGGTGAGCGCAAACGCTCGATTCAAGTTTCGGAGCAGAGCCCTCAGCTTTCTGAACTTGATCTTGCTAGTCTCTTGGACAGTGGGACTCGCAAAGAATGGATCGTTGTACCGTCCTTCGACAGCATGCTCGGCGAGCCTGTGGAAAGTGGCCGAGATGCCGAGTAGATAGTCTCGCATCTCGTTGATGTTGGTTCTGGATGCTCCCATTTTCTTGAGGCGCGCCTGACGAGTCTCAATCTCTTTTTCAACCTCTTCAATAAGATCTGGGAGCTTGTTTCTGATGTGCTTGAGGAGAGTTTCTGCCAGATTTCCCCGAAGGCCATCGACTCCTCCCCTGTTCAAAGGCAGTCGCCACCACTTCCGTGTCCCTTCTGCAAGAAAGTAATCTTCTTCGGCGTCTCTCTCATCATAGTCCACTGCTGGCTCTTTGGGTCCACGATTGCGTAGAACATGCCAACCAAGTGGCAGACGGTGGTTGGGTTCTTGTCCTTTGGCGAGTTTGATGTATTGATCTTCTATGTTTGTGCTTGGACAGAGATCAGGCTTTGTGATGACTCCAATGGTGCGGTCTCCATATGGGTCAAATCTTGCAGCCCTGTTCAAGACGGCATGTGCGGATAGGGGGACGTCTGCAGAGACAACGGTGAGCATGAGGCTGTTTGGCCGCCTCATGTAGCTGTCGACTAAGTCATCGACAACGATCTTCCAATCTTGAAGCTGCGACGAGAAGCCAGGATGGATGAATCCAGGCAGGTCTACTAGAGTCACCGATGGGACATCTGGGCCTTCGATTTCCACCAGCAGAACGTCTCTCGAGAAGCCTGTAGCCTTTCCATCTTCAAGGCACATGTGCTCCTTTGCCCTGGTGATTAGAGCCGGCAACTCAGTTCTTGGAAAACCAATGTGAAAAAATGGCTCTCTTGTACGCGATGTTCTCAAAAAGCTTCTGCCACCAACGTCGAGCGACTTGGCATCAAACAAGACTTCCAAAGAGGTATGCTCCTGGGGAGCTCTCCGCAGCACCAGCTCGATGGGGAACCGCGTGCAGACGCCATCGCCGACGGGGAAGTGGATGCGCGAGATGGCCTCGAGGACGGAGCTTTTGCCAGAGCCCTGATCTCCCACGACGATGATTTGCGGCTGGTCGACAAAGAGAACGCACAAATCGTCGAGCTTGGAGATGGTTGCAAGGAGACGCCTCGTCTCTTCGCTGTCCAGCGGTTCAGGAGCCATGGCTACATGTGCTGGCTTTGAATGTTGAAAGAAGAGGAAAACAAAGGACAGCTGAAAGTTGAAAGAAGGGAAAGAACAGCAGCTGGACTCAGCTTCAGGCAGCTTCGGCAGCCAAACCAACAACAAAGAGCGCTGTATGCAGGTGTTTCAGAAACGGCTAGGCCTCCTCCCCACCTGTTTTCAGCTGGAGCATCACCCTGGGAAACAAACCAGAAGCGGCGGTTAAGCGCCCACATCAGCTGTCGACGGGAAAGCGGCTGACCGGGATTCGAATCCTTCATGCCTGACAGTTGGTGGTGCTGAAGATGGAAAAGGTGGTGGCATGCTTTGGGGGCCAAAATTGATGAAAATAAATATTATATCCGCCCATGCAGTCATTTGGAGTGTGTCTTTATACTTTTGTTGTTGTTTTTTTATTGCTCTTCTTTTTTATTAGGTAGAAGCAATTAATGGATGTCAACTTGATTAGTTCCAACATTGCGTCTCTACAAACCGACGTCTCGTCCCAGCTGGCTGACGTTCTCTTGTAACAAAATATTGATGCCCAGAGATTAGGGCTTGAGCGCTTTTGCGAGGCTACAGTCCGGCACCACAGCTAGTACTAGACAACATTGGAAGATTTTGGCTTCCGCTGGTTGAGATTCTGTGATATTTGCGTAGCAGAAGTAACACTGTTATCGTGACAACTTGGCAGTTATGTCGATATAATGAATACACAGAGACAGATTTCTGGGAAAGCACTGGCAAAGTTGTTCACGCCTACGAAGTAGATTGGACTGAAATATTCATCAACAAACCTTCATTGCCTCTCTCAACTACCACTCCAAAACCAGAAAGATATCCCCCTCCCTCCCTCCCTCCCTATTCTTGATGGCGACCTAATGCCCAACGAACAAAAAAAAAAAGCCAACCCCAGAAAACGAAGACGAACAAAAAAGCAAAGGGTCAAAAGCGCCGAGATTTGCCCTGATGGTAGTCAGCATTTGGCCCGCGATGCAAACCAGGGAAACAAAAGTCACATACCTTGGAGGGCAGTCCCCTCAGAGACTCTCAATGTCTCGTGTCCCTTTCGTGGTTGTCCCGGGCACCAGGCGTCGCGAACATCGAATTGCACGCTCTGCATTTGTGGATTGGGCCTTGGTGATCCTTGGCCCGCATGTGGTCGACGAGACCACGCTGCGTGGCACAAGTCTTTCCACACACTTTGCACCAAAAGTGGTGCTTCGCCTCGAGATGGAGCTCGAGCGCATTTGCTCGCCGGAAACGATCCCCGCAGAACTGACAGGTTGGCCAATGTGTTTCTTCTGTCATGTGCCTGATGAGCTCTTCATGGTGGAAGAACTGGGCACCACATGTGTCACAATCATGCAACGGGCCGTGAATAACGCGTTGAGAAGCACGACGAGAAGAAGACATGATGACAGAGTATCTAAAGACAAAAGGCAAGATAGAGCTGGTAGATGAAGAGATTGGATCCGCGTAATGGTCTGGCTGCGTGAGATGAATGTTGTGAGAAGAGGAAAGGGGGAAGAAGTCGGGGGCAGGGAAAGATGGAAAGATGGCTATAAATAGGCAGATGAGTTTTCGTTTGCAGTGCAAGAAAACATCTGATCGATAGAGCTTCACATAGAATAAATGGATCTTTCGAGCTCGGCAGCTGGCGTGAATGCCAATGTGGCAGCTGAATGGCCACCGCTTTGCACATCAGATAACCAAAGGACGCAGCCATTTTGATATTATTGCTCATCTGCCCGCTATGTCTGGGCTTCTTTACCATTGATGCCGTATAATCTTGTCGAACAATAGACTATAAATGCGTAGTTTCACAATAGGCTCGCTTCATCTTCACAGCTTCATTCACGCAGACGCCCTCGTCCTACCTGCACCCATTACGTAGAAACTCCACTTGTGTGCATGCAAATCAAAATGTAGCTATTGACGCATGTTTGATCTGTGACCAATAATACTTCATTGATGTCAATAGAGAGGAACAATGGTCTGTGGGCACAGAGTGATGCACCAAGTGTGCACAAATGCCATGTTTGGGAGAAAGGAGAGAGAGGCAAGTAGGTGTGCCTAGATGATCATTGCGAGAATCGTGAGAAAACAATCGGTAAACACATCATCAATAGCAAAAACTAAGTCTATCGTGAACTCTTTCAATACTCTGACTTGCGGTGGAAATTCCTCTGGTAATGCTTTGGTGCGGTCGTTGGAGAGGCAAATGAAGTGGTGGTGTCAGGGCACCAACCAACGGAATCATCATCTGGCTAGTGGTCGTAACTCGCAGATTTTGTCAATCTCTCTCTGAACTGCTTTTGTACCAGCAGCTGTTGACAATATTCTTGCGTCGTTGGTACCATGGCTTTGGCGTAAATCCTACCAGTGCCAGATCTCTCTGCTCGCCGCATGGATGCTCTTCGTAGAGATTCCAGTGATGTCATTGGATTGAATTGACGGCCGGAAAACATCAACACCAAGATTCCAGCATTTTTTGCGCAATAGAGGAGTCAATAGGATGCTACGCAAAGCTCTCAAACACGACATCTAGAGGGATCAAGGCATAACCCCACTCCCTCCAGAGGAAGACAAGATGCTCATCCGACCGTACCCGATAATACTTGAGGATCGAACGTTTTCGGATGGTATGATATATCATCTTCACGCACAACAAAGCAACCAAGTTCGTTGCAGAGAACCAAGGTGGTTAGTCCATGTCCAGGTGCTCAACAAGAGTACTGTCTCTGACATTTGCCCGATACAATCCCAAGAAGAGACTGTCCATTCGCTCCGCCACAAGAAAATACATTACGGTGTTGAGCTCCTCAGCCTTCTTCCATCAACTACCTCTCTACGACGCGCATAGCAATCACATGATCTCGATCAGCCCAGGTGGCTTCGCCAGGACAAACAGATGTCCCCCGATAATCCAGGTTAGCGGAATATCGCCAGAACACAGCAGCTTGTTGACAAAGATGTGCGATTGACTCGCCCATATCAGTTCTGGTACTCGGCCAAGAAACATTGGTCAGTGCTGTAGTTGAGTTGACATGCAGAAAAAGAAAGAAAATACTGGCAGACCGCTTCACGCAGCACGTTCACGTTCTACCAAACAATCGCCTCTGAAATTCAGTCTTCAGCACCATATTCGCTACCAGATCAAGGCACGGGGTTCCTTCACACTTATATATTGTAAATTCGGCCGTTTGATTCCAATTCTTGACTGACGCATAGGCCTAGAACGAAAAGATCACCCCATTCGAAATGCTGCGAAGTCTTCCAACTCCCACGAAACAACACAATACAGCAAAAACTCGTCAATCCATCCATCGAATCTACCCTTTCCAACAAAGAAACTCACCCTTTGAACGCGTCATCGCCATATCGGCACCAAATACTTGCTCATGGCCATCTAAATAGCTCTACATGTCGCTTCCGACAAACAAACAAAACACTTCTTTCATCGACCGTTCCGCTTCCACTTCTTCAACAAACGTATATCACGCTCTCTTGTCCAACCAACCAGCACTTCTTAACCAATATCTACTGACAAAATGTACTTGCAGTCAAAATAACGAACAACCAGGCCATCTTTGAACTCCTCTCGCCGCCTTTGAGCGACCGGTTACCCCGATCAAGTCAAGGCACAAGCCGATAATGAAGTCGATTCAGGCAGCGAAAGTCAGAAACGTCTGATTGGAAAAATTCAAATATATTACCTTCATTTTAGTTTGTCCCCCAAACTAGACGCATCGCTCGGATGTCGATACCACGAAAATTGGACTGCATCTCCGTCACGACACTCCACACAGCTTACATACTACTCCATCCTTCATCTCACAAATACAAGCATCGCAAACCGTCCTCCTTGGGGAAATATTCATGGCCATCACTACCAGCGTCCTCCTTCTCGCTAACAATTTGCTCAGTAGCGAGTTTCTCTCTCCCCTCGATTTGATACCAACCTGAAATCCACCAAAACACCGCAATACCAGAACCGGAGAGCCCTTAGAAAAGTTTGCGGTCGGTATGGCCTGATTTGGTCATCCACTATTTGACCGACCTTGCCCGAAGCGGTTGATGAGGGCGTCTTCGCTATTGTCCGCCGGCGAACGCTGCCGTTCCATCTTCACTTGGTTGTTGATTTATTTCCTCGGCAAAAGAGGCTGGGTTGGAAGGACCTTGTGCTGTCGCAATATGTCAGCGGTCCAGTGAGCTAGGGTTTATTCCCAAGCTATGCGTTGGTAAGGGTCGCTGATTGAGCCTGTTGTGTCGCCAGTGTTCTAGGTATTCATTATTTATTATAAACACCTGTGGTTTACAGACAAGTTCTCTGAGGCCTGGATCGATATTGAGGTACAGTGTCATCTATTGTTTCCATTCCAAGCCATTCACATTGGAGAAAAAATTGGCAAACATTGGGTTCGGTAACACGCACGCAAGATCTAGGCACCGGCTTTACGCCAACTACTCGGTATTCACATCAAATAAAGCCCATAGTTGTGTATTTCTTTATTTCATTAGAGCCGTGATGATAGCAAGAGGACGCAGACAAGCAGTCCCTCAATGCGCTTCGTATACCGCCATTATAAACCAGGCTGGTGCCTCTATGTTGCTAAGAATATTATAAGTAATTATTAGGCATCAGTGTAACCAATTGCTTGTCCGTGTATATCATTCTTTGTCCTGTTTCGCCAATATTGCATCCATCGTGCCGACCATTGTTTCTTCAATCTTGCATCGTATCATGACCCGACCATTTATAGCTCATCGTCCTTGTCGCAGTTCTTCACCTCGTAATCAACAGTCTTGTTGCCCTGCCCCATAATCTTGGGCTTAAAGTCGAGGTACACCAGCTCGTCCTTTTTGGGATTCCACTCGCCATTGGTATCTCTGTAGTAGACAATCTCGCCGCTGCCGACGTCTCGAACTTCGACAGTAGTATGCGAAAGCGCGCCGTCAGTCGACCATTCGAGCTTGTAGCAGCCGTCGACCTTTACAGGGAACGGCTTGGAGCACCGGGTGTTTCCGTCCTTGTCGATGCACTTCTCCACGGCAAAGTCGAGCACGCTGCCTTTGATGATGGTGTCACCGCCTAGAGAGCTGTTAGCAGTTGATTGCAGATGATGATAGAGGATGGAGCTCACTTAGTGTGGCGCTAGCAAGGGCCAAGCTTGCAGTAGCCAGCTTCTGAACGTCGGGAATATGCATGGTGATAAGGAGTTGATGGTAGGATTTAGTTGTCGTTTCGCTGTTTGTTCAAATAATCAACAACAGTTGCAAGAGATTCAGTTCTGATGGGGATAGAGTGGCACGACAAGAATGTAGAACCGCAGTCCTTTTAAACAAATCGATCAACCTTCATACCCACATCATCGATGACGTTTCCACTTGGAACCTTTAGTCCGTTCCTGGTAACACCTGTTTTGGGTAAAGTAAGACACCGCAGCAAATGCCAGTCGTTTTGACGTCAGTATGTCGCATCAATTGGTAACACCTACGAATGCTTCCGGAAACTTTTATGCAGCTGCTGGTGCCTGTTCCAAACTCTAAGTGGCGACCAGTCAGCCAGTCATAGATCTGACTCGGCAGATTAACGTGTCCGACACCTGACGCCGAGGTGAAATGCAACGCTTGCCACGGTTTGCTGGCTTTGCTGGCTTTGCTGGCTTTGCTGGCGTAGCATCGCCCGATCGTGGTTTGTCTTAGTCCCGATCTCCGTTGGCACGCGGTGTTTCAACGCCCAAGACAAAGAGGCATGGCATGCTGTTTGTGGATACACACGATATTCTTGGTTGCGTTCCCCAGACTAATTCTGAGGGGAAATAGACTTCGTGCCTGGCGGTGAATACGAGCTGCCGTCATACAGCGCCCGTCCGCCTGCAGGGGCTTGGATGCGCAAAGTATCAATGCACAGGAGACACAGCCTGTTTTCAGCGCCCAACCTGCTGTCGGCTCCTCGCGTTAGCAAGTGCTGCTGCCTCGTGGACTGCAAAGACTGCCAAATGCAAATCTCGCCGGTATCAAGCCCCAATCCATCCATCAACATTTCTTTGTGCCGTATGCAATATGATTTTGGAACCCATGATTGCAGCTCTTTGTACTCGTTGTGGGAAGGCAATGCCAATGAATATTTAACATTCCACGCCACGCTGGAACGCTCATGAACAATGCGGTTTCTCCACTTATATATGGAGAGAAGTCTCAGGAGTCGCATGGAGATGTAAAATCGACAAGCCCATTTCACGGAACGGTGCAAATGTCTCAAGCCTTGGCTTAAGGTTATTGATTCTTCTCGGGCTGTTTGGGAGGAATCGAGAACAATACGACTGGTATGTGTCGTTAACAAGGCGTTTGAGTGGACATTGTCAAAGCAATAGCTTATAACTAGCCGCTGGCTGATCAGGAACGACACTCTCGCAATTCTTCTTTGCCTCGTATTGCGGATTGAAAGGCAACGCGCGATTTCTGTTAAAATGCATGGTTAGATGAGCCATGAGAGGACAACAAAATGAAAGCTATCTCACCATGCGTACCACCAAAACCGCTTCCACGCAGCCAGCATCCGCTCACCAGAAACCACAAGCAATGAATGCGACGCTGCAAAAACCCACTGTATAAAGCCATAAAGCCCCAAAGAAGCACGCCGTCGAATCCACAATTCCTCCCTTATCCACCAACTACTCACGGGAGCTTCCACCGCCGCACCCACAGCAACCCGGATCTCCCACGGCTTTAGCGGCGCAACAACGCTGATTGGCTCCATCGCCCATACCCTTCGGCGGAAGAACGCTCATTGGTCAGCTCACCTTGGCGAGACTGTCCTCCGGCCCAATCACCATAGGCACCGAGTTTCAACATCGTCAACAGCCTATCGCAGACAATAGACATCATGGAGTTAGGCGGAAGAAAAGCCCGACATTTGTCGATAATGCTGTTTCGACTGTACGAGTCAATGGCTCAGGAGAGCACTGCTGGCGTCTATAAAATGCGGCGTCCTGTGCCTCCTTGACGTTCTAATCAACAAATAACAACCAGCACAGCCTGCAACACAACACCAAGTACACAATAGCAAAAATGTCTGTTCCCAAGATCGTCACCCGCGCCTTGGGCAAAAACGGCCCTCAAGTCCCTCGTCTCGGCCTCGGTCTCATGGGTCTGAGCGGTCACTATGGCCTGCCTGCTCCAGACGAAGAGCGTTTTGCCTTTCTGGATAAAGCATACGACTTGGGCGAGAGATTCTGGGATACTTGTAAGTCAATAATATTGAACATGGGTCAAATACAAAGACAGCTGTTAATAGAAATTCAACACAGCCGACATGTACGGCGACTGCGAAGACCTCCTCGGCAAGTGGTTCGCTGCCAACCCAGGCAAACGCGAAAACATCTTTCTCGCCACAAAATTTGGCATCATCCCCCAAAAAGGCAGCATCAAGGTCGACTCTTCTCCAGAGTACTGTCGACAGGCCATCGAAAAATCCCTCCAGCGCCTTGGGCTACCTTTCGTCGACCTTTTCTACATCCATCATCTGGACAAGGTCACCCCCATCGAAAAGACAATCAAGGTCATGGCCGAGCTCAAGAATGCTGGCAAGATCAAGCATCTCGGTATAAGCGAATGTAGCGCCGACACTCTTCGCCGCGCTTCTGTCATTCATCCTATTACCTGTGTCCAGATGGAGTACAACGCGTTTACTTTGGAGATTGAGGAGCCCCAGCGCCGTTTCCTCGCGACTTGCCGAGAGCTCGGTACCGCCGTCGTTGCTTACAGCCCGCTCGGCCGAGGTCTTCTCACAGGAAGTATTCAGTCCAAGGAGGACATCACCAAAGAAGGTGACATGCGGTCGATGCTGCCTCGCTTCAGCGGCGACAGCCTAGACAAGAACCTCGCCATTGTCGCAAAGATTAACCAAATCGCCAAGAACAAGAGCGTGACTCCATCGCAACTGGCATTGGCCTGGCTCCTTGCGCAGGGCGACGACATTTTTGGCATTCCCGGCACCACTCAGGTCCACAGACTTCGTGAGAACCTAGACGCTATGAGCATCGATTTGTCGGCGGAGGAAGAACGAGCTATACGTGACGTCGCAAAGGATGTCAATGGCCCTCGCATCCCCGACAGCTTCCCTGGCGTGAATCTTTTCGGTGACACGCCACCGCTCGAGGCTTAACCGGCTGCCACGGGGTTGGTATCAATATGTGTAAACTTATAGATGTATGAGATTCTGCAGTTGTTGCCTTCATAGTATAGTAGCTAGTTATTGAATCAATATTCAGCTTTGATATAAATCAAGATCCAAACTTCGTAGCATTAAACGTCTCTTCCAGTAATAACGAGCGTTGATCGTTCGATTCCCACTCCTGAACTTGATGGTCCTGCAAGGCTGGCTGCAATGTTGCCGGTATTTCAATGGCTTCGACGTCGTTTTTATGCAAGTTCCACGCTTCTTGAATGTCAGCACCAAAGATTTCCATCCCAATAGGCAGATATCCCACGTCGTCTGCGTTGGAAGACGCAGAAGCTGGGTCAGGCCAAGATGATAGCGGAGAATCAGTCAAGGCCCAAGACGGAGTCAAGAGGTTGTCATCCAGATTGCCCGTCTCTGACAGCGTACGCAACCCAACAGCTGTCGTCATGTTGTCATGGGGCTCACGGCGCAATATGTGGATTATACCCACATGTGGAAATGTCATCTGGACTTCGTTTGCTTCTTCTTGCACAATACATTCTGTGCACACCATATCGCCGGGCTCGCTCCATGTTGTATAGCTGACGCCATCTGCGGCAGTTGCTTCAAGTGCACTTATTCTCTTCAGCGCTCGTGCTGCAGAATTACACAACTTGTCATCAAATTTCTGACCCATGGTTACCAAGCTCTGAATGGCGCGCTCAGCTGTTGCCAAATCCCCCGGGCGCTGATGGCCAAGAGGATTTTCGCGGCCCAGTCGATGGCCATCCAGATGTACCACGAGCAGCGTCAAAGCAGAGAGAAGGACTTTGAGAACGATTCCTCTGGTCGAAAACGACACGCGATTAGGTCCGACCGGAACGATGGATCTACCGAGTAATTCTCGAGCTGCAGTCATGGCTGCAATCTTGGAATTGGAGTAATCTTGCGTGGAGTTGTTGAAACGGCCCTCAGGTCCCGGCAGGATGTAAGGTATATGGAGCAGTAAGACAAAATTGTAGTGATGTAGTTGGTGAACAATCTTTGCAATCATGTCTCTTAGCTCGTCGATCGATCGGGCATCTTGCGTTGGTGGGAAAATCCACCACTCCAAAGGCAGAACTCGCGTGGCCTGTGTTAGCAAATAGTCAATATCTTTGGTCTCTTTGTAATGATCGTAGACAGGGTCCCCTCCTCTTTGCCCAAGCCGCAGCTGTTGGTTCCTGAAGATGATGCGACTCGTCAGCTTGGCTTGAGCTCTCTCAAGTTTCTCAAACGGCGCTTGGGTTACTATATCGTCCATGAAGCTATCATCTAGGACAGACATTGGAAGATCAAGCACCAGAGACAAATACCGATCCATGAAAACAAGGCGGAACCACAGCGTCGCCAGACACATTGATGATGGACTGGTGGATGTTTGCTGCTTGCCCTGCCGTCGCCGCTGCGGTATGTGTAACCCCACGAGATGAGCGATTCCAAGCGCCCGGCGAAATACAACCCACGCAAGTTGCAGCCTCCCGCAGGAAACGTGATACAGGCCCTCGAGCATCAACGTCTCTATTCCCTCGTACGAGGCGACGATGGAGTCTTGAGAGGTGACATAGCGAGTGGCGGCTTCGAAGTACTGGTCTGCCACATCGCGATTCGAATGGTTAAGCCACAATTTGGAGGTTTCGGGGAAGCGATCAGACTGCTGGAGGCAGATGGCTAGCTGGAAAAGACTTCGAGCCAGGTCTATGGGATGTGCATCCGATAGTGTGAGAGAGGAGAAATAGGCAACTTGGCGTTGGTAGGAGAGCCGAAGAAGATCGGTGGAGAGGCCTCGAAAGACGTGCATGGACATCATGAGCAGCTTGTTCTGCTGCATGATGCGAGAAGTGACGTTGGCTGCCGGGAGGATGGATTGCAGCAGCAGAATCAATGAGTTGCGTCGCGGTGATCCGCTGGTGGGAGACGGGGGCAGTAGTAAGGGGCGAAGTTGTCTCGAATGCTGCTGCGATGCTAATGGCTGAAGAGGCTGGTTTATTGCATTGAGGTT